CAGTGGCTCCCGGCTCCCAGGGGGAAAAGCAGAGGAGCCGAGCAGGAAAAACTCTGGCACGATGCATGAATTCACGATACAATTAATGGCCGTCAGGAGGCCGCATTTGATTTGTATTTATATTAAGCAGGCGGCGCACGAAACAGATTTCCGCCGGGGAGCAAGTGGGCTGGCCAAATGAAATCGAACAAATATTTATAACCCCCAATACCGTCGGCCTGTCAGTCTGTCACTCAGTCGGAGGCACTCACATGGCAGCAGCACCGCCGAAAGTGGCCGTGGCATTGGTAGTGGCAGGAAAAGTCACGACAGGATGGCTACCGGGTGAACTGAACGGGCGTAATTGAAAGCGACTTCCTTGGAAAGCTCTCGTCCTGCTCAAGGGCAACCTCCAGTCGCACTCGCATCCTTGTGGCGCCACGTTTATTGGAATCGGTCTGTGGCCAGGCGATTATCTGATTGCTGGCGCGGCACTATGTACATTTAAGCTGCCCATCCAGCCATCCAACCATCCTGCCATCCAGATGTGGCATGTAATTTGATTATATGCACACAGGCCTTTGCTGCTCTGGCCGGCACCACAATGTTTGTCTAATTGACAGTAATTAAACGAAAACGAATAGGTCGGGCTGGTAGCAGAGAGCCACAGTGGCGGCAAAATTGCCACATCAGCCTGGATGTCATAGGCAAATTGATGGATGATGACTGGGGTTACAACTCGGCAGCTAAGCAACAGCTCAGTCATGCGTGTGCCAGCGTGGATTACTGGGATTGTTGGGGCTGGTCATGCCAGGGACCTGCAGAGTCATTCGCATATTAAATAAAAATCAACAGAACAAAGTGTTGCACTCTGACACAGCAACTACAGTCCCCGCCCTGCAACAGCTACAGTCGATCTTCTCTAAGTCAAACTTACTCAAAGTACTACAATTTTGTATGCCAGCTTAACGGCAAAACTTTGTGAAATAGCGGGAACTTTGAACTTTCATAACTCAAATATCTCAATTGCTCAAATGAAGTTTTTAGCGTAAAATTACTTAGCGAAAGGATTTCAATGCAAACTGCAGGGATAACAGATTTGAAAACATACTTAGTTGCAGCTACTTAGTTGCCCTTAAGGTAAACTGTCAAAATCAGATACTCTATTAAAGATATTATACAATTTATAGCCCCTTTCTTCTGACATATATATGGCAACATTTACGTTCAAATATTATAACAATTCTGACAAACGAGAATAGGAAATTGGTAAAAATCAGTATTTATGATAGTTTTCAATAAGGATTTTGATGGATGGACAGGGGCATATGCCACACATCCACTCGAATGTACTACTGTAGCACATTGTAATTGTTCGGATTAGAGGCGACCGACTGTAGAATAATGCTGGCAGGGATCAGGGGGCGTGTCAGGGCTGGGATTTCCAAATGCCAATGTCAGTGCCACCGTCAGCGGCCACGTCAAAGCCCTAGCCATTCTGGCATTGCCATTGCCAAGGGCCCCTGACGCGTATTGCCAAAAACTGGCTTCGGATTTTCGATTGGTTTTCGGTCGCCTTATGCTCCCGCTCCCTGGGTGGTGACCTCGTCCTCCTCGGAAGGCCTCAATTGTGTTGGAATTGCTGCTCGATGTGTGTGTGTGTGGTAATGTGGCTGCTGCATTTGCAATTTCTAAATTCCCGATGCCATGCAAGGGCAGCAAAAATTGCAGTGGCAACAAGAAGCACAAGCAGTCCATGGAAATGGCCCCAACAAAAAAAAAAACAACAAAAAAAGTTGCAGCTTTAGTTTGCTGAAAAGTGGCGCAGGCGGAGGCGGAGGCGTCGTCCACCTGTCCATCACCGGATTTATAGCCAAGAGCTCTTCGCTCCTTCCACTCTGGCGTAACTGCATTTTGGCAGGGGGATTTTGCCAGCGATCCATTCCAAACTTTCGGTACGAGTATTTGGCTACGCGTCAGAGCCGGGGACTATGTGTACTTTGGAAGTACAGAAATAGCAAAAGCCGTATGAAAAGTTTATCAGCCCGGAACGAAATAGTTGGTCCGAAGACTTGGGAAATCCCATAAATGTGGCCCAAATATTTCTTAAATTTCAAGACGAAATTCTAAGGATTTCATAGCTAAACAAAGATTATAAGAAAAGTTTATAATTACTTTTTGTTGGGCTACGTGGTGGTACGATACTTAACGATAATGACGATGGTTACTGAAAACTGATTGACAGTTTGACTAGCTACCACTTACAACCGAATTACTTGTCAATTTCCTTTGCCAACTCAAAGTCAATGCTAGTAAGTTCTGGCCATATCATAGCCCACTCAAGGAAGCCGATAATCTCGAATTATCAATCACTTCGACAGGTCGGTAGCCCCAGCTAATTAATATTTGATGCCAGAGTTTCGATAAAGGCAGTGCGCCTTTATGCCAGGTGATGTGCTCAACATCAAAGTACCCGCAAACACAATGCAGGGCACATAAATAATCTTGCCCACTTCTGTGGTCGAAACATCCACACAAAGCCAATTTGAAGCCTTTTTCGGCTTGGCTGAAATTTGATTAAGTGAGTGCCACACCCGCCGAGGGGGGCGAAATGGGGCCATCAATTTAAATCAGTCGGTTGCGGTGCCATAAATAAGGTTTGCAGTCGCCATATTAGCAGACATTTTTAACCATTCACCTTAATGGCGGAGATCGCTTTTGGCCGAGGTGAGTGAGCCGGGTCCGCAGACAACCAGACATTCAGACATCCAGTAATATCCCGCTGCCAGGCAAAACGAATGTTTGAACCGGAATGGCGTCGTTTAATCAGCCAAAGTGATTTCGCCTTACACGCACACGCGCGTACTTAGGCACAATCAACTTATCATTTTGCACATATGTATGCATATATTTGTTAGCCAGATAGGGCAGAAACTTGGAAGAAGAAGAAGCGGAGCAGGAGCAAAGGACTCCCTAGCCCATTCCCACGTAGACAGGAAGCCAGCTGATGCCAAGGTAGTTTAACCTTACGCAACGAACCGACTGTAAATCTACGCCCGCTATCATGCAAAGTTCCTGCCGATTCCCGGTCCTCTACACATCAAGAAATATTATTGAATCCCAAGCAACTCTATTAAATTGTTATAAAAGTTCCATATAACAGTTAAATTTAAAAGATCAAATTTTTTGATAACTGGAATATTTTAATAAATATTAATTTGCCATGAAAATAATTTGCAAAAATTCTACAAAAAATTAAGATTTTTAAATTTTTTGTATAGAAATGCATACAAAAATGATAAGCTGGTCTGACACTGGTCTTAAATGCTCTTAATTTAAACAAATTTTTTATTGGTAATTATAAGCCGGTCCAAGATTCAAAACACAAGAGAACGAAGTCATTTAAATTTATTAAGTTAATTTGATAGGTTTGCGCATGATTACCTATTTTGAATAATAACAATGTTTTTATAGGAAATGTAAAAACACATATGTATACTTTTACCGCGAATAAATTAAAGCAAGAATCATGAATGCAAATGCTTAACATTTTGTGAAGCGTGAATGGCCTGATTGAAAAGTATGCATTCAGTGTCTGCATTGTATCTAATTGAGTTTAAGTTTTTTTCCAAGTTGATTTAAAATAAATATTATTAATTTAACGAAGTAGGCCTTTATCAGAATTATTCATATGAAAACTTTTTTTAAAGTGCCTTTTGGTTTATACAGAGCTTTCATGTGCGTGTCTGGCTCGCGACTTCTTCCTGGCTTGCTCTTTTTTTGGTTCATTTCCCCAAGAGGTGGAGATAAATTTATTACCATTTTGCAGTTATAATGTTTCAATATCTATATCTCCTTCGGGGCCCGGCCTGCGTGGCCATTATCGCAATTTAAGCACGATTCAGATATATGTATGTATGTAGTTATATCCTCAGCTTAGCTGCTCCTTAGATTGCCGGTTACGTGATGAATGATCCGTACCAGGATGCATGCGAGCCCTTTGGCTGGGACCAACATAAAATGGTTAACTGGCAGTGAATCCTCAACCACCTGGGGTCAATAATTGGCGCTGCCGTAAACTAGAATTGTGGATCAAGGCTACTGGAGCGGATGGAGAAGGCCTGGTTAGGCCAACTAATTGGCATGTGGCAAGTTTCTAATGAGTTGCAAAAACTTCCAGCTGCCGAGGCTGTCAAAACAGCTGCGTCAGCAAGATTTAGAAATGTAAGAGGAATTAAATGACTTTTCGTTTTAATTCGTAAGACGATTAAAAAAAATAATTAAAATGAAAATTTTCTTTTGTACATGACATCGAATTTTCAGGATTCTTTTTCCTGATTAAATTCACAGCATCTGTTGGTAATTAATAAATTTCTTGATCGGAAGTATATGTATTTCTTAGAAAAATGTTTTCTTATAAAGTGAGACTTAAAAACACTTATATACACTTCCATTTTATTTATTGCCAATATTTTTTACGAATAAAAGCTTTTAGTAGAAAATATCAATATTCAGTATGTATTTTAAATTAAAGTTTTCAACCGAAAATAAATTCATGAAATGAATACCATTTCGGCATTCATTGCAAGCACCGCACAATATTTTTATGCTTCATCAGGCCGAATAAAGCCAGCAGCTTTTGGTTGGCCCAAAGTGTGTGGCACCGGATTTTCCGTGCGGGTGTGGGTACTGAGATATTTTATCAGTCAAAACGCACACATGGGCCAACTGGAAACTGCAAACTGCAGTTGCCAAACATGGCCAACACTCGTGGATGATGTGGAAACGGATGGTGGTTGCACTATTCCAATTTACGCGCCCTATCACTGGTTTTATGAAATTTTCATTAATATATCAGGGGAATGAAAACATAATTTATTTTTATAATGGTGAAAAGAAAACCTCAGTAGAAGTGAGAGGTTATTGCGAGGTCCGCGTAAATGAAATTGCCATGTTTATTTAATTCCCGGCTTTGCATTTGACATGCAAATTTGTCGCATCGCGAGTAAACAAAAGTTTTGGGGGCTGCAATTTATTCAAATAAATAATAAATGTATGTACTATATATACACATCATTAGTTCCTCTCAAAACAGGGTTATAGCGCTGGTAACTAGTAGTCATTCACTATGCATATGTGGATTATTTTTGCGTCGCGTCGAATTCAGCTGGCCATTGGGGGGGTTTGCTTTGGTTAAGTTAGCTCGAGGGCCAGTCGCCTGGCCTCAACCTTGTCCTGGGTTCGTCCTCCGTCCGGTTCCGTGGCATGTCCTCGCGTCCTTGTCGTGACTCAATCGCCGCCGCACACTTGAGCACGTTTGCCCAGGCGCGGCTTGAACGGCACCGATTTCTTGGCCATTCGCTGCACGAACTGGCCGCCAATGGCCTCCTCCGGCGCTCCCTCGCCGTCCAGGAGTCGCCAGGAGTCAATGCTGCGGCCAAGGCGTGGCGTCCGCACGCGATAAGCGGGCTCGCCATTGCTCTGCACTGTGTAAAGGGAAAGGAATATTATAAAAAAAGAAGTTATCAATTGAGGAATATTCAAGTTAGAAATGTTTTTTTTTTGGTAAATTAAATATTTAATTTAAAAAACTGAATCAGAAGTATTTTCAGAATTTCCTAAAATCTGTAGAGCATTTCAAGACGACAAAGGGGTACTTCAATTATAATTATTATAATTTTAAATTAGTTAAATTATAATTTAACTAATAAACCATTAATATTTAAGAATAAGCTATTATTTATACCAACTGTTGTTACAAGGTTTTGGCAGATTTCAAGAACTCCCACAATCATGGTGAATGTCTTGATTTTACGTCAAATGAATAATAATTCCAGATTTGAGAATGAAATGAAAAATAAACAAGTCAAATGACATGCATATTAAATGGCAATAGGATTTTCATATTATGTATGTTTTTTTCTTGTGCAAAAATGAGGCAAAAAGCTTATGGTTAAAGTATGCCAAAGTGATGGAGATGGTGGCGTGAAATGTGAACGTGATTGGGGATCCAATTAGAAGGGCTCCAACGCATATTTTTGGTTCACATTCTAGCACGCGTCCATCTCCCTCCGGACGTTGCGTATACGCAGTGTGATCCCCTCGGGGCAACTTACGCTGTCGCAGCTTCTGCAGCAGCAGGTAATAGGTCAGTGGCGGCATGCTATCCAAATCGAATTCCTGGCCCTGTGGCGGCACGGCGGCCGCCGGCATTGTGGCACTCGCCTTCTGGGCCAGGCTATTCTCCTCCAGCTCGTCAATGATGTCAGTCAGCTCTTTGTAGTCGCCCATGGCGCGTTTTTGGCGCCCTTCGCTCATCGCTCCCGCCGAAGAAGACGATGATGATGATGATCCTCTTGCAGAGCCTGCGCTGATGTGATTTCCCAAATCCAGTTTGCTCGTGCCCTGCACAAATAAAGTGCCACAAAAGCAAAGCACAAAAAACAGCACGCAAGAGGTATGAAAAAAGGGGCTAAATATTTCAGATATTTCCTTGGAGGCTGTTTTTTTTTTGTTTCTTTTTTTTTTTGAGGATACCCTGGCTGCCAAACTGTCGACACGTGTTAAGTTATTTTTATGCCGCCTATTTATGCTCATACTCGTACGTGAGCTGCACACACACACAGTCGATGGTGGGTGTCCCAGGATGTGTGAGCCCCAAATGTGCGAGTCAAGCACTTTATTGTTTCAATTTACAGCCAGGCTGAGCAGCGTGTGCCGCTTGATTAGACAACTCAATGTAGATTGAAATGCCAACACCTGAAATCGGCTTGTAAATCGCACTTCGCCCATAAACGCTCTCTCTAAGCGGCTGTCTGTGTGGGCGTATACTTGATATTAAACCTTCGTTTGCCACAGCATTTTAGATTACACAAGAAACAAGAAAGGAAGCTAGCTTCGGCCAGCCGAAGCTTATATACCCTTGCAGATCATTCCTATTAATTAACAAATCGCAAAAATGTTCAATTTTCTAATATTTCTCATTAATTTTCCGATCGTTCCTATGGCAGCTATATGATATAGTCGTCCGATTTTGATCAAATTAAAATTGAAATTCGGAAATATTTAAAAAGAGTCATATCCTAGAGTAGAAGATAATACAATAAAAACCAAAGAAGCTAGAATTTATTTCCTATTACTTTTCCATTAATTTTCCGATCGTTCCTATGGCAGCTATATGATATAGTAGTCCGATTTTTTAAATAATTAATTCGAAATTCAGAAATATTTAAAAAACAAGAAAGGAAGCTAGCTTCGGCAAGCCGAAGCTTATATATCCTTGCAGATCATTCTATTAATTTACAAATCGCAAAAATGTTAAATTTCTTATTATTTCACATTAATTTTTGGATCGTTTCTATCACAGCTATATAATATAGTAGTTCGATCTTTTAAAAATTAAAATCGAAATTCGGAAATATTTCAAAATAGTCATATCCCAGAGTAGAAGGAACTGTAATAAAAACCAACAAAGACATAATTGTTTTCCCATTAATTTCCATTTAATTTTTCGACCGTTCCTATGGCAGCTATATGATATAGTGATCCGATTTAAAAGACAAAAAAACCGAAATTCAGCTTCGGCCAGCCGAAGCTTATATACCCTTGCAGATCATTCCTATTAAAAAACAAATCGCAAAAATGTTCAATTTTCTAATATTTCTCATTAATTTTCCGATCGTTCCTATGGCAGCTATATGATATAGTCGTCCGATTTTGATCAAATTAAAATTGAAATTCGAAAATATTTAAAAAGAGTCATATCCTAGAGTAGAAGATAATACAATAAAAACCAAAGAAGCTAGAATTTATTTCCTATTACTTTTCCATTAATTTTCCGATCGTTCCTATGGCAGCTATATGATATAGTCGTCCGATTTTGATTAAATTAAAATTGAAATTCGGAAATATTTAAAAAGAGTCATATCCTAGAGTAGAAGATAATACAATAAAAACCAAAGAAGCTAGAATTTATTTCCTATTACTTTTCCATTAATTTTCCGATCGTTCCTATGGCAGCTATATGATATAGTAGTCCGATTTTTTAAATAATTAATTCGAAATTCAGATATATTTAAAAAATAACATCCCCAAAAGTAGAAGGTAATATTTCAAAAAACACCGAAGTTAGAATTTTTTAAAGTTTTTTTTTCCGATTGTTCCTATGGGAGCTATAAGATATAGTTGTCCGATCCGGTCGGCTCCGACATATATACTACCTGCAATAGAAAGAAGACTTTTGGGAAAGTTTCATCCCGATAGCTCAAAAACTGAGAGACTAGTTTGCGTAGAAACAGACAGACGGACAGACGGACAGACGGACAGACGGACAGACGGACAGACGGACAGACGGACGGACAGACGGACAGACGGACAGACGGACAGACGGACATGGCTAGATCGACTCGTCTTGTGATACTGATCAAGAATATATATACTTTATGAGGTCGGAAACGTCTCCTTCACTGCGTTGCAAACTTCTGACTGAAATCATAATACCCTCTGCAAGGGTATAAAAATTAAATTAAATGATATTCAAATATTTTAAATGAGTATATGAACAAATATCTTTTTTAAAAAAAATTTTACATTTTATATCCCCTTATATTTTTAAATTGTATTACTTATATTACTTAAAGATATATATATTTTTGTATGCTTGTTTTCAATTATATTAGAACATTTGTTTTAAATTGTTCTCTAAGTGTACAGAATTTAATAATCAACACTTTGCTAAAACTTGAACTGAAACCTACATTTTGCTAAGCAGTTTGTCCTCAACCACAAATTCGAAATGCTTTGAACTGTGATAAGCTTGATATAATTTTGGCCTTTTGATTAATGGCGGCCTATTGGCGTTCACCAAATTTTCAAAGCAAAACACCATGATCAACTAAATTTAATTAGTGGTAAGAACTAGTTACGTAATACGTTTACGCACTGCGGCTGCCATCTGCATACCAAATGTTAATTGGATGCGAATCGATTGCCTGCTGGCACCAAAAAAAAGGAAACTAGCAGCATCTGCAAACTAATTGGTTGCATTTCAAATGCCGTCGACAGCGCGGAAATGAGACTGCCACAAAATGCAGCCAACACACGGCGGAGAAAGAACTTTTCGCCCCGAAATTTCCGTTCATAAAATCCAAGAACGCTAGCAGCCGTTGGAAATTATCACGCTAAGCTGGCGAACTTGTGCCTGGGCAAATAACACTAATTAAGTGGCGCTTGTTGGGGCAACAAGCACCCAACACAGGATGCCAGGGACTCACCTGCAAGGACTTGGCCTGACTGCAAACGAGGACGTAGCAGGAAGCCGCGATTAGCAGCAGTGTGCAATAACTGGGACCACACATAACTGGACGTTGGGGCGTTCTGGGTTTTCTGGCGTTTACGAGCTACTGGCCTCCTAGGACAGGACACTCTGGACCTATTAACTCTATATAGTCGCCGAATGGGACCGCGTGGCGCTTTGGGACTGCTTTGGGGCACAACTGATGCCAGCAGCCTGGCGATCCGCAAGTTTTATAGCCAAATTGCGAACGGGCCCCCATGCGAGCTTGATTAGGTCGCTGATGGACGGGTGCTAAGTGATTTGTTATGCACTCTAATGCCGGCAAAAGGCAGCCCGCTGGTCAGCTGGTAAACAAGCTGGGCGGCGAATCAAGCGGCAAATCCCAAACGGAAGCGCCACCAATTTGTCGCACACAGAGCGAGTGTCAAACGGGACACAGTGACTGGGATTCAAATTGGAAAACTAATTGTCAGCTTGCAGTCAGAGAAAAAATTACCACGAAAATATATATGCGCTTATAAATAAATAAGATATTTTTTTATCATCAATTTGACATTTCGAAAAAATTAAACTCATATTTGTAGACCAGCTTTCACATCAATATGCGGAGGGGATATTAATTTTCACTGCTGTAGATTGCTCGTCAAGCCTTGAAATGTTTTATTATGGCGGCTTAATAAAAATATTAAATGCTTGCTTTCTGATAAGTGACATATCGTTTCACAGACAGAAGCTGCTCTTTTAAGTTGTCAAAAGATATGACACACACATGCATCAACAAATTTCAGTATACACGAAATAAATACAAATGAGGTGTACAATTATTTTCAATTTAAAGCGGAAAATTTAAATTCCAGCTTTGCATTTTAAAATCTTATCTTGAGGCCCAGAAACAATTGCACAAATAAATCTGAAGAGTGTACATTTATAAGTGTCTATCATAAAAACGTTTCTTTTGGATGATACTTGATAATGGAGCTGAGAAAATACGATGGCTATTCCCATGACTATTTAGTACGCTTATAAATATTTTCAAGGAAACTAATCTATTTTCTGAGAGAATCTAATAATCGTTTTCGCCGTGCAACCGAGCAGAACCGTGGGGCATCCTGTTTAATGGAAATCAAAGCGCGTGTAAAGTCCGTCACGCCCCAGAAGGCGAGAGCATTAGGGCCAACGCCCACGTCGGAGCAATGTCAATGCCGTTGACGCTGCCAATCGATCAATCTTATTTAAATGTTGACAGTTGTCTTCGCAATGTATCCCCTGTAGCTTGAGGCCCTGTTGGGCTGTTTGGCTGTTTGCGGATGGGGGAAAGGCTTGGTGTCCCAGCTCCTGGCTTATTTAAATGCCATTCGTGAGCCGCATTAGGTTCAATTTGTTGGGCAAACAGCTTGCACACCTGCCTGTCAGCAGGCATTTAAAATCAGATTCGCATTCAGATTCAGAGGACTCCGATTGGCAACTGTCAACGGCGAGAATGGGTCAACAGGGCAGTCAAATCGAATTGCTTATGTATATTCGCCGGAAGATATAAGCTCGGCACACTTGGTCGGGTTTCAATAGCAGCAGCAGGCAGCAAATCACCAGGATTTTCAATTAACTAAACTCGGGCCCTCCGCAGACATCAACAATCCATCAATCGAGTGTTTTTCTGGATGCTCTCGGTCCACATGTAGTCCAACTAGTCCGTGCATCTGTTGCAGCTGCTGGTCGAGTGTTTATTTGTGCCACTAATTTACACAAACATGACCCGGACACACGACCCACAGACGAACCCGACGAACCTGACGACCCCCAGCTGGCATTTATTTATTTAGTAACTCTATGTACGTGGGGTGACCTCTTTTCCAGCCGGAGAGCACTGAAGGATTTATCTATTTGCCAACTGCTGAGAGTGTATCCTTGAAAGCCAACAAAAATAAGCAACCATAAAGTTGCGAAAAATGTCATTTGACAAAACCGAAACTGGGGGATTATCTTGCACAGCATTTCTGCTACCTGTCATCTATCAGAAGATTATTCCGAGTAACTAATTGGACAGCCAACTGCAGGTTTCTTCTGATGTGATATTAGTTTCACCTGCCAATTTTTTCCTATAGATAAAAACATTTTTCTATTGGTATTTACAATAACTAGATTAAATCCCCAGTAGATTACAAAGTTCTATTTAATTAATTTGACACAAAAAAAGCTTTCGAGCGGAACACAATTTATTTCGGCACGTATGCAATAAGCCTGAGGGCTTATTTTCCATTAGAAGTGGCCAATGGGCGAAGGATTAAAAACAAATTATATTGGATTTTGGATAAAATGTAGCCAGAATAGTAACTAATTGAAGGCACTGCCAATCGAAAACCAACTTCTCGTTCATTTACCATTTTGATAACTTAATTTCAGCTGTCAGTTTCAGTAACCTGGGCTACGGTCAGCTATCAGTTTGACCAGGGGAAAGGGGAAGCTGAGGCCAAAAGGACACTCAATAAGTCGCTGGCTTCGGTGTTTGCTTTTCGAATTTGCCAGTGGATCAATTATTTGCTCTTGCTCGCTTTATCAGTTTGCTAATGCTCCAGAGGAGTTAAGCCCTCAAATGGCGCGGCAGCTAATGCCCCTCGACGCCACGCCCCCAGACCACCGACCACCGCCCATCGTGTGTCCTTCGACCAGGCTCAGGATGGCGAAGGGATTTAATTGAATTAGTCGTGTCCTGTGCGCGCGGCGCTTTGAAGTTTGCACTTTGCACCCCGCCCACTCGACCTGGTAAACTGGGCCCAAGATACTCGAGGTCCTGAACCCAGGACCCAGGATCCAGGACCCTGGGCTCTGTTGACGTTTGCGCTTAGGCGGAACTGCCGGAAGGGCAGCGGCTTTGTAAACTTTCCGCGATGGCAATAATTAAGCCAAATAGAGTGTGAGTGGGCCAAAGGGCTTTGGCAGTCAAGCGACCAATAAATAATGGCTGCTGAAACTTATAAGCCAAGCAGGATAGAACGCACTGATGTGGTTTCTCTACAGCTGAAAGCCGGGCATTAAAGCATTTAGTTGCCAATCTGCTGGTCCTGGTAAACAAGTCGAATCGACAGCTCAAGGACAATGCCAGGAGCTCCAATGCAATCAATTCGGCAAGGTTATCCGTACACATATATATCCTTAAAAATATTGAAATCAAAACTGTGAAGGATAAGCAGAGCAATCTCTTCGCTCCCCCACACACACAAGTGGGATAAAAACTTGTAGCCAGCGATTTATGTGAGTGCCAAGGACGGATTTAGCTTCAATTCAGTGGTGGGACCAAAGTGTAAGCTTGTTTTTAGCATTTCCCCGATGATGTGCTAGCTTTTTTACGGCCAAATTGAGACGCTTGAAAGCTAGCAATAATATAAACTTACGGATTACCCGAGATTATGAAGAGTCTTTTGTTTTACTTATAACCAGCGCAAAGGATTTGCAGCAGAGTTTCCATTGTGCCGGGCGTGAGCCACTATAAAAACTTTTCCCACTTTCACTGCGGAGATAATCTGCGCTTTAATCTCGCTTTTAAGGCAACAACTTGTCTATATGGCACATGCATATATATGTATGTACATTGTGCACTCCCCACAAGTGTCAGCACTTGACGGCACTTCTGTCGCTGGGGATATAATATAGAAATGCAGATGCATGCCGAGCGTTCACACTGCGTATACGCAATATATTTCTGTTATTTTAATGTTGAAGTGGCGGACATCCAAGGGATATTTCGCTTTTGTGTGCTTCTCCTCGGCAAATCGATAGGTAATGGGGTTTATGGCCCCTGAATTTTGTATATACACACACATAAAAACCCCCTGGCATTCTCATTTTGCCAATTTTCATGCAGTTTCACAGGCTCACACTCTCCGATTATTTCATAAATTATTTATTTATTCATTTGCAGTTCCCGTGTCGCCGACTGTTGCGCGCTTGAGTGCCGAATCGACTTTTTGCCATTGCCAACAGCTCGAACATCGCAGAGATCCGAACGACCTGTGGAGGATTGGGATTGGGAAATGGAGTGGAGGTGCCCGGTCGGGGCTTTGAGCAAGTACTCGTCGTTCGAGTACTCGAACTGCGGAAGAGGAGCAACAGAGGCAACCAGGATGACGGCGAACTTCGGCAGACTTGTTTGCATTGCAGATTGCAATTACTCGCGTTTTAAATTACGCACAGCAAGGATAAACCACGAGTGCAGCGAAAAAGTATTGGGGAAGGAACTTGAATGAGCTGCGCTTCAATCAGGTTGCGAAATTGAAGAGATGTCAGGGGTTAACGTGGCCGACCTTCTGGCCACGACAATGACATTGCCCATAACAGCCACATCAACAGCAGCAACATCGATTGCAGTTAGTGCCACAACAGCAGTAGCATCAACGAAGAACAGCAGCAGCAACCTGCAACCTGCAACATTAACTAGCCACATTGCAGCAGCAACAACGACGACGACCAGTTTGCCTACAACATCGCAATTTGTGGATGCCTCGTTGACTTCGCTATCATTAACAGCCACATCGTCAGCCTCCATTTCCTCGTCCTTTTCGTCCTCCTCGGAGTCCCCGTTCGAGTTCCTCGCGACAGTTGGCCCAAACATCACGGCCAATGGCAGTCTGGTCGGAGTCGAGAGCCCCGAGGAGCTGGAGGAGAGCTGGCTGGATCTGTCGCTGCTGCTGCTCAAAGGATTCATCTTCTCGTCAATTATCCTGGCCGCCGTCCTGGGCAATGCGTTGGTCATCATTTCGGTGCAGCGCAATCGAAAGCTGCGGTAAGTCTTTATGTGCAATTATTTTTGTTCCCAGGATCCCGGGATCTCAGTATCCATTCACCTGCGTTTAATTGACGGCCATTGCCGCAGGGGTCGTACGGACTACAATGGTGGCTCTGGGTCGCATGCAGTATTCGCATTTTGCCAGCGTAATAAATGTAATTTAAATGAGCGACAAGTGGAATAATAAAGCACAAAACGAAGTTAAATGCGACACACAAGCCCATCGCTGCCATGACAGCGTCGCGATGACAGGACGCCCTAGAGTGCAGTGCAAATAAGTGTAGCATACAATTGAGCGCATGGCTCGAACCCCCTCCCCCCTATGACACTGCCACTGCCACGCCCCCTCGCCACGCCCACGGCACCTCGTTTAATGTTGCGCAACGTTTATGCCTTCTGCAACGAGGGTAGATGCTGATTAAAGACTTTATGATACCACTAAGGCAGCTTAAAGTGCTCCGATTATCGTTTACTACCCTTTTTATATAACGTAGACGGTTCGCAATATAGGATCGCGTTAAGACATTAAAATATGAATCGGTACTTAAGGAGTATAAAGAAATAAATGCGAGGTGCGTTAAGCGTTATCACTTGGAAATATCCGTTCTATATGCACAAATTAATTATAACTTTCATTCTTGATTAATTTAACACTTTAAAAGGTTTTTATTTCTGGATATTCTAAATTTAAACCTTGATTATCCGCATTCAAGATAAGGCCTTAGCTTAATTTTTCTATGTGAAATAATTATGACATTTGTTTTAAATTTTAGGAAAATAGAAAACATATATACTTATACTTATGTGTCGAAATGTAGAAACAATTTTTCAAGTCGGACCATTCATTAAACAGTTATTAGCAAATAATGCAGTCGCTTTACTGCATTCAAGTCCCCCCATCTCTCTCGCACTTCCTTTGGCCGAGTAAAGGGTATCTGATAGTCGAGGTACTTTTTTTTTTAATTTAAAAAATATAATATTTATACCCCTTACTCGTAGAGTAAAAGGGTATATTAGATTCGTGCAAAAGTATGTAACAGCTAGAAGGAAGCGCTTCCGACCCCATAAAGTATATATATTCTTGATCAGGGTCACTAGCCGAGTCGATCTAGCCATGTCTGTCTGTCCGCCTGTCCGTCTGTATGAACGCTGAGATCTCAGAAACTACAAAAGCTAGAAGGTTGAGATTTTCCACACATATTCTTGGGCTTCCTACGCAGCGCAAGTTTATTTTAGCCGAGCGCCACGCCCCCTCTAACGCCCACAATCGCCCACTAACGATTTTAAAATGGGTCCTGCGCCCACATCTTTAAAGATTTCCGAGAAGTATAAATGCAATTTTGTTGTGTATATTTTTTATATATCTACATATATCTATCTCCCTCGCACTCCCTTTAGCTGAGTTACGAATTTTAGTCGGGACACCAACCCGCGTTCGCACTTCCTTTAGCTGAGTGACAGGTATTAGATAGTCGGGACACCAACCCGACTATAGCGTTCTCTCTTGTTTTTCTATTAAATTGAAAATTCCTTTTGAAACAGTACCTACTTTTCCGAATTACGTATTAATTTTGCCAAAATTATTAATGGTTAAGACAACGCTGGCGCATAAACCTCCCCCTATAAGTACACACTTGCCCCGAAGACAAGATAATAACTTCACCTGGCAGTGGCTCCCAGCTGAAGGTGGCAGCTGCCTAGTGACTCGGATGACTTATGACAGCCAAGGAAATTGCTGCATACTACCGGTGACCTGTGCTGCCTTGCAGTGCGGAAATGGAAATGGAAAGCAGTGCAATGTTTAGCCAGCTGAATGGAAGGGAAGGAAACGCCAAAGCCAAAGCCGAAGAGCTAAATCCACCGGACTCGCCACCTACATATGATGCATGCCATATGCCATTCCGTTTGGCGTGGCTGCTCTGTGACGAGTGGTGGTTAGAAGTCCGCACGTCCGGCTAAATCCCACCTAGCAAATCCCCACGAAAAGCACTCACTCACAAATTCTTGGGCTTTTGTTTCGTTCGCAGGGTGATAACCAATTACTTTGTTGTTTCGCTGGCAATGGCCGACATGCTGGTGGCCCTCTGTGCGATGACATTCAACGCCTCCGTGGAACTGTCCGGCGGAAAGTGGATGTTCGGACCGTTCATGTGCAACGTGTACAACAGCCTGGATGTTTACTTTTCCACGGCGAGCATACTGCATCTGTGCTGCATATCGGTGGACAGGTGAGTGCCCAATTATGTCACTATATCTATCTATATTGAACGGCTTAAAGTCAATTGTGGCGGGGGGCGCCGAGAGCTGCGTTTAAATCGACCGCAAAACCATTAATCTTGCCCAGATGCCTGGCGTCCAAATCACTTTCAATACCAGAGAGCCCGGGCGCATTGCCAAGAAGAAACAATTAATTACCGTGAAAGGCGCGCACATCAAAAGCAAACATTAGGCCCCGCCCGTATGATGAATGCGGCCCAAATGATTTGCAGCTGCCCCGAGATATTCCACCCAATATCCCTGCCGCCAAGCGAGGTTCCCGTTAATTGGGCGCCATTTCTACTTGGTGAAGAGCTACAACAGCTGCGATTTTCGGGCTGACCAACAACAATGAACGAGGATGGAGAATGGAGGATACAGGATGGCCAATGGACACTGGCATGGGCCCTTTGTCTGTTTTAATTAATTTGTGTTTCGCTCACCTTTCGATGGGCCGCAAAACATACCGAAAACAAAGGAAAACACAGCCAGACCAATCGAAATTAGAAAATTAATGATGGCCACTGAGGGGAATATGGCTAAACTAATAAATCTGTCATATTTCGAAAAAAAACTGCTAATCATCAGATTGTATTGTCTTTGATTTATTCGAGATATAAAAGCTATTTTATTAATACTGCTAAACCACTAAATTCTATATAATACTTAAATAAATCGATTACTTTGCATGGCAACCTGAGTGCCGAAACACAATTATCCAGCCAACCGAATAGCGATAATCAATTATTGTGCTAAAAGGAACGGCAGGACGAGGCTGAAAGCCACCTGGCACTTTTGCGGGGAGGCCCTGTCCGCAATTCATTTCCATTAATAAAGATGCCCCCTCTGCTTCTGCTCTTCGACACAGATACTACGCCATCGTGCGTCCGCTGGAGTATCCATTGAATATGACACACAAAACGGTTTGCTTCATGCTCGCCAACGTGTGGATCCTGCCCGCCCTCATATCCTTCACGCCCATCTTCCTGGGCTGGTACACGACGGAGGAGCATCTGCGGGAGGTTTCGCTGCATCCGGACCAGTGCTCGTTTGTGGTCAACAAGGCCTACGCCCTCATCTCCAGCTCGGTGAGCTTCTGGATACCGGGCGTCGTGATGCTGGTGATGTACTGGCGCATCTTTAAGTGAGTTGCAGGCTCCTCCTCCGGTCGAGGTTGATGGGTTGCTAAATTGTCCTCTGTGGTTTTTGCAGGGAGGCGATACGCCAGCGCAAGGCCCTCAGTCGCACCAGCTCGAACATCCTGCTGAACAGCGTCCACATGGGCCACACCCAGCAGCCCACCAACCTGAGCTATCTGCATCCCAGCGACTGCGATCTGAACGTGGCCTCCGCCCGCGAGGAGACGCACAGTGCCCTGAGTAACTTGGAGGTGAGTTTGGGATTGGGTTGGGACTAGGAAAATCTGTTTATTATGTTTGAGAGGGCAAGAAAGTGATATTAACTCTGTAAAACCAATTTCTGGTATTTCAAAAAATCCGTTTAGAAAAAAAGAATTTTAAAATTAAAATCAGCCAAAAACGTTTTATTAAAACCAGTAGTAACTGATAGTGGTTTGAATTATTTTATTGCGACTTGGCATACAAATATCAGAAAATCCACTTCATGAATTCAATAGAATAATGCAATATGCTCAATTAATAGCAAAATAATTAGCAAAGATTTTAAAATTAAAATCAACTTAAAACGGTTTATTGAATTCAGTAGTAACTGAATTGATTTATTTTATTGAAACTGCATAAAAATATCAGAAAATTCACTTTAATGAATTTAATTAATCAAATATTCATTTCGATCGTTTAAAAGCTGCTTACAGCAATGAAAACATACTGATGTTCTGTTTTCAATTTGCAATTAAAAGTAATTAATTAAAGACTATAATAATATGGGAACAATTTGCAATATCTATTATCAAATCGCAATAAAAATTAATTAAGGTATAACTAATCATTAAATCGGGAATAATATTGATTTAATGCATTAAAGTTTGCATTTTAATTAAAGACTAAAAAAGGCTTTTTTCATGATTAGTAAGAGGATGTAAAGTGATTAGATTAAACGATGGAGGGCGGCACTCCGCTCGAGAGTTTATCCTTTGTGCCTCTGCGTAATTAATGTGCCAACATGACTTCCTGTCGTGTGCGTTTGTTTGCATGGTTGTTCCCTTACCCACAGGACATGCTGCAGCCGGCCACCGACGAGGACGACGACAGGGACGAGTGCGATGAACTGCGTGTGCCATCGCCGCCGCCCCGCCGCCTCAGCCGCAGCAGCATCGATCTGCGGGACCTGGAGCAGGAGCGGTACGAGAAGGTCACCCACACGGACAGCGCCCCCTCGATGATGGCGTTGCAGCAGCAGCCCTCCTCTCACAATCAGTTGCAGCCACCGGCGCCAGTGTTCAATCCGCAGATATGGACCGAGGGCAAGTTGATCCAGGGATCAAAGGAGCACGAGGGCCATCCCCCGCATCCCTCGGCGCCGCAGCAGCAGCTCAGCCTGACGAGCGGCAGTGGGAACAGCGAACCGGAGCCCGAGTCCACGGCCTACCGGGTCTTTGGCCTCAACAGCGACGAGAGCGAGGGCAACGACCTCTACCTGACCGACACCCACCTGCCGCTGGCCGAGGACAACAAGGAGCTGAAGCGCCTGATCGAGGACAACTATCTGTACTTCAAGCGTCAGACGGGCGGCACCATCATCAGCGGTCCTGGTGGCGGCAAGTACGCGGCCCTCAGCGAAACGGACTTCATTCGCCTGAAGGCGGGGGCGACGGCCAGCGGAAGGAAGGCCTTTGCCTCCAGCGATTCCGAGTTCCTGCGCACCATCAGCGAGTCCACGAGAGCTGCCGATCCAGCGGAGCCGGAACCGGGTGTCAAGGAGAAGGGCTTCAACATCCTCTCGCTGCTGGCCAAGACGAAGCGCTCGAGCACCGAGTGCTTTGCGCTGGAGAAGAAGCGGCATCAGGCCAACTCCGAGGGCTCCAGCTTCTTCCGGCGCTCCCGCAACCGGAAGTTGTCGCACAGCTACAACGGATGCGGCGGCGGCAAGGAACGCAAACTTGAGCGACGCCAGCGGCAGCACAGCGACACGGATTCCACGCCCAACAAGCCGGACATTCTGCTGGACATCAATGTGCTCAGCGAGCAGAGCGGTGGCGGTGCCAGTGTAATCCAGCAGTTCAGCGACGGTGTGCAGCTGATCGACTTCAGCGAGGTGAAGACGCCGCCGCAGGAGAGGCACCGCAGCGATGATGAGCTGGCCCAGCTGGCCGATTGCTTTGGGGAGTCACCGCAGCAGCCGGCCACGCCGCCTCCTTCTTTGTCGCCACCGGAATTCCAGGAACCAAGTGGCCTGCTCATCGCCAGCAGCTCGGAGCTGGCCGAGATCTTCAGATCGCTCAGCTTTCCGCTGGGCAGACCTGCTGGTGCTCCGCAACGCCTGAGCACGCTGAGCGACCAGGTGTGCGCCAACTATCTGATGTCCCCACCGAACACACCGGCTCCTGCTGTCCTGGACTCGTCCTCCTCCTCCGCCGCCGCCGTGGTTAATGCCGCCAATGCGCAGCAATCGGCGTCCATCAATGTGTACTTCCTGTCGCCGCCGCCGCATGCCGCCGGACCGGGTTATACGCCCAGTGACGCCTCCACCGTCTCCCTGGATGTGGTCACCAGCCTGCCCATGTCCATGCCCGTCCCAGTGCCGCAGCCGAATGCCGGGCAGAACATATCGCCCAAGCCGGAGATCATACTCGACTCCACGCTGTCGCCCGTCGAAGGATGCGGCGATGAGCACCGGGATGTCACGTCGCCGCTGTTCAAGCGCAAAGATAGCGCCGGCGATGCGGACGTGAGCATTTCCGGCGGCCTGGCTGGGGGACTGGGGGGTGGAGGTGGTGGCAATGGCCGCCAAGGACGCTGCAGCATCCTGGCCGGCTACGATGGCATCCAGACCGTGCGCAAGCGACAGGCCTCCGTGGTGACCTACGACGTGAATGTCATCAACTTCTCGCAGGAGAACAGCGACAGTCGCAGCTACATCCCCATGGGCCGCGTTTCCACGAGTTCAGCAAGTGAGTAGTCCCGCTTTTGTGGTTATCGTGTAGACTGTTGCAGTTCGTGCCTGGATTAAGTAGCTCGTTTAAGACAATTTACTTCTGCCTTTGCGAAATTCGCTCTGTTTTTGTCTATTTGATGCCATACATGCAAGTGATTTAAGGGGTTTCTTTAAACTATTTACCAATTTTCTTCTGATTGTGAGGTATACCTAACTGCTTTTAATTAATCGATGTTTTTTATATACCTACTTAAAAACTTCTCTCATGTACTTAACATTTGTAACCCATTTTTTGTCATTAGTAAACTTAATATATAGTTTTAAAAACTCAAAATTTTAGTAATACTAAAACATTTACAAAAAAAAAGTATAATTGGTATTGCAAATTAACAATATCTGAAAAGAAAAATTAAATTGGGAACCCATTACCTAAATTTTAAAATAACTTACGAAAAATTCCTGTTTTTGTATTTAAAGAAAAAAAATTTTCTTTTGGATGGGATTTTAGTTAAAATTTTTTGGAGTATTTTTGAAACATTTTATTAAACAAAAATTGTGCGAATTTCCAAGCCACAGACCAAACCAAACTATAGAGCCTATCAACCTTCATTGGAGAAGTCAAAATATAATGCAATCTATTGAAATCTTAGTTGACTAGCTTAAAATAGAATAGTGCCAGCTTCTAGTTAGTTGCACCTGCAAACGAAGACAGAAAGGGACCACCTACTTCAAGAGATAGAAATCCGAGGATAGAGTCCTGAATCCCCTCCTTATCGATACCGATAACCGATACCGATACCGAACCCGATCCTTTGCGTTTGCCGGTGCATGGCACGCACGTGCATGCGATCTGAAGAGCATCCGAAGAGTGTGCCCAAAACCAGTGTCCTGTTCTCTGTCCTGTGAACTAAAACCTATTGTACATTGTCTACTACTCGTCTCTATCTGTCTCTCTTTATCTCTCTATCTATATCTCTCTTCCACGCCATTTCGTATGTGTGTTGTATGTGTATATATGTAAAATCAAATCACCAAATTATGTCCAACCAAAAAAAATTTCTACTCCAAACCAACTCCAAACAAAAACCAAAAAAAAAAACCCAAAAATGCGGTGGCCAAATTGAAAAAAAAAACCAACCCAACCAACTGCAAGCAGAGCACGAATTTTCCAATAAATCCTCGCTGATCCGACGCGGCGGCATCTGCATCTTTGTCGATGAGGAGGAGGCGGAGGTCATTGAGCAGCGGCCACGCGGCATCACCTTCGCCGCGGTGCCCAGTCCGCTGCCCAAGTGTCCGCTCTGCGGCGCCGACATCAGCAGCACCACCACCACCGCAAACGCGAACGCCGGCACCACAATCGACACCACTGAAACCACCAATGCAAGTGCAAGTGCAAGTGCAAGTGCAAATGCAAGTGCTAGTAGTAAACGTAGTATTCACGAGGCAACTCCCGATCTTGGCCAGGGGCCGAGGGATGGGTCCAGGTCCAGGTCCAGACCCGGGTCCAGTTCCATTCGCTTCTGGCACAAACGAACGGCGGCGGTCACAGCATGTTGGCAGCAGAGCAAGAACCGGAAGCGCCGCTTCAAAACCGGATGCAGTCACTGTGGTGCAACCGGTGAGTCTTGTCGTATCCCCTCCTCTCCTCCCCCGCTCTCTCTTTCTCTGTCTCTCTCTGTCTCTGTCTTTTTGCTTGTCTCAGCTTTAGCACCTGTCTCATCCCCTCACGATTCTACCCCTATCAAAGTCAATCATTCAATTTCTCACAATGCAGATTTCCTACTGACATCTCACAGTCAAATCCATAATATCTCGCCATTTTTCCTTATTGGGTACCAAGTCCATACTTCCATTAACTACAGTTTTTACATCTATACAAAATACATCATTCATATCATAATTTTTGGCATTTCTATTAATAGAATTTTCCAATTTTGAACATATATACTTATATAAACATTTTTTTTAGAGATTTAAGTGAGAACATATGATTTTATACAGATAGAGATATTTAGTTTAACGTAAGAAAAGTTATATTCATTTGAACTTTTGTTATACACGTAGATAAGGAAAAAAGGCTATTGCTCTTTAAATTTAACCTCCCTATATTCCTAATCTTTTGAGTAATGGCTAGCAAATCCCCAAGTTAAATATCATTATATCAATTTCAAGGTGAAACCGAAGAGTTACCCCAGTTTTGGAAACCCCTAAGCACAAGATCCAGCTTGACTGACAAATCCCCACACAAATGCCAGTTTTTGGCACCTTCTTATCTGGATACCCTGCTAACCAGCTTAGGCAACCAAATCCAGAGGGTCATATCATCCAGACCTCATGCGTTCCCCTCCTCCTCCCCCTCCTACATTGCTGCCCTCATGCTGTACATAATTGCTTCCGTTTGCACGTGCGTTTGCTTTGCTTTATTGCGCCTCCACACTGCCTTTCGTTTTGCATTATGATTTCACCTGGTTGCTGGCCACCTCCGAGTGGCATCCATCAGGGGATGAATGGTGGATGGTGTCGGGTGGCCAACTGGATGGGTGGGGATTCGCCCACCGCTTCCTGTTGCTCACTGTTGTCTGTCTGATTTGTTTTTTTCCTTCTGCCCCCCTCGCACTCCCACTTTCCAGAGATGTTTATGTTTATGTTTGGACGGACGGATGCGGGGAATTGTATGTCTTTGTGATAACAAGTGTCCTGTGTAAATATTTTCAATTGTTTGCCTCGTTTTTATTACTTTTCCCCGCACACGCACATGCCAGAGCACCGAGATACAACACATGTTGGCCTTTCCAGCAGTTTAATGACAGTTACTGCAAGGTGGGCGCTGCAGGGGGCGGGACGGGGTGAAATGCCATCGATACTCAACAACATACAACAGCCAAAGTATTACTAATGTCAAAGTGAAACATGCCAGGATACGACCAGTCACACACACAGTCAGACACACGGCGTATACGCAACATGCCGGCATCTTCTTTCTCACATAATAAAATGAACACAAACCGTTTTTTTGTTGTTGCATTTTACACTCAGGATATAGTAAATTAAAAGATGTATCACATTTTTAAATTACTATTAAATTCTCTACAAAATATTCGTAAGATTAGGGTAATCACATATTAAACAAATGAAATTGCTATTACAAATTATACAAATATAATCGCAAATCACTTCAAATTAAATTAAATCATTCAAGGTACTTACATAAAATATTACGCCTAATCCACCATTTTAAACTTGTTAAAAGGGTGCATCTTTTTTTTCCTAGTGTACCCACACACACACTTAAAACTGAGCCAGAAAACTGTCAATTGCAATGGCTCAATAAGAACTTGACTCTGGTCAAAGTCCCAAAGAATGGGTCGCACCAGGGCGAATCGAGTCGTTTCGAAACGAATCGAATCGAATCGTATCGAATTGAACTTAATCAGCCAATTGCCTTCTTTCATTTCGGTCCTAAACTCTTTATCTGCCCCCACAGGCGGCTCCGTGCGACCGGCCAAAGGATGGAAGGCCGAACACAAGGCCGCCCGCACACTGGGCATCATCATGGGCGTCTTTCTGCTCTGCTGGCTGCCCTTCTTTCTGTGGTGAGTGATAGGCCGTAATCCGTAATCCGTAGTCGGTAATCGGTTGGCCGACATCTTATGGCGGCTCATCCCCATACTCATTCTTACACACTTCTGCCTTCCCATCCAGGTATGTCATCACATCGCTCTGCGGACCCGCCTGCCCCTGCCCCGATGTGCTCGTCGTGGTGTTATTCTGGATCGGTTACTTCAACTCCACGCTGAATCCGCTTATATATGCCTACTTTAATCGCGATTTCCGCGAGGCATTCCGCAATACGCTCGAGTGTGTGTTGCCCTGTCTGGAGAAACGAAATCCCTACAACGCCTACTACGTCTAGACCGGATCCCTATGCATCGCAACCACATCCCCCCTTCGATATGGAACAATGCCCCTATAAGTGATATTTAATACTTGAGTGAATCGTTATACCAAAGGAAGAAAAACAAAAAGGAAAGCAAAGGAAAACAAGGGCGACGGCAATACCAGAAGCAAAATCCTTGGAGCTAAGCAATACTCAATGTGTGTTTATGTATACGTGTACAATTTCATTTAAGCAACGATAGGGAATTTAAATTAAAGTTGTGTTCTGAGCCCGCCAAGCAGCGGTTGCAGGGACAATGCTGCCCCGGAACTATACTATCCATATATAAGTGTTGTTTGTCCAACTAAACAGGAGATATACGTAAAAAAAATATACATATATGGGATAAAAAATAAAAACCAATTAGTAAGCGCGCCACTCTATGCATAGAAAAATTCCAATTTAAAGTGAAATGTTGTCAAATGGATTGTAAGAATCATGTAAGGTCCTTCGGCCTGTCGAAGATAATACACTATTTCCATCGATTATTTTACTTCCATTTGTGAATTCATTTCTCTGAGAAAGTTATTACTTTGTCTTTGCTCTCAAGACTACGGACCACATTTCTGAATAGACATTTGTTAATTTGAGTTTATAAAAAACATATTTTAAAAAAACGAATTTGGAGAAACTTTTCTTTACCACTTTTATTTTAACACTCAAAAGAACCGAAAATCATGGAAAAAGTGAAATGCCATAATCTTACCTATAGCATTAAGTATCATATGTATCCTAGAAAACTAGCAAACCAAATCTACATAATCGAGTTAAATAAAATTGAAAATTATGAATTACGCAATCGAAATTATGTAAAGAAAAAATAGAGAATGAATGAGAATTGTCTAGGTGACGTTATGAATTTTCAAGCAGAAAGACAATCTACCAATGGGTAAACAAGAATGAACTTTGAACAACCAAAATTGGCAAGCTGTAGGAAATTTCGCTATTCGCTGTAAAATCGATTCACTTATTTCAATTTAGTTAGTTCTATTCCCCTCTCTCCTGAGTTGCGACGACTTTTGTGATAGTAAAGGAAATTGATTGTACTTCTAGTTGAATTGGTTTGCGTTGAGCAAGTAATGCATCCCGTCTCAGAATCTGTACTATGTATGTGCGTGTGTCTAAGTGTGTAAGGCCATATATCGCTATGTATTTAAATGTACTTGCTGAACTAAACTATTGCAAATTAAAGTGTGAAAATAACGTGTTTTAAAAGCTGTTTGTCCTTTGTTCAGGTAATATTGTAATAATAATGGGTAAACGGGGTAAATATTAAAAGACAGTGACAAAATCTGTAAATGAATAATAACATAAAAACCTTTCATAAAAACAGATAAAAACTAAGTCTGTGTTCGATATATTCACCAATGTAGGTATCCTAAAAACGGCAATAACCCTTTCTTCTGGGAACACATCTTAAATTGTAAACATTTTTTCAAAAACTATAGGTTGAAAACCTTTGAATAATTTATTACTTAAATTATCATAAACATGGATGCTAAATTCCTGAGCCCATCAGTTTTGTAAAATTCAAACTTCCCATTAGTTACCATAATTTCCATGATTTTAAAAGTTAATCTTTCAATGCAATATCAATGCATCATATCAAAAAGAAAAACAAAATGATATTTTTTAATTTTAAAATATATACATTTTTTATTTCCTTATAATTTAGTTTTTTATAAATTATTATGTTGCCTAACTTAAGACTGGAATACTATAGTTATAACTTAGTTAAGTATGATTTTCTTCGAGAATGGCAATCAATAGATTTATATCACTTTTAGGAACTTCAACTAACTAAGGATAAGACTCTTTGGCTTTAGTCGACCTCCTCGACAGTGGGTCCCGAGTAGCCGCCGAATCCTCCGGCCTGCTGGCCACAGTTGGCTCCTGGACCTCCAGCTGCTCCCGCTCCCGCTCCCGCTGCCTGCTGATGCATCTTGGTCATGATGGGGGAGCAGTGGCGGGTGAGCTCCTCCAGCTTGTGGTCGAACTCCTCCTTCTCGGCAGTGGTGTTGCTGTCCAGCCACCGGATAATCTCGTTGCACTTCTCCAGGACGGAGTTCTTGTCCGCCTCTTCCAGTTTGCCGGCGGGAGCCTGATCCACAGCCTGCTTCACGTTGAAGACGTAGCTCTCCAGGGCATTTCTAGAGGTGATGCGCTGGCGCTGCTTCTCGTCCTCATCCGCGTACTTCTCGGCCTCGTTCACCATGCGGTCGATCTCGGCCTGCGAGAGGCGTCCCTTGTCGTTCTTGATCGTGATGTTCTTGGCCTTGCCCGTGCTCATCTCCTTGGCGGCGACGTTCAGGATTCCGTTGGCGTCCATGTCGAAGGTGACCTCTATCTGGGGAACCCCTCTGGGCGCAGGCGGAATGCCGGACAGGTCGAAGGTGCCCAGTGCATTGTTGTCCTTGGTCATCGCCCGCTCGCCCTCGTACACCTGGATGGAGACTCCTGGCTGGTTGTCCGCGTACGTGGAGAAGGTCTTGGTCTGCTTGCACGGGATGCGGCAGTTGCGCTCGATCAGCTTGGTCATCACCCCGCCAGCGGTCTCGATTCCGAGTGAGAGCGGGGCCACGTCCACCAGCAGCACGTCCTGGATCTTGCCGCTCTGGTCTCCGCTGAGGATGGCGGCCTGCACCGCCGCTCCGTAGGCCACCGCCTCGTCCGGGTTGATGGAGAGGTTGAGGCTCTTGCCGTGGAAGAACTGCTGCAGCAGGCTCTGCACCTTGGGAATGCGCGTGGATCCGCCGACTAGCACGATGTCGTGGATCTGGCCCTTGTCCATCCTGGCGTCGGTGAGGGCCTTCTCCACGGGCTGCAGGGTGTTGCGGAAGAGGTCGGCGCACAGCTCCTCGAACCTGGCGCGGCTCACCTTGGTGTAGAAGTCGTGTCCCTCGAACAGGGCGTCGATCTCGATGGTGGCCTCGGTGCTGGAAGAGAGCGTGCGCTTGGCCCGCTCGGCAGCCGTCCTGAGGCGTCGCAGGGCTCGGGGATTGGAGCGCAGGTCCTTCTTGTACTTGCGCTTGAACTCCTCCGCCAGGTGGGTGACCAGTCGGTTGTCGAAGTCCTCGCCTCCCAGGTGGGTGTCTCCGGCGGTGGAGCGCACCTCGAACAGGGATCCCTCGTCGATGGTCAGGATGGAGACGTCGAAGGTGCCGCCGCCCAGGTCGAAGATGAGCACGTTGCGCTCTCCCTTGAGGTTCTTGTCCAGCCCGTAGGCCAGAGCCGCCGCCGTGGGCTCGTTGATGATGCGGAGCACATTAAGGCCGGCGATGTGGCCGGCGTCCTTGGTGGCCTGGCGCTGGGAGTCGTTGAAGTAGGCGGGCACCGTGATGACCGCGTCCGTGATGCTCTCGCCCAGATACGCCTCCGCCGTCTCCTTCATCTTGGCCAGCACCATCGAGCTGATCTCCTCGGGGGCGAACCGCTTGGCCTCGCCCTTGAACTCCACCCCGATCTTGGGCTTTCCGCCGTCGCTGACCACCTTGAAGGGCCAGTGCTTCATGTCCTCCGCGATCTTGGGGTCGTCGTACTTGCGTCCGATGAGCCGCTTGGCGTCGAAGACAGTGTTCCTGGGGTTCATGGCCACCTGGTTCTTGGCGGGATCGCCGATGAGGCGCTCCGAGTCTGTGAAGGCCACGTAGGATGGGGTGGTGCGGTTGCCCTGGTCGTTGGCGATGATCTCCACCTTGCCGTGTTGGTAGACACCCACGCAGGAGAACGTGGTGCCCAGATCGATTCCAATAGCAGGCATTGTGTGTGTTTGGGTTTGCTCCTTACTTGGATAGTATGGATAGATGGGTACGAGATAGTTCCTTCTTGTCTTCAGTAATAGCTTCTTGGTTAAGTTTGGAATTTACTTTACTTTAATCACTTTAACTTTAACAGTTTGTTGCAGATTGTTTAGCTTTTTCAGCTGCGTTTGGTTTGCTTAGCTTTTGCTTAGCGATGTTTTCAGTTTGCTTGTTTGAGTTGAATTGACGCTAAGAGAACCGAGCGGCCCTATTTATACTCCGGCGCTCTCTTCGCGAACATTCGAGAGCGGCGCTCTCGAAATAACGAGAACTGTGTGCTGTTGGTGGTGCACCAGAGCGAGATAGCAGTCTATTAAGAGAGGCTGGACAGCTGTAAAAGAAATTTCTCGAATTTCCCCGAACAAACAAACAAACCTACCGCAACAAATGGTTGGTTTGTTTTGGTTTCTGGAATATTCCCGAGATTTTATTTGTTTATATTAAAGACCAAACACTATCTAAAAGTTAGTTTAAATATAGTCGTGAACAGAAAGAGACCCTTCTAGACGATAAAAAGGCGATAAAACACATATTGGTGAAGTAACTTCTAAAGGACTTCTACCAAAGACATTAGAATATGAAGCCCTTACTGTTAAATTTACTATACATTTTTAATAATTTTAAGTCTGTTCCGGTTCAGATACTATTGTACAGGATGCATTTTGGGCCTATTGGTACCACTTAATTCCTTCGTAAGAAGCCTTTGATCATGGATAGTTGAGAACTGGGTTCTTGCCCAATAAATTCTGCAAATTTGGGATACATTTTTCGAAATTTTTAATACGAAAATATACATTTAAACATTTTAATTGATTATTTTATTTTTTTTGCATGTAACTTTTTTTTTAGTGTATTAGACATAATTAAAATTCCAAAAAAAATTGTTAGTAAAGGCGCTTCAATGTAGAAATAAAAAAAACACATTCTTAGCCATAATTTACAAATAATAATAATTTTAAAGGTTTGCACGAAATAAGCTTTGACATTAAAAAAGTCAATGATCTTAGTTTTTTTTTAATTTTAAGTGTTATTCTATGGAATCTAAAAATAAAGAAGTGGGTTAATAATGGCCAGAATACTACCTAACATAACTGCATTTAAATTTTGGTAAATAATCGTATACATAGTTTGTTAGCTATACGAGTTTGAATTTTAAGCCACTGTATTATCGGCGTGGGTATTTACAAAGACCAATATAATCTATATATTGGTCTATATATATATGCATATTCTAATGTCTTTGCTTCTACTCTATGAGTTACGGGTATAAATAGTTTTAGTTTATTTTAGTAGGAGATAAGGTAAGGAAAACGAACGCCCTTCAACTATTTCTGTTCACGACTAAATTTAAACTAACTTTTAGATAGTGTTTGGTCTTTATTATAAACAAATAAAATCGCGCGAATATTCCAGAAACCCAAACAACCAAAATAACCCAACCATTTGTTGCGGTAGGTTTGTTTGTTTGTTCGGGGAAATTCGAGAAATTTCGAGTGCAGCCGTCCACCCTCTCTTAAAAGACTGCTATCTTGCACCACCAACAGCACACAGTTCTCGTTATTTCGAGAGCGCCGCTCTCGAATGTTCGCGAAGAGAGCGCCGGAGTATAAATAGGGCCGCTCGGTTCTCTTAGCGTCAATTCAACTCAAACAAGCAAACTGAAAACATCGCTAAGCAAAAGCTAAGCAAACCAAACGCAGCTGAAAAAGCTAAACAATCTGCAACAAACTGTTAAAGTTAAAGTGATTAAAGTAAAGTAAATTCCAAACTTAACCAAGAAGCTATTACTGAAGACAAGAAGGAACTATCTCGTACCCATCTATCCATACTATCCAAGTAAGGAGCAAACCCAAACACACACAATGCCTGCTATTGGAATCGATCTGGGCACCACGTTCTCCTGCGTGGGTGTCTACCAACACGGCAAGGTGGAGATCATCGCCAACGACCAGGGCAACCGCACCACCCCATCCTACGTGGCCTTCACAGACTCGGAGCGCCTCATCGGCGATCCCGCCAAGAACCAGGTGGCCATGAACCCCAGGAACACAGTCTTCGACGCCAAGCGGCTCATCGGACGCAAGTACGACGACCCCAAGATCGCGGAGGACATGAAGCACTGGCCCTTCAAGGTGGTCAGCGACGGTGGAAAGCCCAAGATCGGGGTGGAGTTCAAGGGCGAGGCCAAGCGGTTCGCCCCCGAGGAGATCAGCTCGATGGTGCTGGCCAAGATGAAGGAGACGGCGGAGGCGTATCTGGGCGAGAGCATCACAGACGCGGTCATCACAGTGCCCGCCTACTTCAACGACTCCCAGCGCCAGGCCACCAAGGACGCCGGCCACATCGCCGGCCTGAATGTGCTCCGCATCATCAACGAGCCCACGGCGGCGGCTCTGGCCTACGGGCTGGACAAGAACCTCAAGGGAGAGCGCAACGTGCTCATCTTCGACCTGGGCGGCGGCACCTTCGACGTCTCCATCCTGACCATCGACGAGGGATCCCTGTTCGAGGTGCGCTCCACCGCCGGAGACACCCACCTGGGAGGCGAGGACTTCGACAACCGGCTGGTCACCCACCTGGCGGAGGAGTTCAAGCGCAAGTACAAGAAGGACCTGCGCTCCAATCCCCGTGCCCTGAGACGCCTCAGGACGGCTGCCGAGCGGGCCAAGCGCACGCTCTCCTCCAGCACCGAGGCCACCATCGAGATCGACGCCCTGTTCGAGGGACACGACTTCTACACCAAGGTGAGCCGCGCCAGGTTCGAGGAGCTGTGCGCCGACCTCTTCCGCAACACCCTGCAGCCCGTGGAGAAGGCCCTCACGGACGCCAGGATGGACAAGGGCCAGATCCACGACATCGTGCTGGTCGGCGGATCCACGCGCATTCCCAAGGTGCAGAGCCTGCTGCAGCAGTTCTTCCACGGCAAGAGCCTCAACCTCTCTATCAACCCGGACGAGGCGGTGGCCTACGGAGCGGCGGTGCAGGCCGCCATCCTCAGCGGAGACCAGAGCGGCAAGATCCAGGACGTGCTGCTGGTGGACGTGGCCCCGCTCTCACTCGGAATCGAGACCGCCGGCGGGGTGATGACCAAGCTGATCGAGCGCAACTGCCGCATCCCGTGCAAGCAGACCAAGACCTTCTCCACGTACGCGGACAACCAGCCAGGAGTCTCCATCCAGGTGTACGAGGGCGAGCGGGCGATGACCAAGGACAACAACGCACTGGGCACCTTCGATCTGTCCGGCATTCCCCCTGCGCCCAGAGGGGTACCCCAGATAGAGGTCACCTTCGACATGGACGCAAACGGAATCCTGAACGTCGCCGCCAAGGAGATGAGCACGGGCAAGGCCAAGAACATCACGATCAAGAACGACAAGGGACGCCTCTCGCAGGCTGAGATCGACCGCATGGTGAACGAGGCCGAGAAGTACGCGGATGAGGACGAGAAGCAGCGCCAGCGCATAACATCTCGGAATGCCCTGGAGAGCTACGTCTTCAACGTGAAGCAGGCTGTGGATCAGGCGCCGGCTGGCAAACTGGACGAGGCGGACAAGAGCTCCGTCCTGGAGAAGTGCAACGAGATCATTCGGTGGCTGGACAGCAACACCACTGCCGAGAAGGAGGAGTTCGACCACAAGCTGGAGGAGCTCACCCGCCACTGCTCCCCCATCATGACCAAGATGCATCAGCAGGCAGCGGGAGCGGGAGCGGGAGCAGCAGGTGGCCCAGGAGCCAACTGTGGCCAGCAGGCCGGAGGATTTGGCGGCTACTCGGGACCCACAGTCGAGGAGGTGGACTAAGCCAAAGAGTCTTATCATTAGTTAGTTGAAGTTCCTAAAAGTGATATAAATCAATTGATTGCCATTCTCGTAGAATAACTACATTATTCCAGTCTTAAGTTAGCAACAAATTATAAAAGCTTAATTAGCAATATGAAAAATAAATATATTATTTATCTTACTTTATAAACATAACTCCATTGCGTTTTATATCTCGAAACGGGGGGGCTTTTTTAGAGCTGCATAGAAAACTAAGTAAAACATAATAACAGTAATTAGTTGCAAAGTTACTGAAATGTGCTTTTACATACAATTTTTAAATTTTTTGAACATTATAAAAAAGGTTTTTTATGAACTGGTATTTTAAAATTTCTTTAATTTTGGCGAATGGCTGTTGAAAGCTTTTGCGCCCAACGAAACAACTTCAGAACACGAGTTGGCAGCCCCTTAAATCAGCTGTTGGCAGTGAGATGCAGAGCAATCCGAAAACCCGCCTACAAATATTGTTATTTTGATAAGATTACCGATACGGATTACAGAATGGAGCCGCCGTACGCCCCGCTAAGTGAATCCTGCGCCAAGGCGCTGGGCGACAAGGTGTACGAGAAACGGAAGCTGGCCTCCCAGGAAATCGAGAAGTGAGTAACCCACTGCATGGCGTCACCAAGATTCCTTACCCCCAATTGGAAAATCCTACTCTCCAACAGAATGGTCACTGAATTCAACAACAAGAACAATTCGGCCCAGATCCGTAAGCTGATCGAAGTGCTATCCACGGATTATGCGACATCACGGGATGCAAACCGGCGAAAAGGGGCGCTTATCGGTCTCGCAGCCACGGGATTGGGGCTTGGCAAGGTAAATCCATTAGTCATCGGATTCATAGGCAAATAGCTGACACATCTCTTGCTTTTCCAGGACTCGGACAAGTATGTCCAGGGCCTGGTGACGCCCATAATGACGTGTCTTTCGGATCCCGACCTGCGTGTGCGCTACTTTGCCTGCGAGTCCTTGTACAACGTGGTCAAGGTGGCCCGATCCGCCATTATTCCCTTCTTTCCGGAGCTTTTTGCGGCTCTATCCCGCCTGGTCACCGATTCCGATCAGATGGTTAAGGACGGCAGCGAGTTACTGGATCGCCTGCTAAAGGTTCATATAATTTATAATTTTTAATTCCTAAAAAATATGCGTATTAATATCACCCCCATTTTCCACAGGACATTGTCACGGAATCCTCGCAGACCTTCAATCTGCAGGCCTTCATTCCTCTGCTGCGCGAGCACATCTATGTGAAGGATGCCTTTGCCCGTCAGTATGTGATCTCATGGATATCCATCCTGAACGCCGTGCCGGACATTAATATGGTCAACTATTTGACCGAAATTCTGGATGGGCTATTTGTAATGCTCGAGGATAATACGCCCGAGATCCAGAGAATGTGTGAGACCACGATTAGTCAGTTCCTGAAGTCCATAAGGAGTGACTCGTCATCCGTGCGAATGGAGGACACCATTAATACGCTGATAACCCACGCTCAATCGCCCAATGAGCTGATCAAATCAATTGCAATCACCTGGATCCGGGAGTTTGTCCAAATATTCGGCCCCAATGTGCTGCCCTATGCCAGCGGAATATTTACGGCAATATTGCCTTGTCTGGAGTACAATGTGGAGTCCAAAAGGAGTAAGATGGTTTCCTTTTATTCACATAAATCATGTCTTTAATATATATTCAACTTTTTTAGGCATTAAAGAGTGCGCTGTATCGGTCAACAACTCGATGATGTCACTGGTTTCCACCAAGGAACTAAAAACACAGACGGTGGCCAAAATTGATTTGCGTTCAATTATGGACGTCCTTTCTCAGTATCTCACGCACAATTCCATGCACACAAAGATCGCTGTACTCAAGTGGATCCATCATCTGTTCACCAACTTTCCTAACGAAATGTCCGTGCATGCGAGTAACTTAAATAATAACCTGCTCTCAACTCTGGCCGATAATTCGGATGAGGTGGTACTCCAAAGTCTATCTGTTTTGGCGGAAATCGTAAATTCCCAGGATAACAGGGGTAAGAAATTCCTGCTGGACACTAAGCGAAATTTAGTTAAATATATATTTTATGCAGAGTTGAACGACTTCAACAAATCGCACTATCGTAAGTTTTTACTTAGCCTATTGAATCTCTTCAACGAAGAGAAACTCATCTTGGAGAACAGAGCCAGTCTTATTATAAGGTAACTACATAAAGATATTGTTTATAATAATTTTTAATCAATTTTCATTTAGAAAACTTTGTGTGTTGCTGAATGCCGAATACATTTACCGCACCTTTGCGGAAATAATTGCGGAGGAGGTGCCCAACCTAAAGTTTGCCTCCACCGTTGTGCGCCTGCTGAACATCATTTTGCTCACCTCAACGGAGCTCTTCGAGTTGCGTACCAGCCTGCGAAACATTTCCAACGAAAAGTCAGCGGATCTCTTTCAATGCCTCTACAAGAGTTGGGCCCACTGTCCAGTGTCCACGCTGTCCTTGTGCCTGTTGGCCCAGAGCTACCAGCATGTATCCCATTTGGTTACTTTATTGTAAGTTATTGATAGAAATAATTCGTCTGTAAGTTTATTAAGTGTCTATCTTCTAGTGCTGATGTTGAAATCACCTTAGAGCTGCTTACCGAATTGGACAAACTGGTTCAATTGATAGAGTCCCCCATTTTCGCTCCTTTGCGCCTCACGCTCGTTTCCAAGGCGAATAATTGCGCGGATGCTCAGTACTTGGCGCACGCCTTGTTTGGCATCCTCATGTTGCTACCGCAGACAGAGGCTTTTGATACTCTTCGGAATCGCCTGCAATGCGTCCCCAACTATTGGGGTCACGATCCCATGTAAGATGTTTCCTCAACTTCTATCTTTTGGAATGTAATTGTTATTTTACCCACAGAGATGAACGCAACTCATTGGAGTACAAAAGCGGCATAGATTTCGATGCCTTGGAACAACACTTCATCAAATTACAGAGAGCGCACCGCGAGCAACGTATTGTACACCGAAAACGGAGTGTAATTACTCCGGAAAGTAACTAACCTTCTTAAGCATACCTTATTTATGTAGCCTGTGATTCAGTGTGCAGTCTTTTTATTCGCCACATGCGTTTTAATAAATTTGAATCTAATATTCCGTTCATTTCATAAGTTCTGATAAATGAACAAAATATATGTTTCAACAAAATTCATAAGAAAAATGACCAAAATTTTAGTTTTCTCTAGCACCGAAGATAATAAATAAGACAATCCTTTTCCCTAACAATATCTTTTATTTAAATTTTCGAATACCTGTTGGCAGCGAAGTGCAATGATGCTGGTACATTTGCAAAAGGAAGATGGTATCATCCAGGGTCAGTTCTGCCTTGGACAAGGTCTTAATCCGATTTTTAACCTTATTAAGGATCTCACACTCGGGTGGCGTGAAAGTTTCCACAATCTGAAATGCAATTAGTCGGTTAAAAATAGATTTACTTTCGCTTTTAATTATAAGTACCTCTGCAATATATTCGTCAGTTTCGCCCCGTTCCTTCATTGTTTCAACTATACTATCCAATCTTTGCGATTTTTCAATAAGACCCTTGTGCTCGTTTTTTTCAAAGTTGGATCGTTCTATTGTGTTATAAAGAGACTTGTAGCTCGCATCCAGCATCATTCTCACGGTCTGAAATATAAGATGTTAGTGAAATCCCACTGATTACTAACCATCGTTACTTACATCCTTTTCCTTGACTTGGAACAGATAAAAGGCTTTGGCGGGACCATTACTGCCGCCGCCCGGTTTCTTAATAATCTTCACGTGAATAAATTGTTCCTGGAACAAATTATACGCCAGTGATTTGGCCTCTTTCGAGGGAATCATAGCCTCCTTCTGCAGATCCTCCTGTTCTATGTATTTCTTGCATCGAATCACTCGAAATATGCGGGCTGCCTTTGAGCCAAAGCGTTCGGTGATGACAGACTCGACACAGGCAAAGGCAAGTGACTCGAAGGCATGTTCCATGTCCACCACGTACACCCCGCCACCCATGTCTCCCACTCTCCGGAAGAAACCCAGTGAGTCGTCGGCTGGAAAGTAAGAAAACCAACTTAACAATGTTTTCACAGTTTATAGGGAAGTATACCCACTCAACAGACTAATGTACTGGTCCAAATACTTCATAAGATCCAGGTTGTTGGATTTCCTTTCGATGGCCTGTTTAATTTCCACAAAGGTTATCTGGTTGGAAAGTTTCTGAAAAACGATATTAATTATATTTTACGATGCGTATAAATAACTAGTAACTTACTCTCTGCCACGGATCGGTTGTATTATACATAATCTTCAATATAAAACGAAAGCACTCTGCCGCATTTTCGCCAAGTTTACGTTCAATTGCATCCACCATGATGGTGTCGCGAAAGTCCTGATGGAAACGATCGTAGTTAAGGTTCCACACCATAGTGCTGTCCTTGGCCTCCGCCAGGGTGGCTTCTCCTTTTCGTATCTTGGCCAGCAGCTGAAGATCAATATTGGGATGCCTGAAGAAATCGCACTCGTTGGTCTCGAATTTCGGTATATTCTCGTCCTGGTCGTCGCCCACCAAGAGTTCGGGTCTCTTGATGATGTAGTGATCGGTGACCATTTGGAGGAAGGTGTTGCGGTAGGATTCCGGGCTCTCGGCCTTATTCTCGCCTTCTGTCAGGCACTTGATCAGGATTCCACTGGCCGTATCCGAACCAGAATTGATCAGTTCCTCGGCGATGGAGGCACCCACATTTCCGTACTTTGTTTGCACCAGGTGAACGTAGCTAAAAAGCAAATGCTATTGGATATTTTGACAGGATAGAAGTAACAGAACTCACCGAGGATACCGCAAAAGGCAGATTATATCCTCGCGCCGCAGGGCGTACTCTGCCAGGAAGGGATTCTGCTTGGAGGCGGCAAAGTCGACCAGTCTGTACTTGACCAGCACCGCCAGGGCGAGTCCCACCTCCTTGCGCGAGAACTTGGTGGTGGTGGTGATCTGTCCCAGGGTCCTCGTGGTGGCCGAAAAGAGGCAGTCGGCCACCGCCTGCACCACCTTGCCGAAGCACTGCTCCAGGATGGCGGAGCTGAGATGCGAGTAGTCCGCGGACATGGTTCCTGCCGGAGGTACCTAAAATTTTCCATTAATCTCTCTCTTTTATTAATAACAAACAATTTTACCTGCTGATAATGTGGATCAAACAAATGGGCAACCAAAACAAAACAGAACCGCGTTGGAGTCAGCTGTTCATCGGAAAGTATCGATAACAAATCGATATTAAGATCTCTTAACAGATCTTCAGAAAATCTTTAAAAACTATTTGGAAAATTATTTCAAAATTACTTGGTAATTAAAGTTTTTTAAATTATAATAATTTAACAAAATGTGACCGAAAGTGCCCTTGAGAATTCCCTGCTAAACCGCTTCGTCCACACTGTAAAAACAAACTTTACACAGGTAGAAGTGTTCCCGCTTGCGTATCTAAATAAACTTAATCTTTGGGGTCTTACCAATGGCCACATGTTGCTCCCAGTTGCATGCGATTACTTCGAATTCTGGGGTGAAGCCCGGCCAAAGTCAGCAGTACGCGCGGCCCTTTATTATAAGTTATATTCTGGCCTCCTGCCCGAGTTCCCCATCTGCTAACGTCGACGAGTACGAGTACTAAGGCCTTTCAGGTTAGAAATTGCGTCAGATAAATGCGCAGGAATCTATTTTAACGCTCTGTTTTCTCATTTGCAGACCAACCATGTCGGATGTGGACTCGGATGGCGAGGCGCCTGGCCAGGAGACGGCACCAGGCACCAGTGCCCTGGATGAGTTCCGGGAGAGCTGGCAGCGGGAGCTTCAAGGTCACATGAACAGTGCCGCCAGGAGCCGTCATCCTGAGGCGGGGGATCCCCAAGCGCTGGCCAATTCCAATCTCAGCGAAGCGGAGCTCCTTCAGGCCAAGGCCGAGAGTCTCTTCCGGACCGCCGTTCTCTTAGAGCAACGTGGCAAGGTCTACGACGCAATACCCTTCTACCGGAAGGCCACCCAGATCGTTCCGGACATCGAGTTCCGGTTCTACGAGCAGCAGAAGCAGCAGCTCAGCGGCGATGCCAGCAAGAAGTACCACAATTTGGCCAGCGATCTGGCCAAGCAACTGGATTTGGGTCAGCCGGATGGTTCGCAGGACCAAGAAGAGATCGTCGACAATCTGTATGAAAAGTTCCAGCAGGACTTGCGGCAGGACAACATCTACAACGGCAAGATGATCGCGTCCAACCGCGATCCTAGTGTCCTGACCACTGGCCTTCACATTGCCGACCTGCCGCCCGAGATTGTGATGCGTATCCTGCGCTGGGTGGTGTCCGCCCAACTGGACATGCGGTCGCTGGAACAGTGTGCCGCCGTTTCCAAGGGTTTCTATGTCTACGCCCGGGATGAGGAGCTTTGGAGGCTAGCCTGTGTCAAGTAAGGAAGGCTTTTAACCAACCAATAACATTAGTTTACAGCCGAAATGCTCTCCTTAGTTCACGAAAATACCACTAATTTTTTTTCGATGGCACAGTTTTTTTAAAGTTTGAAATGTTAAATTTCGGATTTTTCGAATTTCTTCTTATATCTCAACTCATATCCACCCAATTGGTCCAGCTTTCGTTTTATTTTTAAGTCAATAGATCAGAGCTTAACTTTGCCATACAGATCAATATGATTGGATAAATAATGGCAGCGCAGCAGCTCGACAAAGATGAAAAATGTGTGTTTTGGTCGACTGTAAGTCGGCTGTATATGTATATCATAAAAACTCGAAATAAATCCGTTGAAAAATCATAATGAGTACAAACTTAAAGTTTACATCCTACGCAATAAAACAAGCCGGATATGGCCCAAATCAATGGAAAATTGGATTTATGGTGGATTTTTAAAGTTCGGATTTTTCAACTTTTTTCGGTCGACAGAGTCCAAATTTAAGATTTATTATAGGCGGCGACATGTAAACAAAAATTAGTGGTTATATTATATTATAATATAACTAATAAACCTTTTTCTTACAGAGTTTGGGGCCACAACGTTGGCACCTTGGAGGCCCAGGATTCGGACATCAGCAACGTCTACTACTCCTGGCGCGACATGTTCATACGCCGCGAGCGAGTGCTTTTCAATGGCTGCTACATCAGCAAGACGACGTACCTGCGAATGGGCGAGAACAGCTTCCAGGATCAGTTCTACCGGCCTGTGCAGCTGGTGGAGTACTATCGCTACATCCGATTCATGCCCGACGGCAAGGTGCTGATGATGACCAGTGCCGATGAGCCGGCGCAGGGTGTCTCCAAGCTCCGGCATCTGCACAATGTAAGGCCCGAAATGCTAAGGGGTCGCTATAGGCTCTTTGGCAGTACAGTCACTCTGGTGCTCCAGAAGTCGCAGTCCCGGGCAGCCAGTCACATACGGCAGAGGCGCGGCAGTATTATGCCACTGGAGGAGGACTCCTCGCAGTTCCTGATTGAGCTGCGCATCGCGGCGTCCAAGCGCCGCTGCGCCCAGCTGGTGTGGTCACATTACACGCTCGTGCAGAAGCGCAACAAGGTGGACACCAGCTCCGAGTTCGACCTGACGGAGGCGAAGTATCCTCCGCTGAGATTCTCAGCCGTGAAGAGCTATCACCTGGATGCCGATGCACCCTTAGCCTAAGTTCGATAAGCTTCCTGGAAAAGGGGAAATAAAACTCTACGATTTGAAACCCTTTTAGAGGGGGAGTGGAAATAACGAGATATTATTAGCAACTATCCTTAACGGAGTGTCTAAAAAGCTTACAACGTTCTTAACAACTAGAGCATAAAATCTTCCTAGGACAATCGAGAAGCTTAGCTTTTCCTCTGCAGTTTACGTTTAAAATTCGTTGCACCAGTCTGCAACCGAAGCAGCTACAGCGAAGGGTTCTAATGGCTTTAAGATTCGGACTGCACCACAATCTGTTCGTAGCGCATCAGGTCGGGCGTGTCCCAGCAGCTCTTGAGGCAGGTGAAGACCAGCACGTTCCCGTACTCGATTGGCGCATTGCAGCCGTTCACCTGAAACCGGAGCTTGGGAATGAGTGTCGGTAGCAGTTGCACCTCGCAGATGGTCTCTCCCTTGCAGTTCTGACACTTGGGCAGCGGCTCCGTCAGCGGGGCCACCAGCAGCGGCAGCGCATCCCGGGAATACCTGAGAACAGAGCTTCGTAAGAACACGGATAAACTAAAAGGATCTATAATAGTGTTGGGTTGCTCATGAGTGAGTGAACAAAAAAGAATTGGTCACTAAACTGAGTGAGTGAACATGTTCCTTCGAACTTGTTCTTTATTGTTCACTTGTTCATTTTTGCTCACTTGCTACTTTTTGTTGTTCACTTGCTCAGTTTGACTCTCTTATTTGATTTTTTTAGTTCACTTGCTCAGTTGCTCTCTTGCTGTTTTTGGCACGAAAAGTATTTTTTTTTACTTTTAGGATGCATTTTGCATACGGTTTTACAGACAATGAGCTGTTTTCTCAGAGCCAGTAAAAAAGTTAAGGACAGAACAAGTGAACAAGTAAGCAAGTGAACAAGTTAGCAAACTGAGTGAGTTGACTCATGGGAAAAAAGGGGACAAGTGAACATGTTCACCCAAATGAGCAGTTTTTACCCAACACTAATCTATAAGAAAGCTTACCTCAACAATTGGCCCGGATTCTGCTGGATGGTAGTGATAAAATTGTGAAACACTATGTCGCCATGGGCTGGCAGGGCTTTCTCGTAGGACTCGTACTCCTCGCCCGCTTCCCCCGAGCCGGAGGCACCGCCGCCTGTGGGCGAATGAGCCGCCTCCCCGTCCCTCAGTTTGTACTCCTGGTACAGATCACGAATATGGTCCATGCCCAGAGCGCCGCCATAGTTCTCGTACTCCTCCGCCTGCGTCTTGCTCTCCACATCCACTGCAATGTAGTAGGACTTCAGCGTGAGATCCTTGATCTGCGACAGCGAACTCGAGTTCGTGTGCTTCAGCAGGGCGATGAGGTCACGTTCCGGCTTCTTGGGCGTGTCGACCAGCACCACATCCGTTTCGGGGCCCTCGATCTCGGCACAAATGGCCGCCGAGGCTGCACTGGCGCCGGCTCCATCCAAACTGGGTGCGGCGGCCGCTGCACAGTTGGCATTCGGATCATCATCGTCGCCGTTCTGCGGCGAGATCATGTCCATTTGATGGAAGCCCGAGATCAGGTCGTTCTCCAGCGAGGTGCTCTCGTCCTCGTCGTCGTCGTTCTCATCGTTAACTATAGGCTGCTCCAGCTTTACTGGTTCATCCATATCTGCCTTTGCGTACTGCAGGGCATTGGGTCGCACATTGCCATTCCTCTCGTTCTGCTCGTCGTCCGCCGTGATGTCCATGGCCTCGTCCAGCGCCACGATGGCTCCATCGCCCCAATCGTCCGCTCCACTGCACCAGTTGACCGCCTGCAATCCGCTGGACTTGCTGCTCTTTTTCTTTGAGTGCGCCTTTCCAGTGGCCGTGGCCTTGGGCGACTGCTCGCTGATGACCTCGAACTGGTGATCCAAATGCTGGGTGCGCACACAGGCCCAGCTCTTTGGATTCTGCGAGCAGGCGGGGCTCATGCACCCAAAGACATACAGGCTGCGATGGAACTGGGAGCGATCCAGCGGGGCATACATCTGGACGATCAGCGGACGCACTGCACCGCACAGCGGGCATGAGGGAATGGTCACCTCGTGTCTGGGCCAATCCTGTGGGTAAAAATCAATTTCAATTATCAGCTGTCGCTAAGGTCCATGTAATCGCCGCTCTTACGGGTGTGCCGCCGATTTTGTTGGTGCTGCTGTTCAGGAACTGCTCCTGCTTGGCCGTAACCTCCTCATCCTCGTAGCCCAGGTACACCGTTGACTTATTCTTGGCCATTTTTCATGGTTCTATACAAATTCTCTACAATTCTGATCGGAGTGGTTTTTTATTAGCGATGGGCGGGATACGAATTCCTGGGCAGCCAATCGATATTTGCGCATGGCGCTATCGATTTTCGCAGGTATCGAATATTTCACAATCGAGTATAATAACGGTCAAAGCAAGAATTTTAAAATGTGAAATTAGGGAATACAATAAATTTAGTTTTCTTGAAACTAGCTCTGTAATAAATATTTTGTTGTATTTAATTAATATTTTTGTTTAGTAAAAAATATTTTTAATAAAACTCAAAATTTAAGGCATCATATTTCACCATTAATGTTTGAAAATATCTTTTTGGTTGCAGCTTCAAATATTAGAAGCCAAATTACCACATTGAAACACTCTTAAACTTCTTAAAATTCGTTTTATATTTCTTATAATACTCCGAATCTGTGGTTTACTAATTTACAATTGCACAATAGCGGCTTAAAATAAATAAACGCACATATACAATACACACATATAAAAACATAGACAACTAGATTACAATTACGTTTTGGAATGCCAACATTAAAATACGTATATTTAGCAACAATAGCGCGCAACAACAGTTATCAGTTATTGTCTAGGAAGACGACGCAGTCGCACGGATTTAAATCACTCCGAGGAATTCAACAAACACGGACAACTGGCTAACAAGGACCTGCATCTAATACTCTAAATCCTACGATTCCGGGCGGAATTACTTCTCCAGGGCCTCCTGTTCGCGGTGCTGCCTCTTGAAGCCCCACTCGACGAAGACGAAGGCGATGGTGCCGATGGTTCCCATGACCACCAGGATGCCCAGCTGAACGTACAGCCCGAAGTGCGAGGAGTAGAAGAAACTGATGGCCGCCGCCACCGACTGGGTGAACTTGAACAGGGCAAAGGCGCCCACGGCATTGTTCACATACTCGCCGCCCAGCATCGAGTAGATCTGCGTGTTGAAGCAGGCATCGCCCAGGCCCAAAAGGAAGGCACAGATCAGGGCAATGCTGGCTCTGGGCGGATCCAGGTAGGATATATTGGTGGTATCTTTGAACGGTGCGCTATTCGGCAGGTTGATGAACGTCATAAAGAAGGCCGCCATGTGCATTACATAGCCGGCGATCACGATGGGATCGCGTCCATAACGCGTCGTCTTATTGCCCAGTATGCCAAAGAGTCCTCCTCCGAAGACTTCGCCGGCTCCAATGCAAATGCCCACCAGGCCAACGATCTCCTTGGGGGTTTCGGCAATTTTCGTGGTGAATCCAATTGCTGATCCAAAAACGCCACTGAAGAATGATAGCTCTAGACCTGAAAAATATAGATAAATTAGCTTTTTGATGATCAACTATCTGAAACCCGTCACTCAGCGAGGGAGATGGATTTATAACTGTTTTTGATTGCGCATAACTTTTTAATGAATGGTCCGATTTGAAAAATATCTTCTACATTTCGATAGGTTATATTTATACCTACAGCAAAATTGCATTTATACTTTTCGGAAATCTTTCAAGGTGTGGGCGCCAGACACATTTAAAAATCGTTAGTGAGCGATTGTGGGCGTTAGAGTGGGCGTGGCGCTTGGCTGAAATAAACTTGCGCTGCTTAGGAAGTCCAAGAATATGTGTGGGAAATCTCAACCTTCTAGCTTTTGTAGTTTCCGAGATCTCAGCGTTCATATTTTGATTTTTCAAGAAATGAGATGATTTTAATGCGTTGTCGGGAGTTCGGTTTGAGATAATGTTCATGGGGTTAAGTGAATGAAAGGATTCTGAAACTAATGATTTATACTTTCAACCAACCTGTATAAAAGAAGGCCAAACTGAGTAGCAGCATCTTCTTGGTGAGGAACAATTGTCCTGCGGACTTCAAGGCGTAGATGGCCTGACCGCAGCCCGTGTGCTTCTGCTCCAGTTCGTTGTCGTGCTCGGCATTGTCGGCCATGAATCTCAGGGCGGCCAGGAATACGATGCCCAGAATGGCGATCACGGTGAGCACGCCGATGACCAGATTCCTCGTTTCCTTGTCGATGCGGGTCTTGTCCTGGAACTGATAGTACACGAACAGATTGCCGATGAACATGCTGCACTGCAGCAGGGCCCAGAAGACGCCGGAGTTGCGTGAGATGGTCGTGGATTCACTGCAGCGCGCCAGGTAGGTTCCCTGGCCCGTCCAGGTGATCGAGGCACCCAGTCCCAGCACTGCGCTGCCCACGTACAGCAGCACCGTGGACGGGAACATGAACGTGATCATGAAGGCCCTGCAAATGGGTGATATCAGTTACTATACGTTTTATGGATTGCTTTAAGGGGTCTCTACTCACGTATAGGTCAGTGCTCCCACGACCATGGCCACTCGGGGTCCGGTGAACGAAATGAACGAGGGTGCCAGCCAGTTGGAGAGCGAGAAGAACAGGTAGATGATGGCCAGACTGGTGTAGCCCTCGCCCTTGAAGCTATCATCCTCCTGGGAAATGCTATCCAGTATGGTTTTCTGTCGGTTAGATGAGATCGGAAAGTGAAACGATTAGCATTTTGGAAACGTGCCAGACCCATTTTGACGACTGCATGCCAATGAACCGGCAGCAACGCATTTTGGTTTATTGTTTTTCTTTAAATGTTATACGGTAAACGTGTTCTCGGTTCAAGTACACACAATACAGGTATTTCCTGTCCGGATACGTTTTGGAGGTAAAATACATTTCTCTAAAAAAACCTTACCAAAGCTGACAAAATTATTAATTTGGTTTTTCTCTTAAGAGGAATATAAGGCAGGTTCTGCGATTTGTAATATTATTTGTAAGTATTTACTTTGAATTAAATTCAATTTTAAATTATTTATAAGTGACGTAGGTGTAGTAATTGAAAATAAATAAAATCTCTAATCTGAAATTGTTAAATAGCTTTTAAAAATATTATTAAACCACTTTAATGTTCAATCAATCGTTATTGATGATCGATTAAAGTTGTCTTAACACGCATATCTTGATGAGAAAATAAAAAAAAGAGCAGCTAAAAAAATTAATCCGATTCGACCAGACTTTGATCTCAACTATCTCTGCAACCAGATTCAAGTGCAACTTTACAATTCTTGCGAATGTCAATGGAAAATTACAAGCTGCACAGGCGAAACATGTTTGTGGGTTGAGCTAAAAAATTTTCCATTCTAAAGAACGCATCTCGGTGAACGACCGATTGATATGGTTATCTCGGCGAAAAATTCTGACTCTGACACGATTTCGATTTCTATTTGCATCAATTAAGTGGCGCTGCAAATCTGGTACGGTCCTCGTGCCCATTTTGAAGTCCAACTTGAGAGGTTATTATAGCTGATAATGCTTTGAAAGTGCTAATCAAAGAGTTATGTATGACTAGGGAGCTAAAAACAAGTGAAAGTCGAGAACTATTTGTCTGCACTCGAGAAGCGGAACTGATTTGCCAGCTAACATTAATTGCATGCGTTGAGTGCCCTTGAGAATTCAGGAACTATTTATAAATCTATCTATAGAAAGTGGTTAAAGCCACTTTTGGGATTTCACAAATGTTCTAGCCGGCTATAATGTTTCTAACGTAACGTATAATATTTATGGTATGGTAGAGCATAAAAAGCAAAGTACTATAGACGACTATAAGACGGTCCTGATAAGAAATCTCGAGTTTCAAGTGCAAGTATTTCTTATCAACACCAATGGAGCTCAATGAAAAATTGTTGATCTCTTTATTATTGGGTTGTGGGACATAATCACCTCCGTTCCAGAGAATTGGGTCAAGTTGTGTGCAAGCAAAAGTCAAAAGAAAGTCGAAATGCAATAAAGAAAGTAATGTGCGTACGCAGAATTACAGGAGAATGTACCGAACGACTTATTAAGTCGATCGACACTTGGCTTTGTTTATTCGTTACGCAAAAAAACTGGCACAACGACTCACGAAAAACTTAAAAAATGCGAAACAAGTTTGGTTTGTTTTTCCTTGCAGAAGGTATAATGACTTTTACGTAAAACTGGGATGCACCACAAAAAAAAACGACTTAAGATTCGATTTGATTTTATTTGTATCGTTTTTTCTGTACACAAAATAAGAAATCGATCATTTGACAAACTTAATGTTCATTTTTCGGCAGTAAGCCTCCATATCTTCCAGACATTGCTTTTCTAAATCTTTGAAATTCAGTTTTACTCCTGAATGGGTCGGATGAATGTGTCCACTTAGTTTCCGACCTCGTGTTATGGTGAACTCGGCTCTATCAAATAGTTTTCGTTGCATCTCAAAGGTCATTGCGTTTGATCGATCAGACTTTGGCTGAATAGAAAATACAGGACCCGGTTCTTTAGTTGATCCTGAGTCGCTTTCATCATTTACAACGACGGTTTCGTGCCAACTCTTTAGCTTAGTCAACAGTGTTGAAGAACCGATTTTCTTCTGAGCCAAAGGGAGTGGAGTATCCGATCTTAAGGTCTTCATAAATCCATAGGTGCGTCGATCCATGGACTCCCTTTTTTGTTCAACATCGAAATCAATATCCTTCTTAAAGTATTTAGACATTTTGTTGTAGTGGTAAACGTGTATTTATATATTGCCAGATTGGATGTTAGTTTGTTAGTGACACTTTGGTATTTCTAACTAGATCAACTCAATTTAAACAATGTAACAAGAAATATATCTAAGAAAACGTGAATCATTTGGCAAACTTTATGTGCATTCTATCTGCATAAGCCTCGATTTCTTCAAGACTAGCATTTTCTGGCTCTTTAAGGGAAATAACTACGCCAGTATTTTCAGGATGCGTGTTGTCACTTAGTATCTTGCCCCGTGTTATGGTGAACTCGGCTTCATCGAATAGTTTCCGTTTCATTTCGAAGGATGTCATTTGCCTGGATTGACCTGAGATGGATCCCACTGAAGCCAAAGTGGACGCAAGTTCATCTGACTCCGCCTCGCTTTCAAGATTCATGGACACTTTTCCGTGAATGGAGTGCAACCTTTCCGTCAGAGTTGTGGCACTTAATTGTTTTTGGGCTGCGGGAATCGGAGTATCCGACCTGACGACCCGCATAAATCCATAGGTGCGATGATCGACCAGCTCCCGTTCGCGTTCAATATCGAAATCAATACTCTTTCTAAGGAACTTCTCCATTTTGTTGGATTCGAAATGTTAATTGTGCTCCGATATTTGTGGTTTTTAAAGTTTTCATTTAGTTGATATGTTTTTCTATGACACACTAGATCGATTTACCTTTAATAAGAGTTTTTAAAGCAATTTGGAGAACTTACTTTTTAAAATATTTTTAAAAATATTAAATCTTTGGAATTGATATAACTTAACCACATTAAATAAAATTCTAAAAAAAAATATAGGATTACTTTTTAGAACTGTTAAATGTGCAATTACATTCCATTTTCAGTTAAAATTTTAGTTTCATATCACTTCATTTTGAAGAACTACTTTGTTATAAACGAGGGGTAATTTAATTTTTATTTATTTCAAAAATATTAAAATAATATACTCCTTGTGTTGGTATTTTCTAATTTTTTAAAATGTTAGAACTATAATTCCTTTTTTTTTTAAGACCATTGGAAAATAATAGGGTATCCCATACATTCGGTGTGGTAAGATAGACTTGATTGGCCCCTCTTTTTTGGCCAGACATTGCTGCACACGACTGCTGGTGGAAAAGGTGGTTTGTGGTACGGGGGGTCAGGTGGCTTGGATTTGGATTTGGATTCGGGCAGTGAGTGGTGGGCTCGTCGGCGCACACCCACTTTTCGTTTTGTTGTTGTGCAACCGTCTGGGCGCAGGCGCTCCACCCGTCGCCACCCCCCGCCTGTCAATTGCCCACCGTCTTGGCCAAATTGATGTGTGCATACATACGTACACTTGAGCATACATATGTTGGTCAACCGGGCTTAGTTTATTGCTGACGTGGCCTTGAGCCTGACGACTGTGTGGGTTTGTGCAACGAACTTGCAATTGCAATGACATTGAAAGAGTTTAGCTGCTTGACGCGTTTTTCGCTGGGCATTTGATATCGATTGCGCAATCAGGTGGAAAGGAAAGCGGTTCCATCGGTCTCTGAAAGTGTTCTGTGCCACTCCAACGATTGCACCATATGAGCCAAGGCCTCGCTTCAAAATTGCTCTCTAATGGGCATGGAATACGGGCCAAAGACCGGCCGATCGATCGATCGATTGTTGGTCTATAAGTTTGGCTAACTACACTCAAGAAAATATATAATTTCTTGAAATAGAAAATAATTATAGCTTTAAATGTACCTTTCCTAGCTCCACATTTAAAAAAAAAAAACACAATACAATACACAAAATACACTAATAAATTCTCCATAATTTAAGTCAATAGTTGGCTCTAAAAACATCTATACAACTGCAATAATTATGGTGGCATAAGCACTCGAGATAAAACCTAATCTCTAAAATGATATAAGTTTTCAAATAAAAGATTTAGTATTCCCGTAAAACTGGCAAAATGATAATTAACCACTTATGTACATCGATCTATATTTTTTCCGGTGTGGTCTATAACTTTGGCTAACTACGTTGAAGCACGCCCTGATTGGAATTCCAAGTCACTTTTGCTTTTGTTGCTGCTGCCGTGGTAAATTGTTTATAAAGAGAAACACTAACTGGAGGGCAGGCACTAAGACAGAAAAAATTTATTGCGCATGCGCCGCTTGCCGCGTTGAAAGACCAAAATAAAAACCAGCAATGAAATAAAACTAAAGGAACAAATTACAACGCTTCAAAACAATTTTTTGTGGTATTTATCAGAAGATATTCATACAGTGCATTGAACCATAACAAAATGCTTCAAAAATGAGCTGTTTGCAAAACAATGACAAAGACCGAATTTGGTGGTCGGTTTGGCACAACAAAAAAGCGTCGCATACGTAATAAGACGAGATAATCGTGAAAAAGAACGTATTTTTTTCGCATACCCGACAATCCAGTTGGTTAATGAATCCACACTCACGAATCGGGTGGTTCGCATATAGTATATAAATAGGTAAGTCTGTTTTCTGGTTTTGCTTTTGCTTTTGCCTGCCGTTGGCCTTGATCTTACGGCTTTTATTACTGACAATAAATAATCAACGAAATGAGCCGTTATAATGCAACCAGTCAATGAACGCGTCCCTGGAGTTATCTATGCCCATCATTACCAATAAGTGTAATTCACTGTGTTTATTTGCAAATATTAATTAGGTAATCGCTGTCACTTCAATATAGCGATAGATTTGACTATGCCCCCAAATCTGCCCATGAATGGGATTTTCATCAGCAGGTTCTTGGAAATAATATTGACTAAAATACAACGGAATTTGTATAACTCGATATGAGCCAAAGTCCAATACGCAGAATTATTTTATATATTTAAGTAAAGTCGAACAAAACTTTTGATTGTTCGCTAAAACTTGATTCCATTATCATCTTTGCTAATTCTGGTGGATACATTATTGTTTCGGAATTTATCAGTAGAATGACGATTCTCTCAAATGTTAATGCTTGCGGTTAGATGATTTATCTCGAATATATTTTATAATTTTTGTATTTTCATTTTAAACTTTACTTGTTTAAATATTTGTATACAACGCTGCAAAGGGGAAATAGTCTAAAAACAGTCTTATTTGATTATTGGGGTAAATTTTTGACTTCTACAGCTGTATTTGCGTTATTTACGATAACTTGTTTAATGTTTCAATGGTTTTCCACTGCTTCCACGGTGTAATCATAAGTTATACAACAATTCAAGCAGCTGAAAGTGTGTGTTACGTGGAAATAATTTAAAGAAAGTTATGAGAGGCCTATTCCCTTATTGGGGTCAACTTTTCCGGCTCCATTTGCATTACGAACGATAACTGCTCTATGACGGCTGATGAGTTTACAACAGTGCTCCGCTCACTTCTTATCAATTGAAGCCCCCCAGATGTGTTCTACAAATACACAGCGAACAATGGATGGCCGAATGACTGGCGAACTGGTGACCTTTGGAGCAGTATATTAAATCGTAATAATAATAAGCAACTCCTCGCCACTTTACACCGCCACAAATCAGGGGGTAATTTACGAGCGCACAATTTGCTGCGATGAATGGCGGCAACGTTATAACATCCTGTGATGCGGGGGCGTTGTGGGCGGTGGGCGTAGCAAGGGCACTGCGATGTCTATTGGCAAGGACAAGGACGAAGGTCCAATGGCAAGGATATCAACAACAACAACGCCCACGCATACATACAAATAGAAAGAGCGAGGAGAGGAGAGCGGGAAGAGAGCGAGGAAACGAAACAACTTACCTCGATGTTACACATGGTCTGGAATGCCGTGAAGACGAACATAAAGCCGAAGCCCAGGATGAGAATCATCAGGAATTTGAAATCCATGGCGCTATCTGTTATCTGCTATATGCTATATGCTGCTATATCTTTCCTCGCCGCTAGTTGCAATCGAAACACAATCAAAACGAATTCAATTAACTTGCCGCGCGCACTGCATTTGCATTTGACGACGTCACAAGAGAGGCGGGGGCGTGAACTGCGACTCTCTCGATCTCAATTAGTGCTAGGAATCCCACAAAAGGCAGATTCAACTGGCCGCATCTATTTAGCACTTCTCGAAAGCAATGTAACAATATAACCCAATGCAAACGGTTTAAATACAACACAAATAAAATCACGCAAAAACCCAAAGCAAAACACTGAGCACAAATGGTAAATGCAATGTTTACGCGCCGAGGACTGAGAGTTGAATGGAAAAAGACTTCCAGAGGCAACGCGCTAATAACGGGAATCCCCAGCCAAACGCCAGGCGACTTTTGTATGCTCTACGTCGGTTGGTCTAATAAATATAGTCTCTGATCTGAGGGCAGGTCTGTAAAACTAGTATTTTTAATATTTTTTATATTTTCGAACAGCAAGTTATCTTAATACACCACCTTAGTGTCGTTATAGTTTTAAAAATACTAATGTTAAATTATACTTTCTAAAAAATGTATTTTTATAAGCCTCAAGTATGTTTATATAATCTATGTATAATATTATCTCCGCAGTTTGTTTATATAAGGATTGTATACTCTTATCTCTAATTTAATGAATTAAATGGAAAAAGACTTTGAGAGGCAACGCTAATAACGGGAACCCCAGGCGACTTTTGAATGGACCGTTAAGGACCGTTTTCTCATCCGCATGTTAGATTTAAAGTACGCTTCAAACCCTGAACCCTACACCACGTTCGACTTTCTTAAAAAAGTATTTCTTTATAAGCCTCAATCTTTAATGATATTATCTGCGCAGTTTGTTTAAATAGGGATTGTATACTCTTATCTCTTAATTAATGGACTCTCACTACAGAAGAGTAGTTAAAAACAAAATCTGAGAGGAATTGAAAGAGAGAACACCCACACACAGGTAAACGTAAAGTCGTGAGTCCGATCTCTGACAATCACGCGAGAGAACTATCGATAGGTCGAAGTTGGCGCGGGTACTCGATTAGTTTTATTAAATTCAAAATCATTTATAAAAGTCATATTCAGACGCACTTCGGCGCAGATTTTGCAGAGTTTGACGGTTGTTCTGTTTGGATATTTAAAGACTTTACAATTTTGACGTCTTCACCGGTCAAATTTAAGTTTTCTTGGGCGATAGTAGATATGAATCCTTGGGAAATAGATCTATTCATATTTAAAGGGCTCGAAGCATCTTTAGATATTGATCCTTGAACATCCAAGGGAACTGGCAATAAATTTGGGGAATTAAAGCTGTTTGTTTCTGCTAAACATGAAATATTATCGTTATTTTCAGATATTGAATTTGGCTTATCTTGAAAAACATTAATTGGCTGGAATTCTTGGGTATTTGAACTAGGTTCCTGACATGTTCCCCTTTGCGCTCCATCGAATATTGAGTCTCCTTGAAAAATTGGTAATCTCTCTTCATTCTCGACGTAACTGGGCGATAAGGACTGTTCCATGCGCAAGCGAAAGGGACTGCCACAGAGCCCGAGCACGGAAGCATTTGCTACGTCGGATTCCTCTCCAGATGAGTACCCTGTCGGCCTAACGCTCAAGCCAATAGGAGTATTGCAACATAACGTACTCGTTGAACTCGACTGGCTGACATAGTGCCGGGATAATATGGGAAAGGCATGGCGACATTCGTCACAAACGACTGCTGGCAAGTCCTGAAGAATTCGTGGTTTCCAGTTTCCAGCAGGCAAAGAAGTACCAACTTCAACCGAAGTAGCTGTAGTAGTTGATCCTGGTTTTGCATCCTTGATCCTATTATTGATCACCTCCTTCCCATTAAATTTCTGGTTCTGGAAGCCTTTGGCCTGTTTGGGACCTTGTCGCGGAAGGGCGACTTCTTTTTTCTGCTTGTGAATCTTCTTGGTGTTGCTGCGCATTCTCTTACGAGTCTTGTCCATCTCATTGCCAGATAGAGATTCTTCACTTAACATCTTCGTGGCCGGCCTCCATGGATTCAAATTTCCGAAACTCGGCTTGCGACGCTGAGAAATAGATTTAATGATTATCCTAAGTTGGAAAATTATTTAAGCAAACCTACGGCATTCTGAACAGCGCGTCGCAATGGTGTACCAGGATTACCAGGTACATTTGTTGTTGGATTAGGCAGAGCCCTTCCCAGACGGACATAAACTGGACAGCTAAGTCCATACTTGGCCGGTCCAAGACGTTTTAGGATCCCCAGCTTGGTCATGTTGCACAGAGACTCCTTTACAGCTCCTTCTACATCGGCAACCGGTACGCAATTGCGCATTTGGATCTTTACCTGGTTAGTTATATCAACAACGCGAATAAAATCGGTTCGTGACGATTGGAGGGTGGAGAAAGCCTTGAGAACATTACGGTTCACCTTTTTTGGCACTTTAAAGGGGTCCATTGTTTAATCAATACTATAATTTTGATTGGTTAGAAATGCTTCTATTACGTTAGAAGAGTGTTATTCAACTGAACTTTTCAAAAATATTTCGACTTCAGGTTATAGAAAAGTCTACTGGGATCGGTTTCCCAGAGGCGTTTTCGCATTTTATTTAATAACATTTAAAGAAATATCATATGTATAGGTGAAGGTGCCTTTTAGTGTTCTAACATCGATCGTTTATTATATATTTTATATATTAGTTCCTTGATAATTCTTTTTGTGTTTTTGGCTTACGCTAAATACTAAAATCTTTCATTTGCAGGTATTTCTTTTTCTTTGAAACGGAAAGTTCTCCTCCATTATTTGTATAATCTTTTATATTATTTAACTGAAAATTTCTCTCAAATTCCAAAGTGACCTCGAGATAACAGTGAATGAAAAGCTCCAATTGCCGTCTATTGTACATCAATATCCAGGTTTTAAGCAATTATATGCATGTATAAATACAAAGTTAGTTTGCGTCTCTCTTTAAAAGCAACGCCAGAGCGAAATAAAAACATTTCCAGAGCTGGTTTAACACAGACGGTATAAAGTTTTCGAGATACAACAAACAGTTATCATCAACGTTTTATCTTAGAATTAATTAAATGGGCTTCTTGCGCTCTGTTAGGAAATTTTTGTTCCGCGGACATGTGCAAAATGGAAAATTATGTTTCATTGTTGTTTACTTGAATTTGATTGATTTCTTCTAAACCCTCCCATGATTAGCCCTAAGCTCAGCCTGTCTATTCGCTCTTTTTGTGTGTAATGACAGCATCCTCGATCTCCTCCTTGGGCTGATCCACGTCTCCCCATCCCCACGTGGCGTGCGTGCCGTCACCGGTGCGCTTGACACGCTTCTTGATGATGTCCGTGGACACGGTCTTCAGGTCGTAGGCCCAGCCGATCTTGGCGAAGAAGTCGATGAAGGCGGTGGTGAAGTTTAGCGAGTATTTGCCGAACTCGGCCGTCTTGTAGTCCCAGGGGAAGACGTGGTGGTAGTTATGCCATCCCTCGCCGAAGGCCAGAATGGCCACCGAGATGTTCTCCGAAGGGTTAATGAACCTGGAAAGAGTTTAGGCCAGTAAGTAGCTGATCGAAATGTTGTCCAGGTCTTAGGCACTCACTTGTCGTAGGGGCGGCCACCGAACTTGTGGGCAGCACTGTTTACCAGCCAGGTTACGTTCAGGATGAAACACCAGCGGAACATGGTGGCCACAAACCAGGCGTTCATGAAGGATTCACCCCAGAAGTACATGGGAATCGTGGTCGGAATGATGAAGCAGGCGATGGGCATCAACAGCATGTAGTATCTGAGCACGGATTTAAATCAATTAGACTTCGCCACAACAAAAATGCTTTCAGTTAAAACCTACTTCTTCTGGAACATGAGGATGGGATCGGCGCGAAGATCGGATAGATCGACACCCTTGCCCTTGGCCTTCACCTCCGGATGCTTCTTGCACAGCAGCCAGCCGACGTGCGAGAAGAAGAAGCCACGGGTGGCGTTGTGCGGATCAGCGTCAGTCTCCGAGTATTTGTGATGCACTCGATGGTCACGGGCCCAATGGTAGGCGGCATCTTGGAAGGCGATCGTGTTGAAGATGACCAGAATGAGGCGCAGGGGCCACTTGGCCTTGTAGGAGCGATGCGCCCAGAGACGATGGGCTCCGGCAGTAATGCCCAGACCAGAAACCACATACAGGAAATAAGCTGAAAGAACCAAGGAAATTAATTAGTTAAGATAGGATAAGAATTTATTTTAATTTTTAATTCAACTGTTTTTCTCCAAGTTTATTCTAAGAGATAAACATTCAAGTAACAGGTGTTTCGATTTAAAATGAAAACAAGTGCCAGCACGTAAAGGTAATCGCATTTAAGGAAAGTCCGATCAGCAGTCTGCGCCATGTTTTTACTGGCGACCCATAATAGCTGCTTGGTGAAGGTTATCAGGGCCGAAGCCGTAGATAACCCCTATAGATTCGAGTGTCTGCCACGCGACAGGAAGATGGCAACCAATGAATTTAGCAAGTTGCATTTAATTTCAAAATTTTCCATGAGTCAACACATAAATAGGTAGGATGTTATTCAAACAAAGTGTTTTGAATATTTTATATGATGTTTGCTTTTTAAAGGTCGAAGAAGTTCACTCTGAGAAGTGCGCTTCTAAGAAAGTGTTTTTATAATTGAGTAATTATTTCTTTTTTTTATTAATTTGACCTTGACTTTGGTGTAATAGTTAAATTAAAAGACACATTTTGTATAACCCCACGTTTTAAGAACCCCTATATTATTATTACAGCTACTAGAAAATTAATTTACATTTTAGGTGGACTTTTAGCTAAGCTATAACTTCACTTGTAACTTTTGGGACCCAAATTTTTTAATGGACATAGATGCTTACCGAAGACAACGGTCTGCCACTTGGCCGAGGCGACCATGAGGTAGGCACCGTAGAGGGCGGCCAGATGGAGGTATCCGAAGGCGATGATGTTGCGCCAGACGAGCTTGAGGCGGCGCTTCTCGGCCTTCTTCATCACGGTGATGTCCTTGACCAGACCACCATCGGTGGTCTCCACATCGCACTCGAAGAGCACTCCGGTGGAGTCCTCCTGCAGCTTGGTGGGGCTCTGGCCCGCATCGGCGGCGGCACTAGCCGCGGCGAGCAGCGAGTCCGTGATGGACTGGGCACCAGCTTGGGCGTTGGGCGGCATCTTGCATCAACTGTGGGTTAGAAACAACAACAAAAAAAAGAGCAAAGCAAACAGCATGTTAGTGACGAAATTGACAAAAGAGCAATTAGTGTGTGAGCCAACTTGGTGGCTGGGGCAATTAGCCAGCTGAACTTGACACGCTTCGGGGAGGTGATTCCGAGCAGCTCTTTATGGCCAGAGACCCCGAGGTGTCGTGAGTACCTTTTGATATTAAATTCTTGCCTAATGCGGATTTTGTTTTTTTTTTAATCGGCTAATGGGTAATGGATGAAAAAAATCAATAAACACTGCTGCAAGGATTCGCACAGCACAGCATGAATAATGAAAAAGCCGGTGTGGGAATACAAGCACCAGGTGGATGTGGAAGTGGAACATGTGTTTTGTGGGTCACTGGGAACAGAACATAACGGAACGGAACCTTGGCTCAAGGTTATGAACCAAACGCGGCGGGTGACACGTCTCGTGGAAAATTCCTTGTTCAATCAACTCTAGCAATGCTTTTTTGTATACAGACACACAAATACACGCAAACGCTGGAATTTTGCCGAATTAACAAGAATTGCAAACTATTCAGCAAACACTTGTCCACGTTCGACGAACTGCACTTGAGACATCCCCCACCTCCACGTCCACCCGTTGTTTATTTTGTTATACCTGGTTTACACCCAAAAAATATGTTTTATTTGCTAGAGCCAGCTATAAATTAACGACAAGCCGTTTTGGTTAACTTGGGTTTTAAAACTGATGTGCCAAAGTTTCGCACGACGAAGAATCGCGGCCCGTTGGCGAAAAGCTCGCTCGCAAGCTCTAGATTAGTCGCCGCAAAGCTTTTGCAGGTGCGGTTTGCTTAGATTAGGTGTTGGCCATTTTTTGCCTATTGCTAAGGTCAGGGTTAGATTTGAAAAGTCTAGACGCGGGTCCGAAATCTAATCGGAATCCGTAGAATTGGCGGCCCTTAACCACCTGTCGCGTGATGGCGGCGTGCTCTTATCATTAGCTATCCCAATCTCTATCCAATCACATGTGAATCAGCCGCTAATTGCGGTTTCATCAGACAAATGGTTATTACAGAACCGGACAGTCGAGCATGTACTTCGAACCCTATCCAATTAAACACGTGAACCTGTGGTCAGGCAAGAGCTTAAAAATCATACGATGCTTATGGGAATAGACACCAGAAAGGTGATTAGAAGAGAGTGGCGCTCAGAGGCGCCACCAAGGGGGTCAACCTAAATGATCCTTTAAGATACAATAAAAAAACTCTTTTAGCATCCTAAAGGTTGAAAAAATTTATACAGTACTAGATACTATTTAGATAGGTGTTGATGTTCCAATGAGTTTTTTATTATTTTTAACTTAAATTTGGCTATTACATTTTTGTAAATATTTTAATTTTTTATAGGTTTTGTGCACCTTTTTTAAAATAGACTACATACGCCCCTGCTTTTCGAGAGATATGGTGGAAAGAACAAGAATTCCGCTTTCACACAAGCAAACATATATTTGTAATGCAAGAACAGCAGATCACAAGCGAAAGCTTTTGACATGGCGAAAGAAAGGGCCAGAGATAGGATGGTGAGAAAGGGAGAGAGAGAAAAAGCTAATGCCGCCAACATGTCAACAAAACGGCCGATTGTTTTCTGGGCCCCAAAAGAGAGCCCCATATTATCGAATGTGGCCGAAAACCGGTAAAAGCCACCACCAAAAAGGCAGCAAACAGATGCAAAGTCAGCAAACATTAGCCATTTATCAGAGACACGCATTGAACTTGAAATTTTTCCGAGGCCTTTTGCCAATTTCTTGCTTTTGCTTAGTTTTTTAATATTTTTTGCGGAGCCAAAAGCGTGGGAGCTTACATTAGAGAGAAAGAGAGCGGTAATAAAAGCAGAGAACATGTTGGAGAGAGTGGGGTGACGGGGGGGATGGGGAGAGAGTAGTTTTCCGTTTGTTATTTTTGTGGTCCGTTATCACGTTGCAAAAGCGTGATGCTTGACTGAGATATTACACGCAAAGAAAATTTACAGAGCGTTCTAAAAATCGAAGAAATTTCATCTACGATTCTTAAAATAGTTTTGTATTTTACATTTGTAGATTAAAAGCATTTACAATTTTTAAAAAGTGCGTAGGTTTTCCTGATCCCACTTTAATTAAAATACTTTAAAATATAAAGCCAATTTGGCTTATGAAATTGTGTGCCTGTTTACAAATACTTATGAAAGTAAAGTTGTAAAAATTCTTAAAAGTTGTCACTAGATATTTTATTTTACTCATATCGTTAAGTATTTTTTCAAGTACGGTTTTTGCTCTGTTGTTTGTCGTTTTGTTTAGATTTTATATCTGGTAATTGAATATTTGCACTTTATCTAATTTGACAAATAGACTTTAACTGTAAAACTTTTTTGCCGGACATGCAAACTGTAGCGCAAAGAGTGGCAAATGACTTCTCGTAAATTCGAAGCAACAAATTTGCAATTTAAGCGTATCCATGTATAATTGCAGTCAAAGTTCGTTCACCGTAAAAAAAGAGAAAATGCCCAGCTTAATTAAAAGGCAAACAGGAAAAAATTAATTCATATGACAAATCAAATAGAGCACGGATAAAGTGAATGTGCTGGGTGCAGAACTTTCGATTGCCCTTGCAAATGTGATTGGATGTTAATTGTGTTAACTTGGCACTAAAGTACAAAACTTGAGGAGCATGTAAAAGCTTTGCTGTTCTTTAAATCATATGGATATCTTAGCATGCATACAATGCCCTTCATTTCTAACGATCTGATAGAACTCGAAGAGTTCTTAGTCTGCCTCTTTACATAGTCTGAAGGATACCAAGTGTATTCTTATTACCCGAGCTGCTAACGCACGGAATAAATTAAATCACCATATGCAGAGGTATTTAAAGAAACCAAAATCTAACCTTCCGATAGACACAGTGACCGTTCAGCCGAAACCTTGACAAACGAAGAGTGAACGCTACATTAACTCGAGCCAAGATCGTAGAGCCAGAGGGCCTTAAAAGCGAAATTCACAAGTGTAGAGTTGCTACGAGAAACTCTTGCGTAGCGTGGCTTTTCTCGATTTTCCTCTTGTGGCTTTACGTAAACACTGGCCCCAGGAAAATATTATGCAGATAAATCCTGTTGCAATGGCTCAACAAGTGGCCAGCTGGAAAACCAACCTGTTTGCTTCTCCAAAAAAGGCAGGCAACAACTTCTTAAACTCGCGCTTTTCCACTACGCACAGTCGGTTGTCCGAAATCTGTGGTCAGGTCTCTTTGGTATCAAATATTTGCACTATATTTCTGTGGAGGAGTGCCAACAGCACACGTCCGCTCACTAGGCGATTTCAATTCGAACTGACCAACCATTCGCACACTTGCCAAAACGAAAACAAATCGATTAGGCAAATCGGCGGGACAACGTCAGAGCTTTTCTCCGCCGTCGTGTGCATTTTGTGGCTATTTCCCCCGACTTCCCCCAGATTACCGGCATGCACGTAGCCCAATCGGGCGTCCTAATCTTTATGAAATTGCTAGCATCTGCGAAATGAGACCCCGACTATCTATAACCAAAGTGAGTAATTGAAACCGATATAAGGCGGTGAAGTTTTGGAGTAAATTGCGATTAGGCCTGTCAACAATACAATTACCGAAAGGTAAAAATAGGGCCAACACATCGCCGTTAAGGTTAGCCTTCGCACTTTGGATCCCGCTGCAGGTTTGGGACTGTTTTAACCCAATCTAATCGATGTTTCCTGGCTGTTTGCCGGCTCTCCATGATAATGGGTTAGCCGTGAATACACCTGGCCTCTCATAATCTGTTTTTTAGATAATTTTACGGTTCTCGTACTTTGGCCGGTCCAAAACCAGTTGGCAAGATCAACCTTCTCGACCAATAACTTTACATATTCGAATGAAGATGGACAAAAACAAGGCTGCTTTGCATATTTTTTCTTGTTTCCAAAAATTCAGAAGATGAAACTAAGTGACACGCAAATTTTTTTTTAAGCTTTCCAAGCGCCTTTATCTAATTGCATATTTATGTCAACGCGGTAATGACATAATGCCCAGCCGAACTGCTTGCGCCAAAAGGAAATGCAAGAAAAACTTGAGAAGGTTAAGTTGAGCCGACAACCTTGACTCCGATTTCAGGAAAAAAAGAACCTATTACTATATTAAAACCATTTATTAAAAATAATAAACTACGTTCTAAAAAATATATGTGCTATTTAATGTACATCCATATATTAATAGATGACAACAAAGTGCTTAAAGTGCGCAGTTAAAAGATGAGCTTTAAATCTGAAGAAAGGTGTGCATTTGAATCACATGTACATTGTCATAGATGGAATAAGGCATTGAAAATGTACAATCTTTTAATGTGATCATCAGATGCCTGACGTGTTAATATTTTGGACGTCAATTGAAAAAGAGTAGAATCTTAAGATTCAAGATCAGAAGCAGCAATACCCTTCATCGGGTACTTCAAATTTAACAGCATAATAAATAATTTAATTAATTACTGTATTATAATTACATGATAAGAATTCTTTATACATTCGCAAATTGGATGAATAATAAAAACTGTATATTGTTTCAAGCAATCTTATGAATCAGAAGTAAATTTGGTTAGTTTATCATTTATTGATAAAAACTATGAACAATCTTTTGGAAGCAAGAAGTCACAAGGGTTTAAATATTAACTTTAAATATGGCGGTGCATACGCACTAAGATTAAACAGTTTCTGAGAAATATTGGCACACGTAAACTCATTTCAAGGGTATTAGTAAAACGATCTGATAATCGGATTCCGATTGGAACCCGGTATGCGTAGTTCTGAATGCCCCTCAAAAGGGTTAAATTCGCTTGGGGAATAGGAACATGAGGGGTGACGTCACCGCGGCGTGCGCGCGCCAGTTTCCCATGTAAACAAATTTCGGTGCATTGCACTGCCCACAGAACTACAATCTATTAAATAAATTTCCATTATATTATAATCGGCAATGTTCTAATCAGTTATGTACAATGCAATAAAATAGACGCCGGCGATCAGCGAGACTTGCGATAACGTGCGCGTCAACAATTGCTTACGATAAGTAATTCTTTACAATAATGCCGCGGCTGCTGTAAGCTTACCCAAATTTAATCCAGGTTCTAGGAATTACTATAGTTTTATAATTTTATCGCCAAAAAACACAACTAAAAAATCTTCTGTTCAGTGATGACAAAGCCGTCCACGTAGTAATGAGCAAGCAAATATCGATAGAAAGTTTTATCGTGCTTTATCGATAGCATCTCTTATCTCTTTTATTAAATATTTAATAAATTAAAACCAAAAACCATTAAAACGATTTATTTATATTACCTTAAACATTGTTTATTTTGACTAAACTTATGTATTTTGAAGACTGTAATTTACATGTAAAAACACTGACAAATTTACATTTACCTATGTATGTGTTTGATTAATCGATGTAACGGAATTTTAAAAAATATTCTTGTAAAATAATAATAAGAAATCTGAACATTTATTAGCATCTTGAGTCAAATTTGCCAACAACCCAGTAGCCGTGGCATTCCTGTTAATTCAAAAAAATATATGTTTTTTAGGTAATTATTTATTATTATATAGGCTAACGCTCAAAAAGCCGCTCAAAAAGATAATGGCGATAGATCCTGTCATCATGGACGTACACCTGAAAAGGACGCTGCGGCTTCTGTTGGCTTCTCTGGCCAGGATCCTTATAGTGTCGAAGTTCGTGGCGGAATCCGTGTGCACATTTCGGCATTTTAACCTGGAACGGAGTGCTCTGAATAATATTTGGCACTGTGGCTACTTGGCGGCCGGAGTCTATATAAGCCTTCTGGCGATCTCCCAATTAACTGCCTCCCTGCTAATCGTGGCCCTCAGGCGGAGATTCGTGGCCACTGGAATCCTGTGGCTGGCGGCCCACCTGCGAATGGCCGCCAATCCGACGCTGTGGAACCTGGACAGGTATATGGAGCTATGCGGACTGATCAGCGCCCTTCTGGTGATAATGCTGAAATCACATCGTCACTCCGTTGTCACTTTTCTGCTGATCACGTACCTCAATTGCACCTGGAACCTGGAAATTCAAATGTCTCCTCAAGCACATGCTGGAGCTAATAATGGTGGGCTTCCGGACGAAGATCTGCACCGGAGTGTTGATCCAACTGATGGCCATCTACTCCCTGGATACAAAAATGTGGAAACTTACGTACGTCGAAGATAACTCGCCAGCCTCCAGGGCACTAGAGTGCTTTAACTTCTGGCACAAGATATCGGTAGCCGGAGGACTGATCCTGATTGCCGTTTCCGGACAATATCACTATTGCACGTTTTAAACTGTCAATCCAGCCAAACCCCAGAAAAAATCAGAACAATGTCGCAAGGAACCGAGCCAGAAATAGATCCGGAATTAAAGAAACAGGCTCAGCCGACCTCTGGTAGTTTTCTTTGCCTTCACACTTCGCCGCCGCTGCACATAGCCCTCCATGGAATGTCGGCCCTCATCCACACCCGTTTATCCAAGACGGCCTTTGACCTTTGCTTGGAACTCTTGGAGGCTGGGGTCAATGTCCAAGCCTTGGCCGAGGTAATCCTGCACGTGCTCGATGTCAAGGAGAAAATTAAGGCAGCTACATACATATTTCCAGACGTCACAAAATTAAAACTTTCCTACAGACATGCCGATTAGTCTTATCACATCCGACCTGCTCAACTCAACCCTCAACCCTCGGGACATCAGCACCACGGAGAAATCCCTTATTCGATAAGCAATATCAGTTGATAAATAGGCAGTTGAATGGTTTATTTTTCAGCAGGTGTTCTTGTTTTATTTTTGGGTTATTGAATTGGTTTGTAAATAATGTGTTGCAGGCCCTGATCAAGTTTTAGTTTCTGCCGGGAGCTTTTTCATCCGGAAGATAATGGCTTTTATTTTCGTTTGCTGATATTATGACTTTCTTTCTCAAGTAGTTAAATGCTAGGAATTAAATTAATTACTACAACAAACAAAAAAAAAACAAACAAAAAATTATGTACATTAAACTTTCGACCATTCCTTCCCATCAAATGATTTTTTTTGCGAAAAACGTACAGAAAGGGAATCGCAAAGTTCAACTGAGTGCTAACGCACTGTCTGGCAAAGCACAATGTAAATCTTTCCTTAATATGAATATTTAGTATTGCGGTCTATGTACTGGAATTAGCAGGTAGGAAACCTATATGACATAATCTCACTTATTATGAGGTGAGGTGAGCAACACCTCCAATCTGCAGCTCAAAAAAATTTCAGCAGAGACATCGATCACGATTCTGATCCTTATCGAGAAATACATTCTCTGATAACCCATAAAAAGAGAGATATAGAAGTTCATTAGGTTTTATGGGTTATTATTTTTATTGTAAAAGAGCACGTCTTCTGTTTTCAGGTCCTTGTCGCCCCAGCCCCACAGTTCGTGGGAGCCGTCTCCTGTTCGCAGTACCCGTCTCTTGATTGTGTCGGGAGCCACCGATTTAAGATCGTAAGCCCAACCAATTGCGGCAAACATGTCTATAAAAGCTGTGGTTACATTTGGGGAGTAGCGACCCCACTCTGATGTCTTGTAGTCCCAAGGAAACGCATGATGGTAGTTGTGCCAGCCCTCGCCAAAGGTAAAGGCGGAAACATAGGCATTTTGAACGGGATTCATACTCCTGAAAAGGACAGAACGCATATTAATTAATTACTGAAAATAGTAAATCACTCAGTTCTTACTTGTCGTATGGGCGTCCTCCAAATTTGTGGGCCGCACTGTTGACCAACCAGGTCATATTGAGCTGAAAGCACCAGCGGAACATGGTGGCCACGAACCAGGAGCAAGCCAGCGACTCTTCCCAGCACACCATGGGTATTACAGTGGGCATAACGAAGCAGGCAAGTGGCATCAGCATAAAGTAGTGCCTATATCAATGAAATGTATTGTTATAAAGTTTTTATTCCCGTTACTTATGGAGTAAAAGGGTATATTGTATTCGTGCAAAAGTATGTAACAGCTAGAAGGAAGCGTTTCCGACCCCATAAAGTATATAAATTCTTGATCAGGGTTACTGCCGAGTCGATCTAGCCATGACCGTCTGTCTGTCTGTCTATATGAACGCTGAGATCTCGGAAACTACAAAAGCTAGAAGGTTGAGATTTCCCAAGCATATTCTTGGGCTTCCTACGCAGCGCAAGTTTATTTCAGCCGAGCGCCACGCCCCCTCTAACGCCCACAATCGCGCACTAACGATTTTAAAATGTGTCTGGCGCCCACACCTTTAAAGATTTCCGAGAAGTATAAATTTTTCAAATCGGACCATTCATTTAAAAGTTATACGCAATCAAAAAATGTTATATATTCATCTCCCTCGCACTCTCTTTAGCTGAGTGACGGGTATTAAATATTCGGGACACCAACCCGCTCGTTTTAACTTACTTTCGTTGGAACATCAAAATTGGATCGGCTCGAAGGTCAGACAGGTCCAGACTTTTACCCTTCTCCTTTACATCCGGATGCTTCTTACAGAGCAGCCAGCCCACGTGGGAGAAAAAGAAGCCCCTGGTGGCGTTGTGCGGATCGGCATCGGTCTCCGAGAATTTGTGATGCACTCGATGGTCACGGGCCCAGTGGAAGGCGGCATCCTGAAAGGCTATCGTGTTGAAGATGATCAAAATCAGGCGCATGGGCCACTTGGCCTTGTAGGTGCGGTGGGCCCAGAGACGATGAGCTCCGGCCGTAACGCCCAGCATGCCAATAATGTACAAGAAGGCAGCTTTAAAAAATCCATTAGTATAATAATTTTCTAGAAATCGAAGCTATGTACCTTGACTAACCGAATAGTGTAGTGGCTAATTTTGCCTTTGTAATAATGAGGTATAGGCCATATAAGGCAGCCAGATGAACGAATGCGAAAAGGGTTATATTGCGCCAGACCCAGGCTAACTTCCGATCCTCAGCCCGTTTGTGTTGAAATCTATCAGTAATCAAGTCTCCGTCGACAGTTTCCACATCCTCCTCAAAAAGGACACCCGTCTGCTCCGAGGATTCGAAGTTGGTGTGCATTTTCGGGTTTGGAGCCATGTTTTTACAATCCTGTTCTGCGCATTTAAAGTTACCACTTTCGAACCGTAATGTTTGGAAGAAATGCAAGGACCAACCGACCTTACTTAAATTTTGCACTCCGAGCTAAGCAATCGTTTTTCTACAACTGATGCAGGAAATGCAATAGCTTAAGCATTTAAAGCAACCCACACGATTTGAATTTGAGAATTCCACTGCTTAGAAGCATATTTCTAACCCCACACAAATCTTTTATATACCTAGTATTAACCCTAGATCAACGACTTTATAATTAGCTTAGTATGCAACTGTATGAAATCGTACTTTATGATAAAGCGGAAGCAATTTGCGCAGCGCTTTCATACATATATGTATGTAAGCAACTCAGCAAACAGAAATCAAAACTTAATTTAAAAACCTTAGAGAGAACCTTAGTTTTCTTGTCCATTTGTTAATGGTAAAGTAGGGAAAACCTTGAAATCTTATGGGAAATTTAACAAGCGGACGAGAAAGCGCCCCTTAAACAGGCAAAATATGTAACAAAAATGGTTTAGTCAATACTAGGCCATTACCATTAGTTTTAGCGAAATTCAAATTGACATTTTACAGGTAAAGGGTATTAATTAGTGCCTGCCGAACCTACACTAGCCCAGGCGAATAATGAATTATAAAAACTGCGAACAATTAAGACCTTATTAGCACTGTGGATTCATGACAATAAAAGATAATTGCCAGATATTGTTAGAGATTAAACGTTAAATTTCAAAGTTTTAAGACCAAGACTATAAAGACTTATTTTGCCCAGACACATTAGACTCGACTTGAGTTCTCCATAAAAAATCATTTCGTATTGACAATTCAATTTTGTAGGCAACTGGATTAAAGTACAAGGCTTAGAACTAACAGATAAAAGCGATTAATTCGTTCTGATTACAGTTATGTATTTCAATAAGTTAGCAAAGTCGAATGAATCAGTTTGGAACTGCTTATGAGTGTTATTTACAAAATTAAATTAAATGATTTGGAACAGTTAATTTTGTTTTTGGATAAGGCATCACTACTTTTCCTTTGGCTTATCTTTAGGATCTGTACTGTCCGCGCTCTCAGCAGGCTTTTCCTCCGCCTTCTTGGACTTTTTCTGCGACTTTTCGGCCTGCTTTTGCTTTTCGGCCTCGGCGAGGGCAGCCTCCTGTTCCTGCTTCAGTTTCTCCTTTTGCGCAGCAGCCTCAGCCACTTCCTCATCATCCCAATCGGCCATGGAGCGGTCCCGCTTTAGCCACGAGTGCGTGGTGTCCGGCTTAAAGGCTGTGGGGAATACGTAAGAGTAAGTCAAGTAAACATTTAATTAAACTGAAGCAACTTACTCTGGTTAAACCACTTGATGCCGTTCTGCATGTCCTCGATGATCTCTCGGGAGGTGAACATCACCTCGTTCTGCACCGCCTGATGGAAAGTGGAGGTCTCGAAGGTGCTCGAGTAGACGGAGTTGCGATCGTGGATGAGCGCACGTTGCGGGAACTTGGCCAGGCAGGTGGCCAGCTCCAGGGCGTTGCCCAGTGCAGTGCCCGTGGGCACTATCCGGTTGACCAGGCCAATGTCGTGGGCCTCCTGGGAGCCCACCGGACGTCCGGTGAGTATTAGATCTAGAGCGCGGGACAGACCAATCATGGCCGGCAGGCGAATAGTGCCAGCATCGAGCATTGGCACGCCAAAGCGGCGATTGAAGAATCCCAGTACGGCGGACTCCTCCATGACGCGCAGGTCGCACATCAAGGCCAGTTCCAGACCGTTGGCTATGCAGTAGCCATTGATGCCGCACACGACGGGCTTTTTGATCTGGCGCCGCGTGGGTCCCACCGAGCCCTCCGGTCGCATCAGGATGTCCACGCTGATCTCCTCCTTCTCGTCGGTGCTGATCTCGAGGATGTCGAAGCCGGAGCAGAAGGATCCGCCCACGCCGTAGAGCACGGCCACCGGCGAGGTGTCGTCCGCCTCGAAATTGGCGAAGGCGTCGCAAAGTTGCGAGGCTGTGAGCGAGTCGATGGCATTGCGCTGCTGCGGACGATTGATGCCGATCAGGGTGATGTTCTTGTCCTTCTCCACCAGGATATTCTTGGGAGGTGCCGCATCCGCTTCCTGGGCCGCAGGATCTGGAGAAGTCACGGTTACTGTGCATATTCCCACATTATGTCACCGGCTTTTCCGGCAAACTTACCTTTATGCAGCGCCTTTGTCGAGGAGAATGGGCGGTAGGCTGTGGTGAAACGTGCTTGCTGACCCACCTGCTGGGCCACCAGTCTGCCAAATTTGCGCAACATTGTCTATTGTAAAATAGCAATCAATTGTCCGCCAGAAATTATAAAACAAGCGGAATGCTTACCGGAAAATTAAATATTCGTCAAGTTTCGTAAAAACAATTCAATGGTAATTGTGTTGCAGGGTTGCCACCGAACGATTGGTAGTGTTGCCTTCTAGCTTGTTTCCGCCATATCCAGCTATTTTAAAGCTATTTCGTTTGGCACAAGGAATAAGGTATTGTATTCTTTCAAATGATAAATAAATAATTAATATTAAAATATGTTTTCTTCTAGTTAAACTGTATATTTTTTAGCTCGAAAGAAAAACAAAAAATTATTATTTTAAGTACTTCTTCTAGCTAAACTGTATATTTTTTTAGCTTGAAAGAGAAAAAAGAATTAATATTTTAAGTACCCAAAAATTAACTTGAAACAATTTCTAGCCAGATTTTATTAATAATAAATGTGACATTTGCCAATTAGTGGCAACACTGATTGGCTAATGGCGTTCAGGTGCTTCCAAAAGGCGTTAGTGCGTTTTGCTGGCGTCTCCTTAAATTATTGCAAAAAATTGGCTTTGAACAACTGAAAAAGGTTTAAATCACTTGAAATAAATAATGGGTGTAGAAATGGAAACTAACGAGACGGGCGTGGAGCTCACGGAGGCGGAGAACGAGCTGTATGACAGACAAATCCGTCTCTGGGGACTGGAATCCCAAAAGCGGTAAGTGCCGAAAAGCCGGCTTTTTGCAATGGCGCTGCAATAAACTTTGTGAATTTCAGCCTGCGCACGGCCAGAATCCTGATCGCCGGGCTGAATGGCCTGGGTGCCGAGATAACCAAGAACATTATCCTGTCCGGAGTTAACTCCGTTAAGCTATTAGACGATAAACCAGTCACCGAGGCGGACTTTTGCTCGCAGTTCCTGGCCGCACGTGAGTCCCTGAACAGCAACCGCGCCGAGGCTTCCTTGGTGCGGGCGCGTGCTCTCAATCCCATGGTGGACATCTCAGCCGACAAGGAACCCCTGAAGGAGAAGACCTCCGAGTTCTTCGGCCAGTTCGACGTCGTGGTGGTCAATGGCGAGTCCAACGAGGAGCTGCTGCGCATCGACACCATTTGCCGGGAGCTGGGCGTCAAGTTTATAGCCACCGATGTCTGGGGCACGTTTGGATTCTACTTTGCCAGCCTCCAGAAACACAGCTATGTCGAGTATGCTTACAGTCCTAAGTCTATTAAGAAAATATAATTATAACTAATCATTTCCAGGGATGTGATCAAACACAAGCTCGTTTCCAATCCGGACAAGAAAAAGAAGTATGAAACCGTGTCCATTCCCACACAGCGCGAACTGGATTATCCCGGCTACTCAGCCTGGCTTGATTTCGATGTTTCGGCGCCAAGTTATTCGCGCACACTGAAACGCAACGGACCGGGCGTTTTGCTGCTGAGTGTTCTGCAAAAGTTCCGGACCACCCAGCAGCGCGATCCAAGCTACAAGACCAGAGAGGCGGACCTGGAGCTGCTCCGCGGCATTCGCGACGAACTGTTGCCGAACTCGGGCTTGGGTGACGAAGCTTTGGGCCTGATCTTTGCGCAGATCTCTCCAGCCGTGGCCGTAGTTGGCGGCGTCGTGGCCCAAGAAGTTATCAAGGTGGTTACCAAAATGGAAGCGCCGCACCGTAATCTCTTCGTATTCGACCCCGAGACTTGTGCAGGATACATCGAGACCATCGAAGCAAAGTAAACCACTCCACCAAGATCCTCTATTAAATATCTGAACTTCAACTAACACCAAGTTGTAAATTTTATTTCTCTTTAATGTCCCGTACTTATCAAAAAAGCTTAGCTTGGGTAAATCTTAGCGGGGCGTTTAACGTTTAAGGGATGCTGGCCAAGTAGTCCTTGATTGAGGCGGGATCCAGACGCTGGAATCCGTTCTGATCGCAGATTCCGATCTCAATGTTGTCGGCAGTCATTTTTCCCTCGAAACCCTCTTTTAAAGTGAGAATGGCGGTGTGGACAGCGTCGTCCAGCTCCAGATCTTCGCTGTAGCTGCAGTTGAAATATATAATTTGTAATTACAGACTACTTAGAGCACTTGATCAGTACTAACCGCTTCTCCAGGAAGGTTTTGCCGTTGACTGCGTTCTTGCCCATGGCGGTGGCCTTCCAGGCGAAGTAGGCACCCGAGGGATCTGATTGGTAGAGATACGGACGACCATTGTCCCAGCCGCAGATCAGTAGAGAAACGCCGAAAGGACGGACGCCACTGGAGGAGCAATTCGGTTAGTATGGGAACTTGTAGAGCAGATGCAGCATGCTTACCCAGACTGCGTGTACTCCTGCATGAGCGTGGCCACGCGCTGCACCAGCTGCGACACCGGAATCGGCTCCTTGTAGGTCAGGAAGTAGGTCTGGGCGATCTTGCGGGCCTGCTTGACCAGCAGACGGTAGTCCGGACCCATTCCCGAGTAGACCATGCCGATGTGCTTGTAGATCATCTCCACGCGATGCACGCTGTGCTCCTCGTAGAGCGGCGACTTGTGTTTGTTCTCTGTGGCAATGACGACGCCGTTGGAAGCTGCATCCAAATGGGGAGGGTTAACTGAATGCACAAGCGAGATTATATTGGATACTTACCCATGATGCCCACGGATGGAGCTCCGCCGGACACGGCCGCCAATGCATACTCCAGTTGGACGAGTTTTCCGGAAGGACTGCAAAAAAACCGAAAGTTGTACTTATTGCCCAGTCATGGCGGCTGGTTAAGTTCCCCGAGGGGGAAATCAACCGTTTCTTAGCGGCCATCTCGTTTTTCTCACCTGAACGTGGTCAACGAAAAGCTGTAGCGTTCGGTAGCCATATTTCCTGGGCCTCAGCAGCAGTAATTTGATGTGTAAAATAAAAAAGCCGACTTACTTTGCACAGAAACAAAAATGACACAGCAATTGGCGCAGTTCGCAGTGTGACCGCAGGCGGAATGCCAAAAGAGGCATATTCGGTCTCTGCATATTTGGTCACGCTCTTCTGATTTTATAACATAATGTTCCCACTAAAAGAATGAAAGAAATTTTTAAAAAATAATGTAACTTTTATTAATAAATAATTAATTAATTATCTTACAAAATACTGATTAAATTGTCATGGTCATGCAGTCATGCTGGCATCAGTGACAAATTTATCAACAAACAAGAGAAAGAGTCGCCAAACGACTGCTTAAATTCCATTATTTGCTTAAGACTTTTTAATAAATTTGAAAAATTTCTTCTACATTTCAATAGGTATTATTCAGCACAATAAAAATTGCACTTTTCAGAAATCTTTAAAGATGTAGGCGCCAGACACATTTTAATGTCCTTTTTGTAGGCGTTGCGCCCGGATGAGCTATCCCTGTAATCTCATCCTTTATCCTGAATTTAAGCTCGAGGTTATTTTGAAAAACCTTTTAAAGTTATCATTCAACACAAAATATTGCATCAGATTGTATATAAAAATTCAAACATGTTGGGAAAAGTTCTTTGTCTTCACGCATTGTGTCAACTTCGTCTTTTCCAGAGATTTCAACCGATTTTTTAAAAATAGGTATTTCCAACTTATTTATAAAATTTACAGAAACAATAATTATCAATGCGTTAATCGACTTGATTTTAAAATATTTTTTATTTCTCATGGGTTTTTAAGTGTTGTTTTAGAGGTGTAGATTGGGAAAAACTCTTTGAGCATTGGGGACACTTATACGGTCGTTCTCCTGTGTGAATCCTAATGTGTACTTTTAGGCAAGATTGGACTTTAAATGCCCTTGAGCAGTAGGCGCACTTAAACGGCCGTTCTCCTGTGTGTACGCGCAGGTGTGCCTCAAGCTTTGGCTTCGTATAAAAGTTTTTTGAGCACTGGGTACACTCAAACGGTCGATTACCCGTATGAACCCGCATGTGTATTCGAAGAGAATCGTTTCTCGTAAACGTTTTTGGGCATTCAGTACACTTAAATTGTCGCTCCGTAGCGTGGACTGCCAAGTGTATCTTTAAGTGTGTCTTATTTCTAAAACTTTTTGGACACTCGGTGCACTCAAACGGTCTTTTAATTGCATGTGTTGTTAGAATGTGTGTTTTAAGGGACCCATTGCTAACAAAGGTCGCTGAGCATTCAGGACAACTGAACGTTCGTTCCTCTGGGTGGAGCAGCTGGTGAAGCCTCAAATTTCCACAGCTTTCAAAAGTTTCTAAGCAGATCTCACACTTAAAGACTTTTCCAACATGCGTTCGCAAGTGATCCAGAAGATGTCTGCTTTGTGTGAAATCCTTGGAGCAATGGGTACACTTAAACGGTCGTTCTCCAGTGTGAACACGCATGTGATCCTGAAGATGCGCCTTTTTAGTATAGTTTTTTGGGCACTGGGTGCACTGGAAGGGTCGCTCTTCGGAGTGCGTTCGCATGTGTTCCCGAAGATTTGAATTCCTCACAAAAGTCGCTGAGCATTCAGTGCACTCAAAAGGCCGTTCTCCAGTGTGGGTCGCCAAGTGAAATTTTAAGCCTGACTTCCGAGCAAAAGTTTTTGGGCAGTATGTACATTTCAAATGATTTCCTAAATGCTTTCGCATGTGAGAACGACAATTTGAACTACGTTTAAATTCCATTGAGCAGTGGGGACATTTGAAGGGTCTTTCCCCCGTGTGTGTAAGCAAGTGCTCCTGAAGATGTAATTTACGTTTGAAGCTTTTCGAGCAGTGAGTACAGTTAAAGAGTCGCTCATGTGATTGTATGTGTTCTTGAAGAGTTCCATTGGTAGCGAAATCCTTTGAGCAGACGGCGCACTTGAACGGTCGGTCTTCGGCGTGAATTAGCATGTGGCGTTGAAGACTTTTTTTCAAAGTAAATGTCTTCAGACATTGGGAGCATTTATGGGGACTGATATTTGCACCATCCTTACATTCAGGCTCACAATATTCATCACTTCCATAATCTTCCTCGATCTTCACTTGACTTTCGGACTGATTGTCGTGGTCTGAAAAAGGACTGGAACTGTGTTCCTCCTCGAAAGCGTCTTCAGCAAGTGGTTCGTTCTTCACCTGGCACAGGTCTGGTTCAGGTTCCTCCTTAATTGGACAATCTTCGTCTTCGTCCTTCACTTGTACTTCACACTGAAAGTTAACAAGATTCTCCTCATTGGAATTATTTTTGAACTGACTATATAACAGGGTGCTCCTTTCGTAGGTGTTCTTTATATTGAATGCATTTTGCGCATCCTGCAGGCAGGGAGTACAAATGGTTTGGGAAAGTCGATCCCCTTTCTCAAGCTTAAAGCCGGTGCACTCAGAAATCATATCGGAAATGGAGATTCCAGCTTCATGTGTCCCTTCAAAAATATTGACCATGTTCGGATGGCTCTCCAGGCAAACACGACATACTGACGAGTCCATCTCTCTGTAATTGAGTACAAATGTGTCAGGTATCCACTGCAATTGTATCTTTCTTACGAATACAATTTAGATTAATTAAACAAATCAGATGTTTACTTCCTGGACGTTGCACTAGAGATGTGTGGATTAACACTATCGGCTACGCTATCGATAGGCAGCCGCACAGTGGCCTTTAATGTTTATTTTTTGGTCAAATATCCGTATAAAATCGTCCATATATTATAGGTCCTGACTAAGAAAAGAGTAGGCAGGCTGTTGAAAATTAAGGAGACGTGAAGGAGACGTTTCCGACCACATAAAGTATATATATTCTTGATCAGCACCAATAGCCGAGTCTATCTAGCCATGTCCGTCTGTCTGTCTGTCCGTCTGTCCGTTTCTATGCGAACTAGTCTCTCAGTTTTAAAGCTATCGCGATGAAACTTTCCGGAAAGTCTTCTTTCTATTGCAGGTAGTACATATGTCGGAGCGAGCCGGATCGGACCACTATATCTTAAGGCTTCCATAGGAATATTCAAACAAATACAAATTGTAACTTTGTAGGAAGTAGGCGTTTTGATTCTTGACTACTTAAAAAGAAAATTTAAATAGAAACGCTAAATCTGGAATCCCTGGAACTGCACCGAGTGAGCATTACTTTATCTGCAAGGGTATATAAGCTTCGGCTGGCCGAAGTTAGCTTCCTTTCTTGTTTAGAAATTTTAGTCATAATTTGGTGGATTTTACCGAAAATATGCTTAATATTAAAAAAGACGACAAAAAAGTATAATTTGGAATAAACTTTAAAAGCCACTGTGCGGCTGCCTATCGCTACAGTAGCCGATAGTGTTAGTCCACACATCTCTAATGCAACGTCCAGGAAGTAAACATCTGATTTGTTTAATTAATCTAATTTGTATCCGTAAGTAAGATACAATTGCAGTGGATACCTGACACATTTGTACTCAATTACAGAGAGATGGACTCGTCAGTATGTCGTGTTTGCCTGGAGAGCCATCCGAACATGGTCAATATTTTTGAAGGGACACATGAAGCTGGAATCTCCATTTCCGATATGATTTCTGAGTGCACCGGCTTTAAGCTTGAGAAAGGGGATCGACTTTCCCAAACCATTTGTACTTCCTGCCTGCAGGATGCGCAAAATGCATTCAATATAAAGAACACCTACGAAAGGAGCAGCTTGTTGTACAGCCAGCTAAAAAATAATTCCAATGAGGAGAATCTTGTTAACTTTCAGTGTGAAGTACAAGTGAAGGAAGAAGACGAAGATTGTCCAATCAAAGAGGAACCTGAACCAGACCTGTGCCAGGTGAAGAACGAACCTCTTGATGAAGACGCATTCGAGGAGGAACACAGTGCTAGTCCTTTTTCAGACTACGACAATCAGTCCGAAGGTCAAGTGAAGATCGAGGAAGATGAAGATTATGGAAATGATGAATATTGTGAGCCTGAATCTAAGGATGGGGAAAATAACAAACCCCATAAATGCTCCCAATGCCTTAAGACTTTTACAACGAAAACCAATCTTAAGCGCCACATGCTAATTCACGCAGAGGATCGACCGTTCAAGTGCACCCTCTGTTCAAAGGATTTCCCCACCAATGGAACTCTTCAAGAACACATAAAATCACATGAGCGACTCTTCAAGTGTACTTACTGCTCTAAGGGCTTCAAACGTAAATTACATCTTCAGGACCACTTGCGTATACACACAGGAGAAAGACCCTTCAAGTGTTCCCACTGCTCAAACGATTATAAAAATAGTGCACAACTTTACCGTCACATGCAACTGCATTTGGGAAATCACTTGAAGTGTCCCTACTGCCCGAAAACTTTTGGACGGAAATCATACTTGGATTTTCACTTGGCAATTCATACAGGAGAACGTCCGTTCAAGTGCACTGAATGCTCGGCGACTTTTGTGAAAAATGCCAATTTTCGGGATCACATGCGAACGCACACGGGAGAGCGACCTTTCCAGTGCACCCAGTGCCCAAAGAGCTATACTAAAAAGTCAAATCTTCAGAATCATTTGCGTTTTCACACTGGAGAACGACCCTTTAAGTGTACTCGTTGCCCACAGGATTTCACACAAAACAAATATCTTCAGGATCACTTGCAATGTCATGTTGGAGAAGTCTTCGAATGTGACATCTGCTTAGAAACTTTTGAAAGCAGTTCCGATTTAAGGCTTCACTTGTTAGTCCACCCAGAGGAACGACCGTTCAGTTGTGCTGAATGCTCAGCGACTTTTGTTAGCAATGGGTCTCTTGAAACACACATGCTTACACACGTAATAAAAGGTGCTTTTGAGTGCACCGAGTGCCCGAAGAGTTTTAAAAATAAGACACACTTAAAGATTCACTCGGCAGTCCACGCTACGGAGCGACAATTTAAGTGCAATGAATGCCCAAAAACTTTTACGAGAAGCGATTCTCTTCGAACACACATGCGGATCCACACGGGTAAACGACCGTTTGAGTGTACCCAGTGCTCAAAAACTTTTTATACAAAGGCTTTTCTCGAGAACCACTTGCGCGTACACTCAGGAGAACGGCCCTTTAAGTGCACCCACTGCTCAAAGGGCTTTAAAAATCAAGGAAATCTTCAGGTACACATTCGAATTCACACAGGCGAGCGACCGTATAGCTGTTCCCACTGCTCTAAGAGTTTTAACCAGGGTTCAACTCTAAAGAGCCACTTAAAAACCCATAAGGAACTTAATTTGTAATAAGTAAAAATATAAAAAAGTTAAAGAACCAAATGTTGTATGAAGATTTTCACTTTCTAGGCTTTTTTTGTTAAACTTCCATTGTTTAAAAGGGAAATGCAAGTAAGCCGTGAAACACGAGCGGATTTATTATTTATATTATATTTATAAATTTTATAATAAAGCTAAAAAATATTATGATAACATTATTTATTTATTAAAAAGCTAAACATTATTTTAGTACTTTTGAATTAAGGCGCCATCATTCTTCCTCTTCAGTTAACTTATCGGTGGCACCCACCTGACATTCTAAAAATACCGACGTTTTGGTATATTTAGATTAGTACAACTGGTATAGGAAGTATTTTTGATTGTCAACTCAGCGGTCACACTGCTCTCAACCCTAAATAATAAAAAATAGAACGCTCCGGCGTCGCGAAAACAATCAAAAATTCATCCTCACAGGAATATGGTTCGTGGAGCTCTCCGAGGTGGACGCCCCATGCGCGGGGGCATTCGTCCGCCGTTCAAGAAGACCTTTGTGCCCCGCCACCCGTTCGACTTGACCCTGGCCGAGGTCTTCTTCCCCAAAGTTCCGCTCGCCGGTGCCGTTGACGATTCGGCTCTCACCGCGGTAAATCAATAAACGCACATGCGTTGCCTTGCCTCGCCGGCTACAATTCGATCTCGATTTGCTTTGCAGGCCCTGCTGAAGCGCAACCAGGACTTGAGTCCCACGCCCAGCGAGCAGACGGCCATCGGGAATCTGGTGACCAAGGTGCAGGCTGTGCTGGACAATCTGGTGGTGGCTCCCGGCGATCTGACCACTTGTGTAAGTACAATTAGGGTATTCAATTGCGTTGCAAACGTTTGTAAAACGTTTGTAAAAGTGTAAGCAGTTCCAACAACAATTTCCATTCCTTTGTATAGAAATCTGTTGTACTTGTGTAGAAATAATGGTTTAAAATATAGGTTTTAAATACTAAAAAAAATACTAAAATGTCAACCCAAAAGCCGATTGACGCTTAAGAATTCGCGTATAAATTTTGTTGCTCTACTTTTGGCGACCAATGTTTTTTTTCTTGGTAAATGGTATTGTTAAACGATACAGATGCATCTATGTGCCAAAGAATTCGCGGCTTTATTTTCGGTATTTGTGATATTTAACTGAGGGTTTAGATAAGATGACATTCTTGACCAAGAAATTGGCCACCCAATCAACTAAAGAACTCGCGACCTAACCAAATTTTTAGTGAAACCAAATAAGAATGACCAAGAAGTCGCGTACCTCTCACATAAAGTAAAAAGGGGGACATTTTTTTGTACATATGTCAGTTTAATTTTAGGCAAAGCCTGCCTTGCATTTCTTTTTTTAGTTAACTTATGTTTGTACGTCAATATCTTGCAACGATTTTTGAAAAACATGTCGTTGACAATTTTCGTCTGGCATACTTACAAATTTTACACTTTTGCAACGCAATTGAATACCCTAAATATAGTACTTAACCCACTATATAGCATATATATATATCATATCGTTTTATCAATCGACAGCAACTGGAGGAGGTGCGTCAGGTGGGCTCGTTCAAGAAGGGCACCATCCTCACCGGCAACAATGTGGCCGATGTGGTGGTCATCCTGAAGACTCTGCCCACCAAGGAGTCGGTCGACGCCCTGGCCAAGAAGGTGGAGGCTGACCTGAAGGCCAGCATGAAGACCGAGGTGCTGACCAAGGGCGACCAGCACACCGTGCAGATTCACGAGCGCGGCTTCGACATCGCCAACGTCCATGCCAAGGTGCGGATTCTGATCGCCACCTTGCCGCAGAATTTGCGCAAGTTGGAGCCGGAGATCCACCTGGATCACAAGCTGATGCAGAGCCATCTGGCCGCCATTCGGCACACGCGTTGGTTCGAGGAGAACGCCCACCACTCCTCGATCAAGGTGCTCATTCGCATACTCAAGGATCTCACCAGGCGCTTCGACGCCTTCGCGCCGTTGTCGGCCTGGATGCTGGACCTCATCGCCCACCTGGCCATCATGAACAACCCGTCGCGTCAGGCGCTGCCCATCAACCTGGCCTTCCGTCGCGTCTTTCAGCTCCTCTCCGCCGGACTCTTTCTGCCCGGCTCGGCTGGCATCACGGATCCCACCGAACCTGGTCACATCCGTGTGCACACCGCCATGACGCTGGAGCAGCAGGATGTCTGCTGCTACACCTCGCAGACGCTGCTCCGTGTGCTCGCCCACGGCGGCTACAAACACATCCTGGGACTGGAGGGCAACACCAGCATTGTGCGCGAAATGTCCGTCTGGAACGGAGTGTGCGTTTCGCCTTTGAGCGCTGTCTACGAGAAGCCGACGGACAAGAAGGAGGGCGACCTCGAGGAGGACATCGAGATGATCGAGAACGAGAACGAGGAGGAGGGCAGCGACGATGGAGCCGAGTAAATCAGCGCAGGCTACTAATTTACAATTGTATTTCATATTCCACATTTCGTATTTTCTGAACTTATAACTTGATTATACTACTCCCTACTATGGGTTCATCTTCACCAATATTCTGTGCTATTTCCTGGCCCATTAAATCCAAGTATTCCTCCGCTGTGAGGCCGCTGGGTTCACTAACTTTAATGGCCATGTCTCTTATCTGCAGTTTGTGGCCTTTTTCTAGACTCCTGGCTGCCACAATTGATTTGCCCAGTTTGTTTCGGCAGGGCAACTCGCAAGGCAAAATGGTTTTGTACTCAACATGTTGAAGAGCGTCCTCCAGTTCCTGACCGCCATTTAGTTTTTGCAATATTTCATTGGGAGTTAAGGCAACTGCCGAGAGTTCAAAATGATTAATTCCTGTAATTAGAGCCTTCAACTCTTGCGGTTCCAGGGAGCATCGATGGTCGGAGCCCTTCTGACTCTTGTCCAGCGTGAAATGGCGCTCCACTATGCGTGCTCCGAGTAAAACTGCGGCCTGACTTATGACCACTCCGAGCTCATGACCCGAATAACCAATTGCCACACTGGGAAAGCGCTTTTTAAACATGGAAATCAACTGCAAGTTGCAATCTTTGGGGGCAGTTGGGTATGATGAAACACAGTGCATCAGACCGTAGTTCTGTTTTCCAGACTCGGCCATAGTTTGCACAATCCTCTCCACAGTTTCCATGGTCTGCATTCCGGTGGAGATCACCAATGGCAATTCCAAGCTGGCTGCCTTTTTAAGCAGCGGAAAGTTGTTGGCATCTCCGGAGCCAATTTTAATGAAAGGAACATTTAGATCGACCAGAAATTGCAACGAAATCTAAAATTAAAAAATTTGTAGTAATTTTTAATTTTTTATTTTGGGTGTAACAGAATTTTGAAATAAAAATTGGTATAAGTAATATAATTTTATAATAGGTATGTTTTTTAGAAAACCATAATATCAAAAAAATATACCAAACTGTAATTTCATTTTGAAATTATATCAGGTCAAACAATCTTATAAATTAATCATGCATGTATTATCTTATAGGAAAAAGCATATATGCTTTGAAGAAAAAATATTTGAAAATTATCTTATTAGAACATCGAAACGGCCTTTTCTACGTAAAACTTTTAAGGAAAAATATTAGGAAAAATAACTGTTAGCGGGCTAAAGAGCGGGTTAAAATTTCTATTAAAAAACCGACCACCAATTAAGATCAATTGAATTTGTGGATACTACCTCATCCATAGCGGAAGCTGTAAAGTCCACATTAATTTGCCTACTGTAGGCCTGCAGTTCGAGGTACTGATCCTTGGAGAACTCCAGGTACTCCTTGTGCTCCCCGTAGGTTTTTCCCCAGGCGTGTTCGCTTTTATATTCGCGATCTAGAGCGGATCGCGTAAACTTTGCAGCCAATTCGGATTTTTGAAACTTTACACAATGGCAGCCGGCTTTCTTGGCCTCGTAAATCATCTTCTTCGCTGTTTCCAGGCAGCCTTGGTGGTTTTGACCAATTTCCGCAATAATATAGACGGCATTAGCCACTTTTCGGCTTAAAATATCGGTCAAAAGCATTTTTTATAATTTCGAACCCGCCTAATTTAACAGTTAATTAAATGATAGACGGGCGTAGGCAGGGAAAGTTATCGAATAGTAAATCGATAGGAATCAATAGGAAATAAATAAGTTTACATTGTAAAATGAATATCTTCATTTGTAATTAGTTAGTTTATTAATTAATTAGTTTATAAGGAAAATTCTAGCACCTCTGTTTTAAAATCTAAATTTCCATTCGATTTACGCTAAAAGCCCTTCTATAAAATAAATAGATATAAATTATAATAGATAAGAAATAACAAAATAGCAGTCCTCCCTGAGAGCCGATAAACTAACCGATTGCCCGCCAAAAGTCCTTGCAGGAGGCGCCAAAATGAATAATCGACTAGACAAGATGGCGTCTTCGCTCTGGCCACATATTCTTTTTCCGTCGATGTGGCCACCCCTCCCAGGTGCACACTCGCTATCCCTCTCCCACACACGCAACACCGCACGACGCAGAAGGGCAGCGAGCAGGCGAGAGCGGGACAACAAGAGGCGTGTGGGGCATGACTAACTGCCTGTTTCGTTCCTTCCTGCTGCTCGGTCAATGTAATGTGGACACACTGGAGAAATTTTCATACTAGTTAGCTGTGAAAAGTATTTAGCAGAAATAGATTTGGGAAACTACAGATTTCGAGGCTATTTCGGCGCTACCAACGAACGTTCGCGGTAACCTCGACACGCAGCATTAGCAGCAGCAGCAGTTAAATACAAGACGCCAGCGCAAACATGGGCGACGTGATGAACATCGACAGCATAATATCGCGACTTCTGGAGGTGCGTGGGGCACGGCCAGGCAAGAATGTCCAGCTCTCGGAGAGCGAAATTCGTGCGCTGTGCCTGAAGTCGCGCGAGATCTTCCTCTCGCAACCGATTCTCCTGGAACTGGAGGCACCGCTCAAGATCTGCGGCGACATCCACGGCCAGTACTACGATCTGTTGCGTCTGTTCGAGTACGGCGGCTTCCCGCCGGAGTCGAACTACCTGTTCCTGGGCGACTACGTCGATCGCGGCAAGCAGTCGCTGGAGACCATCTGCCTGCTGCTCGCCTACAAGATCAAATACTCGGAGAACTTCTTCCTGCTGCGCGGCAATCACGAGTGCGCCAGCATTAATCGCATATACGGATTCTACGACGAGTGCAAGCGTCGCTACAGCATCAAGTTGTGGAAGACCTTCACCGACTGCTTCAACTGCCTGCCGGTGGCGGCTATCGTGGACGAGAAGATCTTCTGCTGCCACGGCGGCCTGAGTCCCGATTTGACCTCCATGGAGCAGATCCGCCGCATCATGCGGCCCACCGATGTCCCGGATCAGGGCCTCCTCTGCGATCTCCTCTGGTCCGATCCCGACAAGGATACCATGGGCTGGGGCGAAAACGATCGCGGCGTTAGCTTCACATTCGGCGCCGAGGTGGTGGCCAAGTTCTTGCAGAAGCACGAGTTCGATCTCATCTGCCGGGCCCATCAGGTCGTCGAGGATGGCTACGAGTTCTTCGCCAAGCGCCAGCTGGTCACCCTCTTCTCGGCGCCCAACTATTGCGGCGAGTTCGACAATGCCGGCGCCATGATGTCCGTGGACGACACGCTGATGTGCTCGTTCCAGATCCTCAAGCCCGCTGACAAGCGTAAAAAGTAATATCACCACGAGCAGTCTTTTTCTATATTAAAAAAAAAAACAAAATCAATAAGAAAACAACCCAAAACCAATCAAGAAACAACAAGAAAAACACACCCAACAACAACCCGAAATAAAATGCAAATGCTTTGAAAGAAAACCACATCAGATCATGGATGAAAAACGTAAGTGTAGACTGAACAATCGCCCCGTGAATCACACTCTCATTCCAACCTTATCTCTGCTTTTCGGTCACTTTTATCATCGGCAGCCGGGGCGAGTCAACAAAATCCACAAGAAAATCCCTCGACAAACAGCCAGCGAAATGCATGGAGGAGCTGCGCCTCAAAGGACATCATCCTGGGTCCCCAGCAAGAGAATGAAGTTTTCCTTCCCTTCCCCCATTGAGATTTTATTCGCAATTACAAAAACACATTGACAAATACCATGATTAAAAGCCACATACATATTTATTTTTAATAGCCCCGCATATACTTATACGAACCACCCACACACACACACACCTTGCCTACACCTGCGATTATAGGTTCTGTCCAAATTTTAAACACTAGGTAAACAGGTCCGTACGCAGCAGAGCACCCAGCATAATATTGGATTAGATGTACGGAGATGTACGGAGAGCGACTGGACCTCTCAGTCGGTCACAAAGCATACATATACACAGAAAGGGGGCCCCTTAGCGCTCTTTGGCCTTAAGAGTATAGAGCGTATGAAGCAAAACAAAACGAAAAATCGAAGAAGGAGGAGGGAAATCGAGGAGAACGCTTGCCAAGAAGTGAATAAAATATAAACACTAAGTTTCGACCTTGAATCAGTTTTTTGTTCGTCCACATTGCCGTCTGATTACCCAGATTACTGATTACCTGCACCCCAAATCAAAGAAATCTATTATTTTGTTGCATTCAACGAGACAACTTTCCCCCTTTCCGTTCGTCATCTCTCTCCCGTCATTTTTAACTATTATTAATATGTATTATCAATAATCCTTTGTATTAATAAACAAATGATATAAAACGTGTATGAATTATGAAACTGATTTCAATAAACATTTGAAAAATCCATAATTCTCGGCATATTTTTTTGCATTTCGCTTTATTTACATTTACATTTAGGAAAATACTTAACATTTGTTCTAAATGGATGCGTTTCTAATGGGATGTCTTTTTAGTGTGATGAGATCTACTCCTGGGAGCTGGTGGCCTCTTCTTGGACGGATGAACTGGGCTGAGGGGCATCCACATTGGAAGGAGGAGGAGCAGCAGCCACTGGGTTCTCCTCAATCTGGCAGGCCTCCACGGCAGCTGTTACCTCGGCCACGGCGGATGCACTTTCTCCAGGCTTCTCTGGGCTCTGGATCTCCCCGTTCTCCTGCGGCTCCACCACTTCAGTGGGCTCTGCCACGGCTTCTTCTTGCGGCACCTCCGGCACCACAACCACCTCACTGGAAACCAAGGGCGTGTGGCCCTGGAGCACCTCGGGATTGATGCTGTTGATGATGCCACGCAGCCGCTGGATCTCCTCGTTGGCCAGCTGCAGGTCCTGCTGCAGGCGCTCGTACTTGTCGTGCTGGTGGCGCACCACGCCGATGTGGTTGCGGATGTACTCCATCGGATTCTCGGGCCGCTCCTTAATCACGCGTATGAAGATCTTGGTCAGCGAGTCCAGGACGCTGCCGCGCTCCAGGTAGCGCCGGATCTCATCGCGCTTCGGATCAATGGGCTGTGTCATCGTAAGAGAACAGTGGTTAGCCAGTGGCAATTGGATTTTCGGAAAAAGCTCACCTTAAAGGACATCTTTGCAAAAATGGAGACAGGTAGTGTGACCGCCAATGGAACTTCGAAAAATACCGAAGTCAAGCCCCCTTCTTAGTGTATTTTAATCCAGGGCTACAGGATGCCCTTAAATCGGAACTGGTTCGGTTCCAAACTATTTAATAGGGGGATTCCCTAAACTGTTGAATTGCTGAATTGTTGAATTTTGGTCAGCTGTTAATCAGCTGTTCCATACAAAGTCAACTTTCAGAAATTTCAGCAATTCATCAGCCTCGGGGCTGTTGAAAATTTTGTTGAATTGCTGAAAAGCCAGAGTTGTCACCTTTTTTTAAAAGTCGTGGCAACTCTGTAACATTTTAGTATCACCAGTACGCATTATTGATTTTAAAATCAACTTAGAAAACATATTTGTGGTTTTTTTACCTTTAAAACACTTTTAGACAGTAACTAGCAATATTAAATTAAATTTTACACGCTTAAAGTTCCGTGAAATTTTTCAAGAAATAACAGCTGTTTGAAAATTCAACAGAACCCATTTTGGGTCGTTCCCTTAATTGCTGAAACTTTTTGTTGAATTTTCAACAATTCAGCAATTCAACAGTTTAGGGAATCCCCCTAATGTGTTATTTTGTTTTTATTTAAGCAAACAAAAAAAATTGCATTGAATTAATTACATTTATATTTATATTCAAACTTCCAAAGTTTAATATTCAAATTAAACTAGTTCAAAGCACCTTTTTTTTTTCAAAGCCAGGGCTGACAGAAAAATTAATTAACGGTTGGTTATTATTTGAATTCTTTTTAACTGATATATTTTACTATATTATTACAATAGATACTCCCTTTATAAAAATATAAGAAAAATCAGAAATTTTACTAATTTCAAAAAAAATATTTTGAAAAGTTGCTATGAATAAAAATAATGTAGGTGCACTATAAATATAAATAATTTCACTTACCTTTTTTTATTTTATCTCAAAAACTGCTTTAAAACACTTTTTAAAAATTCAGGAAATCTAGAAATTTTTTAAATTTTGGCGGATTGAACCTCTGCGCATGTCCAAGAATTGTATACCTCACATGTACACTCACTATTTTTATTCCACTGGATACAGCTATTGGGCGAACGGTTTTTCAAGAGGAGCACACTCGGAATACTTCGATCCAATGATGAATACTTTTGAGAACACCTTCATCCGGGGACCCTCGCCGTCCTATTCCGACGATGCCAACTCGGAGAACGCGCTGTCCGTCACCCTGCCCATCGGAGCAGCGGTCGCGGATCTGGACTTCTGCCGCGACGACTCCAAGACGGATACGGGTGACTACTTCGACGAGAAGTACAACAGCGACAGCTGCTCGCGCCTGCATCCCGGTCACCAAGGGCGCAACACCTTCGCCTTTTGGACCATAGTGGTTCTCCTTTTGGTCCTGACCGTGGGCAATCTGATCTTGACCCTCACCATTGTGGGTGTGCTGCGGCTGGGCAAAGGTGTCCAGGGCATGGAGGTGATTCCCGAGGTGGATGTGGTCAAGTTCTATGGCTCCACGGACCTGGAGCGGGTGCAGACCAACTCGATTGGGCAGATTCACGGCTTCTCCGACGTTCCGGTGACCATTAGCAGCGATGCCGTTGAAGATCAGGAAAGTGGTGTCCATGTGCGGGTCTTTCGCAATGGCAATGGTGCTACCAACGAACGGGATAGGATTGTCCTGAACCGGGAGGGCATCCTCGTCCAGGCCACGAATCTGTTTGAGGTCAAGGACCCGATCGATAAGCAGCCCATTTTCACCACCCACCGACCGCAGTACAATATTCCTGGCGGAGTGGAGGCGCTGCAGGCCAAGGTGGTGAGTGCCAGCGGCATCGCGAGTCCCATCGACGAGTCCCTCGTCCTCGAGAGCGACGGACGCATGGCCATCAGGGGCTCCGAGGGCGTCTACTTCGATGCGGCAAGCGTGGACATGCAGGCCGAGCATCATGTCCTGATAAACTCCACGCAGGGCGCCACCATCCTGGAGGCGGGCACAGGGATCTTCCTGGACATGGAGCGCATCCCGATCGTCAGCTCGGAACTGGGACTCCGCACGGGCAGCGTGCAGTACAAGATCTGTGTGTGCATGCCGCACGGCACCCTCTTCCGCATCGCCATTCCACGGGTGCACAACGGTCCCAAGATTACGTGCGCCCACTTTAGCGGCAAGGACGATCCCTGCGAGGTCAACTAAGCGGTCAACTAACTAAGAAAATAAAGAGAGATCGTCACGATTATCGTATCCCTAAAACAAATGTTACGTAGCACTTTTTATTTTCCAGGAAATGTACAGGATTCGAAAGAGTATGATGCGAAAAACCGATTCTTAACTTGCATTGCAAGGCGACAGAGGATCCTGATTAAGTGGGGGTTTGAAAATTAAATAGTTCCGATTGGCCAGATATAATACATAGATGGTATCGAATTCGCTGGATGAGAATGTACACAATGAGAGGGCGAGGGACAATTTCAAATCAAGAGTGTCGTGAATTTCATTCAGAAACTAATAACGATTAAAGGATTAGCGCGCGGGTTAGCCTACTTCCAGTTGGTGGTGTTCCCTAAACACCCGGAGGCGGTGGCGGCGGTGGTGGAAGCGGTGGCGGTGGATGATGCTGGTGGCGGCTCCTTGACGAGCTGGGACTCACGCCTGCCATATTGTCCGTCGCCATTCTAAGAAGCTCAGCTTCACTTAGATGCGCCAAACGACCTTTGCTCTTCGGCTTCGCTGCTGCAAGGGAATCGTTGATAAAACTCTGCATTTAGTGGGTATTCCAGTCGACTCACCCATTGAACTGGCCGTGGTGATTGCGTCCTCGGGGTTGTACTCCTCATCTCCTTCGCCAGCATTAGAGGACAGGTCCGTTTTGTCCTTGATGCTGGCCAGGATCTTTGAAAGATTTGGTGGAATTGATATGCCGGCTAGAACATTCGACGAGGACGCTGATCCCTGCAGAAAAACGAGTTAAGAAATTAGAGAAATGCTAGACTGGGTTGTCTAAATACCGATACTTACCGAGGGCTCTACTTTAAGCAAGCCGGCTATTTCCATTTGTTGCGCGGCTATTTGCTTGTTAATTTCATTCACCTGCCGCTCAAGATCGTTCGGGATTCTTGGAGCAGTCGGCACCAATTCGTCGTCGGATCCGCCAGGCGAATAGGGCTCGTCATCGGCATCGTTCGTCACCGTTGGCAGGGGCACCGCTTTGGGTACAGCTGAAAATATCCATCATTAATATAAGGCCCTTTAATGATCTTTATACCCTTGCAGAGGGTATTATGATTTCAGTCAGAAATTTGCAACGCAGTAAAACAAACAAACTAGTCTCCCAGTTTTTTAACCTATCGGGTTGAAACTTTCCCAAAAGTCTTCTTTCTATTGCAGGTTGTATATAAGTCGGAACCAGACGGATCGGACATTTATATCCTATAGCTCTCATAGGATTAATCGGAAAAATAATGGAACAAAATTCTAGCTTCGGTCTTTTTTTAAACATTACTTTCTACGATGAAACAATGTTTTTTATATATTTCTGAATTTCGGATAAAATATTTAAAAAATCGGACGACTTTATCATATAGCTGCCATGGGAACGATCGGAAAATTATTGGGAAAATAATAGGAAATAAATTATAGCTTCTTTGGTTTTTATTGTATTCTCTCCTACTCTTGGATATGACTTTTTTTTAATATTTCCGAATTAATTAAATTTAACAAAAATCTGACGACTTTATTATAAAGCTGCCATAGGAAGGTCAGAAAAAATAATGTCAAAATAATAGGAAATTTGCGAATTGTAAATTAATAGAAATGATCTGCACGGGTATATAAACTTCGGCTGGCCGAAGCTAGCTTCTTTTCCTGTTTTGATTATACTTACTCTTCTGCAGCTTTGCAATTGGCGCCTTGATGATGGCATCGATGTCGAACTCATCATCCTTGGAGCTGGTCGAGTGGGTGCTCGCCTTGCGTTTGGGGCTGCTTTGGGGCGTGAACACGGTCGTGCTGCGAGATTTCTGCAACGGGGATAGAGTATTTAAGTCGGTAAAGCTTACTGATAAAAAGAAATCCCTACCCTTGCTACCTTGCTGCTGGCAGTGGGAACCGGAGAAGGCACTGATGGTGTCGTTGGCGGAGCTTCTGCAGGTCGCTTGCTCACGCAGCGCACGATGATGCCAAGCAACGTGTTGGGTCGTTGGGCGTCCTCGAAGAAGGGAACTGACTCTGGGGTCTGCAGCGCTGGCGGCAACTCATCGTTGGTGCCCAGTGGGAATATGTAAAAGTCCCGCACCTGATCCGAGTCCACTCCCAAGACGCCCAACCGCTGACGCGAGTCGAGGTACTCGAAGAAGAGATCAAACTTGCGTGTCTCGCTGGGCGATGCGGGAAATATGTTCACCAGGACCACCTCCTTTGTGGGACTCTTTTTCAGCTTCTTGATGTACTCCCAGACATTTACGCGGGTAATGCGACCGATTACATCCATCTGGCTGGGCATTAGGCTGCCTAGTTGTTGGCAGTTGCCCTGAACGGGGTACATGACCATCTCAAAGTCAGCCAGGTCGATCATCTTGAGGGTGCCGGACCACAGGGAACTCATGGTCAGGCCTTGCACATAGCGGGAGTAGTTGTCCTGCGGCTCGGCGGCCTTTGGCAGAGTTGGCAGTGGCTTGGGTGAAGGTTTCGGTTTGCCCAAATTCGCTGCCTGCTCAACGGTTTTCTCAGATTCCAGAATTTGATCAATCAGGTTGTAGGCATTGGGCTCTACTTTCTTTTTGGGCACCGGCGATTGATCGTTTTCCTCCCTCTTCTTGGGCATCACCTCATCTCTTTCCCTGCTTTGTTTCTCGCGGGATCGATGCTCTCGCGATTCTCCTCCTCCTCCTCCAGCTGAATCCCCTTCGTTGTGATGGCGACGATGGCGCTTCTCGACGTTTCGACCGCGACTATTGGAACGACTGCGACTCCGTTTGCGGTGATGATGCTTGTGGCTCTTGTGGCGCTTCTCCTTCGATGACCCCGACTTCTCCCTGGAGGAGGAACGTTCCAGTATGGAGGTATCTGGCTCACTCACCACTGACGACTGCTTCTTGTCAACCGCAGATGCTTCGATGACATCCTCTTCGGGCAGCGTAACATCCACCTTCGTGGCAATCACCTCCTCTCCTTTGTGCGTCTTTACGACATAGTTTTGGGCACACGACAGCATGTCCAGCTCGGATTTCTTGATCATGTCCAGCTGGTGTCGATTCTCCTCCTCTCGCCACTTGGCCAATTCCTGGCTGGCCAACTGCTCGGGCGTCATTCGCACCAGCTGCTTGGGCTCCACCTGCTTGGCACATATCTTCTCGAACAGCGTTCGGTTCTTGCGATCCTTGATGTTAAACATAAGCGACCGATACTTGGCCTTGTACTTGGCACCCACGTCGCGTCCAAACGAATTGAACATTTCCAATTCCACGTTCTTCACGAACTGATCCACTTCGAGTACCGTCAGCCACTGGGTTGCTGCCTCCTGGCTTGAGGTCAGCTCTGCAGCCTGGGCCTCCTTGATCCGCGACAGCAGCTGCTCTTTGAGGGACCGTCGAATGCCAATTCGAACGGGTTCGGGTTTGCCTGCGCTTCGACTGGGCGTGGCCACTTGCGCTGGAGTTGAAGGCCTCTCTTTCTCCTTCTTGGGCAAGTTACGCACGGAAGAGATCCCCACTGAGTTAGCCTGAACTGCAATTGGTTGGCTTAATTTGGTCGCAGCTTCAATCGGCTTTTTTGGAACTGCATTTGCAACTGCGGCAGCTTCAGCGGAGGTGGATAATTCCGGGGCTCGTTTTAGCTGACGCTTCTATCAATAAAATTAGTGAATTATTTGAATTTCGATTTAAAAGCAAGCAGAACTTACCTCTGCGTCGGTTGACTGAAGTGTTCCCGAGGGCAGCACCTCGAAGGTGGGATTCTCCTGCAGCCATTTTCGCAACTGATGTGCAGTTGGTGCCAAGTGGCCGGTGATTACACGTCCCGTTCTGCGCTCAAACACATTTATCTGAAAGGATCGAGCATTATTTTATAGTTAAAGAAACTAAAATTAGATTAGGCTTATTGCTTACACGATCCACTTTTGAAACAGAGTCCGCCTGCCTCAGCACGTCCTCAAACAGATCCTTCTTCTTGTTTTTCTTGGCCTCCAGGGAGTTGTTCAAAGGCGATTGAACGCTGGCAAATTGCGGCAACGGACTTTCTGGACCTTTGGCCACCGAGTGTGAGTGAAGGGCGCTTTGGGCGTATTTCCGTATACACTCTTCGCCGCAGTAAACGGAATTGGAGCTCGCCGGCCGCTTGCAGACAACACAAATCGACTCCGAAATGCGGTTAGGGGATGGTCCCAATTTGATAAAGTTAAGCTGCGGCTGCTGCTGATTGGGGATTGCACTGCTTGGGAATTTCTTCGCCGACTTTATCATAGGCACTCGCATGGGGGAACTGGCTACGGTAACCCCCACCGGCAGTGTTCTTCTGGGCGTCGAAGGAGTCGTAGTAACCTGAACAAATTCCACCGACGACGATGGTACTTTGGTTTCATTTGGTTTTTCCTCAGCTGGTGCTAAGGATGTTTTGCTAACCAACATGTCCGTTATGCGCGGTTGGCTCTGGAAAGTTAAATAATTAATAACTTTAAGCAGATTTGATTTGATTTAAACTGATTTTACCTTCTCCTCCTGTTTCTTAACACATTTCGGGCACTTCCAGTCGACGCCCTTGTGTTCCATCTCTGTGCCCATTGCTTTGGTGACCCCAACACATGTTCCGTGGAACCAATCCTCGCACAAGTCACAGCAGATCATAAAACGATTATTATGGGGCTGACGGCAGATACACCAGAGCCTGGAATAAAAAGATAAATGGTTAATACAAAATATTTCAGAATTATTGCATTATTAAGTATTACTTATTGGGATCATCGTCATCCTCCTGAGATTCTGAGGCCTCGGGATCATTGCTCTGACTCGTGTTAAGCTTCTTCGATCTTCTGGGCACCGCGGAGCGCCTGGCCAGCGATGGCTCCCTGGGATTGGGTCGTTTTGGCCCCACTCCCGTTTGGCTGTCATTGCTCAGGCTGCTGATATTGGCCAGCTGACTAATGCTTGTATCCAGAGACGTTTCACCAAAGGACACGTTGCCCAGATCCGCGCTACTAGTAGTGGCTATTCCGGAGGCTGCGGGAAACTGTGCCCGTCGCTTGGCACGCGTTGTGGGCGCTTCCATGGGAGGCAGGTAAATGACCCGACCGTTGCCACGCACAACCTTTGCCGAGGTAGCCAAAGGTGTTGTTGCCACGCTCCTCGAAGGAGTACTGCAGGCAATGGGCAGTGAGGTCATCGATTGCGAGGGCTCTACAAGAACAGCTTGAGCAGGCAGATTCGCTGGGGTCTGAAAAAAATAAATATAAAGTTGAGCTTTGATCTCAGAACATAGAAAACGCTACTAGAGCCCTGCGTGAATCATTCAATTTGTGTTTTATCATAGTATTCCATGAAATTTCTGATTTGTTTGATTCAATTCTATGTGAAATAAATTGAATGTTTTCCTAATTCATTTCGAATTGAATGAATAATTTTTATGAATTGTGTTTTTTTTTGAGAACAAAAAGTGGAAATTTTTTAACAAATCAATGTTAACTGCTTAGTAAATAAAATTCAGGTAGATTTAATCACAAAATTATGGGCCTTTCTTCTTCAAAAGAAATGGTCGTTTGAATTATTTCGGAATTCATGCCATTCATTCATTAAATTCTATTAAACTCGAAATTCTAATTAATTCCTACATATAAAACCACAAATTCAAAATAATTCATTAAATCCATTCATGCAGGGAATGGGGAAGCTCTACACCTACCTGAACGGTTGAGCCTTGCGATAAGATTACAGGCTGCGTAGGCAACGACACAATGTCATCCAGGGTACCCGGCTCTGTGCTGGCCAGCACTTGCTTCACCACCTCGGCCTCAAACTGCTTGTCCTCCTCGATCAGACCCACCACATGCTGCAGGAAATCTGCCGTAATCTCATCCTCGTCCGCCGTCTCCATAATGTCAATGGGATTTTCTGGTCCCTGCAAGCCGCAATTACCAAAGTTTTGCGGTGGCAACTGGGGACCCAAATCCGCCGCTGTGCTCTCCAGCATCTTAACCAATTTTGGTATATCTTCATCGGCATTAACTGGCGGCTGTTCCACGAGCGTCGCCTTCAGCAGTTCGTCCTGCACAATCGAGTTGATTAGATCCAGCTGCTTGTCATTCTCGGCCGCCAACTCGGAGGAACTCTGGTGGGTCTCGATCACAATTTGGGCGGGCAACTTGTGCGACTGAGCCGTGTCCACGCCGATGGGCATGAACCCCTTGGACGGGGTTAAAGCTTGCGAGGGAGCAGCAGCAGAAGCAGGAACAGGAACCACAATCGGGGGCATCTGCTGGCTGTAGCTCGACCGTGGAGTGCTGGGCGACATCACAGCACGGTGGCGGAGAGGATCAGGCGAGGATTTGATGGTAGCATTGTTGTTCTCGCCCAGCAGGCTGTTCAAATTGGTAAACACTCCCTTGGGGCTGGCCATGTTCTTGTTAATGATAATCTCCTTAACCTCCTGCGGCGAGTTCATGATCCTGCCCAATTGCACGGCTGGCATGCGGCGCACATTGGAATTTGCGGGTGCCGCCGTTGGCAGTGGTGGTTTCTTGACCGGCAGCGTCTGATGTGTGGGTCGAATCTTCAAGAACGAGGTGCTGGGAAGTCCTCTGCCCAGGGCAAACACTGTGGGCGCCGCCGCTTTCGTGGGCAACTGAATGATTTGGCCAATCTGCGGGGCCTTGTTCTGTTCCACAACGACTTCCTTCCGCTTCTTTAGTTCTGGGAAGTGCTGCGGTGCGGAGGGCGACGGGTGCAGAGGCTTCACTGGTTTGCTTTGAGCCGCTGGCCTCACCACCTTCCTCACTCGCTTCCTCTTGTTCGCAGTGCGGCCGCCGCTGCGCCGCATATCGAAGTCCATGTCGCTGTCGCGGTCGTTGTCCGATTCCTGGAAGTCATCGCTCTCCTCGCTCATCTCCTCCGTATCATAGGACTTGTCGGCGTTCTCCTCGTCCGCGGGATCCGAGCTATGCGCATCGTCGTCGTCTTCGATGAAGTCCTGCACTGGAGCAATCACTTTGACGGGAGCGCGTGTGGGTCTCGGTCTGCTCGCAATAATCTCTGGCTTTTGTGGCAGTGGCGGCTGGATGGGCTTGCGGATCACCTGCAGCTGCGTCGGCTGCGGAACTTGTTGTGGCTTCACGGCCACTCGCTGGACCTTCACCTGCAGCGGACTGAAGGGCACAGCCTGGACGCGCTTTTTGGCATTGATTAGCTTCACACTGCCCGGTGCTTGCATAATGATTTTGCGGCTCTGGGCCTGCACCTCCATGGCCATCTTCTCGGCTCGCTTGTGATTCCTGAGCTGCTCCGGCGACGTGAAGGGTGTGTAGTTGTGGTCGTTGCGGATAACCTCCAGCTGCGCGTCTGTCTCCGCAGTCCTCTTGTAGACGGAAACTCCTGCCAGCTCTGTGAAGAGAATATAAATAATTAAGAGGCTGCAAGGGTTTATTTTTAGTCTATGCAAGCCATTTACTCAGTGCATTTTTCACAACCATATCAGCCGTGCTGTCCGCATAGAACTGCTCCACCCGCAGGCCCACAATTTGGGGTCGCTCCTTGGGCCTGCGTCGCTTGCGCTTCTTGATGGTCTTGGGCTTTCGGCCGGCACGCCTGCGGGTGCGCGGGGCTTCGGTTTCCGTCTCCGTGGAGTCACCATTGTGACTCTCCCCGCCGGTGTTTTGGTTATCCTCGTCCTGGGCGTCCGCATCGCTGGTATCCTCGCCACCGCCGCCGCCGCCACTTTGGCTGCCGTTGTCGCTGTCCAGCTCCGAGTCCGTGGCCGCGTCCATGAAGCTGGCCAGCTCCTCCAGCCGTTCGGCCTCCTCCTGGTCCACCATGCTGGGCGTGGGCGAGGTGAGACGCACCACGCTGATGGTGGAAATCGATTTTTCCTCTACAAAAAACGCTTGTCATTTAGGGAGCAATGGAATACTGCAGACGGAGCACTCACCCATGATATTCCCGATGGCGCGCTCGTCGAAGGAGACTCCATTCTTGCTGTAGACCACCACCAGATTGGAGTCACTGTCGGCTGCCGCCGGCCGGGCGCTGGGCGCCTCCGTAAACACCGAACTGGACATGGCGGCAACTGCTCCTGATCTCCGCTAGCGGCGCATTGGAGTCGGCGGACCACTTTATCGGCTTAGAACAGAACGACTCATTTGTTGTTGCATCCGCCGCGTTGTGACGCCGACATTGAGTGTCGGGCTGGAAACGGGTCACTTCGGTTCGGTGGTCGATACGTAATACTGGTATTGCTCCACAATCTGCTCTTACTAGTTGGCTGTGCGGTAGGTTGCGGTTCGGGCGCAGAATTGGCCTATTTCTCGCTTTAAAATGCAAATTCTCCTGAATTATGAAAATAAAATTTGCAATAAAGCCAGCTCGAGTGTGACCAGACGTGGGAATGCTGCCGATGCCGCAGGTAATCGATAGTTATCGAGCGTCGCTCCAAGGAACTAGTTCATTGGGGGGATTCATCTCTTTTCAATTTACGTTTTTATAAATAGTAATAAATTACTGATTTTTTTTTAAATGTCAAGATTGTGTGAATTTAGGTAATTAATTCTAGAATAAATATATTTTTTTAATATCAAGTTTATATTATAAACTCAAACTCACGATCAACAAGAAACTTCAGTTTATTTTGGCGTTCGGCAGACGGTCATACTGCTGCAGAAAACAACAAGAAACACTGATAAAAGCACATAATTTACTGCCTTTGTTTGTCCCCTATCATCAGCTAATCTTACTGGGCTGAGCCACAGTTAAACTTTGTCCTCCCCAGCGAAACCATGTCAGCCTACCAAATGGGATCGGGCCATGCCGTGCCCATGACTCTTTTCCGGGACAACAGGGATCGCGCAGTGAAGGCGATCCTGAAGGAGCTCCTTCCGGGCCTAAAGTTCGATGCGGGCAACCTGCTGGTGCTGCTCGAGGGCGGCAAGGACAAGAGCCTGTACAACACCGACGTGGACTACGTTTTCCGGCAGGAGTCCTACTTCCAGTACTTGTTTGGCGTCAAGGAGCCCGCCTGCTATGGAATCCTCACCATCGATGTGAAGACGGGCGCCCAGAAGAGCATCCTGTTCGTTCCCCGCTTTCCCGACGAGTACGGCACCTGGATGGGCGAACTGCTTGGTTTGGAGGCCTTCAAGGACATGTACGAGGTGGACGAGGTGCTCTACGCCGACGAAATGAACGTATATTTGGAGAGGGCGTCGCCCAAGCTGATACTCACGCTGAGTGGAACCAATAGCGATAGTGGGCTCACCCTCCAGCCGCCGGAGTTCGAGGGCAAGGAGAAGTATGTGACCGACTGCGATCTTCTGTATCCCATCCTCTCCGAATGCCGGGTGATCAAGTCACCGGCGGAAATCGAGGTGCTGCGTTATGTGGCCAAGGTCTCATCGGACGCCCACATCAAGGTGATGAAGTTTATGCGTCCCGGTCGCATGGAGTTCGAGGGCGAGTCCCTGTTCCTGCACCACGCCTACTCGGTGGGCGGCTGCCGGCACGCCTCGTACACCTGCATCTGCGGCAGCGGAACGAACTCAGCGATCCTGCACTATGGTCATGCGGGCGCACCCAACAGCCGGCCCGTCCAGGACGGCGATCTCTGCCTGTTCGACATGGGAGCCAACTATTGCGGCTATGCGGCAGACATCACCTGCACGTTCCCGGCCAACGGCAAGTTCACCGAGGATCAGAAGTTCATCTACAATGCCGTTTTGGCTGCACGTGATGCGGTGACGGAGGCGGCCCGGGATGGAGTATCCTGGGTGGACATGCACAGGTTGGCGGGCAAGGTGCTGCTGCAAAAGCTGAAGGAGGGCGGCTTGCTGACGGGCGACGTGGAGGAGATGCTCGAGGCAGGAGTTTCCGGCGTGTTCCAGCCGCACGGTCTGGGTCATCTCATTGGTCTGGATGTGCACGATGTGGGCGGTTACCTGCCCACGGAACCGAGTCGCCCCAGTGAGCCGTGGCTGAGCAAGCTGCGATTTGCCCGAATCCTTAAAGCCGGCATGTATGTGACCATCGAACCGGGCTGCTACTTCATCAATTGGCTGATGGACAAAGCTTTGGCCGATCCAAACATTGTTAAATACATCAACGTAGAGATGTTCAACCGCTTCCGTGGATTTGGAGGCGTGCGCATCGAGGACGACGTGCTAATCACAAAAACGGGCGTCGAGAACTTTGCCATTGTGCCACGCACAGTTGAGGAAATCGAGGCAGCTATGAGCTCGCCTTAAATATAAACTGCAGGCTTAGAGCTTGGAAAAAGTATCGTACACTTATGCATATGTTATATACTGGTATCATAATCAAATTATGGAATATACAATAAATAAATATCTTTAAAGCTATTTAACTATACTGAAAGATTTGATTAACCTTTGTGTTCAAAGAGAATTCTGGAGTTAACCTCTTTGAAAAGCTAAATATTTAATATTATATACACATAATTTATTACTTCGGCAAAAGAATTAAGGTGCAATGGCTATCTGAAAACGGCAAGCGATAATGCTGACCACATGCTGATACACAACTTGATTAACTTCGATTCACATCAAGAGCTGATATCAACTTACGCGTTTGTTTTTTTATTGGTCGACAGTGTTAACAGAGTAAACGAGACGGCGGCCTGGCTAAGCGTGCGAGATTCCAGTCTCCAAGCGGTATCTATATCTATTTACAAGCATGGAGTGCCATGAGTTGCTCTCTGCCCGATTCGGGCTACATGTACTTTTTGGCGTGTCCGTTTCGTTGCTGCTGCTTCAAGTGGCTGTGGGCGTTGCCATTTTGAGTCGGAGGTGACGTACCGTCACTGTTGCTATCGCCGCTGCATTCCTGGACCGCTTCAATGACCTCGACGGCGCTGCGGCGTGGGAACCAGCCGCGAATGTGACCCCTACGCTGGTGCTTCTTCCCGCCAATCAGCTCCTTTTCGGAGGGCACTCGCTCCCCAAACAGCCAGTGGTTGCGGAAGCGGGTGACCCTAATCACGTCGTCGGGTCGGAGGCGAATGCGCGGCTCATCGGAACAGGGAGCGGCCACGCAGACCCGCCATCCCTGCGAGAATATCGGCAGCCAGCGACCAGTGACGGGTCTGATGCATCTGAAGGTGCGCGTTCTGGCCCGCTTCTCCTCCTTCTGCGCCAGTTGTTCTCGCTGTAAAGAGAAGAGGGTTTGGTTTATGGTTTTTGAAAGATGATTTTTACATGCTCACCGTTAATGTATACTGATTGCAGCCCTCGACCACAGGCCATTCGATGCCATCGCCTCGCTTTTGGCACTCATCATTAAACACCAGTCGCAAATTTTGGCGCCAGCCCAGATCGTAGGGATAGAGAAACTCGTCGTCGCTGTCGGCATTCCTGTAGCGGCGGTACAGGGCCTTCTCCACTATCCAAATCTCAATGCCCGTCTGGTTAGTGACGATCGTCTTCAGCTGGATGAACAGCAGCATGCTCAGACCAATGACGACTCCGATGGCCAGACCCATGCCCAAAATGCACATGATGATGCTGGCCAGCGTGAACTGGACGCTGGCCAGGTGAGCCAGCCCGTGGGTGAGATAGTAGTAGCGGTAAATGCCGCGCCAAAAGGAGCAACAGAGCACCACGGTGCCCTGCAAGCTGCCCAGGATGGAGAAGAGCAGGAAGTAGGTGAAGTAGGCGTGGTTGGCCCAGCCAACGCAGTGATTTATCCACGGGCAGTGGTGGTCCATCTTCTTTACGCAGCGGTCACCTGATTTTTGCAAGTATATAGTAAAACGTCATTAAAGATTAGGTTTCACTTGTCTTCGAAAATCTATACAACGTTCGAAATAAATTTAGGGTGTTCAATTTCGTTGAAAATTTTAAAGTGTAAAAGCTGTATTTTAATGCCAACAACAATTTCCATACGAAAGTCTTTGAAATAGGCCTATAAGATCTCCTATATTTGTGACACAATTGAACACACTAATTATTTCTAAAATTCAGGAGCTAATTTTTAATACAATTATAGGGTTTTTAATGCTATAAGCCTCTTATATTTGTGTTAAAAGTTGTGTTTAAATTTATTTGATAATTTTAAATTAAGATTTTAATGTAAAATATTATAAATTAAGATTTCAACTTGTGCAAAGGTTTTATATTTATTGCTAATCTAAAATGTTATTATAGCATAAGATCTCAACGTGAAGGATAAATCTATAAATATTTATGATAAATTGGCAATTGATATGTAAAACGTATTTTTAAAGTTCAAAGCTATTGTTAAAATTGTATATAATTAAGCATGCTTTTATGATTTCAATTTGCTTAAATTATTTGTAATTATCATGCAAATTAATATTTTACGGCGAACTTACACTTGCGACAATGATGGGAGCGTGGGGCCTTGTAGCCCTCGCACTTTTTGCAATACTGCAGGAACTCGGCGTCCTTGGGATCCTGCCAAAAATTTAAATTCATTAAAATACAGAGAACGAGCATATTATTTGTGATTTATGCGCGTTTCCCGAAACGGCCAGGTACAACAAAACCTAACGACGCACAGCTCATTAAGTGACCACCTCCCATTGCCCACAACCACCCAACTAGCCCAACTAAACCGCCCCTCTTGCGTCTGGGCTCGCCTACAAAACATTTATGCAAATTCGGGTAATTGCATTACGGACTTTGGGCCCCTTTTGAATGCGTTCGCGTGCAGGAGTCGCCGCTAATAAATTATATTTGGGTCGCGCCACGGCCGGACAAAATGAATGGGCGACGAAAAACGTTACTTGCACGACATCTTGCGGATCCTCCGGTTGGATCGCCCGGATTCTTTAAAATAAATTGCAGCGTTTAATTGGCGCGGATTATGCGATAAGCAGTCAGTCACACACGCCAATGGGCTGGGTTGGCCCATTTGTCTGGGCCGAAACTCGGACAAGGAAACCCCGCAGAGACCGAGGGAGCCTACTCTTCAGAAGCTAAACAATTGTTTCCGCTTTGGAATGACGATGCACAAAGGAACTGAGAAAACACCCCCGGGGCAAAGTGCTTTGGTTCGTGACAACCGCTTTTCGGGGCCAATGGAAGGCATTATCAATGGTAACAGGTGTCGTGTCACAACAAATGCTTCTGCCCACTCCAGTTACCTTCGGCTGCCACTGTTTTGGCATCAGTCCGGGACCTGTCAACGTGGCCATGACGTAATTGAAGGTGGCCAGCGTGGAGAGGAGCAGGAACAGCGCCTGGTGGGCAAATCCGGCGAATGATTCATTCGGCGGCCACCACATTGAGTTCATGTAGAGCGTCGTCAGCGTTATGCACTTGATGATGCCTGAAAAATAGAAGCAGTAGATAAGCATTAGAGTGAATCATGTCCGAAAATTTGATATTCATATAAATGGAAAGTCGACCTAGCCCTCTTTTCGCTCGGATGGGGTGACTTTGGTGGCCATGCTTGGCTTGGCAATTGCGTGCGCAGGAAATAAGGCTCATTTATTTAGTTTATTGTCGCTTTTCGAGTTGATTAGCCGGCACCACGGTCCAGTAATGAGTAATTTCGGCCTTTCTGCGACTGATTCCGATCCCAGATCCCTTTTTATGAGCAGCATTTCACAGCAACAAGCGGCCGGCGTCCAATGAAGCCATTATGCCGGGAACAATTGTATATCACTTGGCGATATCGTTGAGCTCCGGAAGTCCTATGGCGTCTGCCCAGCCGGCGGCCAAACGGGCAATTTGCACGCCATGTTCGGTGGCTCCGTGAAATTCCAGATAGGCTCCAAGGACCCAAAAACTCCGGGCAATAAAAGGCCAAGCGACACACAACTAAAACGCAATTAGCGCGGCACATTAAGCAAATTAAAAGTCCCAAGTGGGTGGACAACCGATTTTGTGTGGGTTGGCATATGAAACACGATATGGCGCAGACAGAAGGCGGCAGGGGGTGCAGTTCATTCACTCCGCGTCCACTTTCACCCATTCTGCAAATTGGAGCCCATCCCTTCCAGACAGACAGCCAGTTGTGGGTGCCCCGACTGGAACCGCTGACTAGGATTAGCCCAGTCAGTACTTACTCAGGGCCGTAATGGGTCCCCAGTGCAGGAACCGTCGGAAGCCGGATATTTCAGCGCTCATGATTTGTATATTTTCGCGTCCAAAATGGTAATGGCAATGGTAAAAAAGGTAAACAACAAAGGTACCCCAAGCGATAGCGATGACGAATCCGATAAATTGCTATCGGTGTGACCGTGCACGGAAACACCTTAAAAACCGCGGGAAAAACGGAACTAGTTGAACCACTAAATTCAAAAAGCGGAACTGAACTAATAAAAACATTCAATTTTTAAGGAACATATCTCATAAATACTTTTATTTTGATCAATTAAATAAGTAATTTAAAACACGTTCACTTGTTGGCCACAATCTCGAACTTAATGCCGTGCTCGTGCTTCTCCAGCTCGCTGATGAGGCCCGTTTTACGGAAGGCGGCTCCTGGGGACAGGACTCCGCCAGTGCCGGGCATCTTGTCGCTTTCGTTGAGGATGGTCTTGGCCGTGGAGAGCAGGGCAACGCAGGTGGATCCATAGCCGGGATTGGGACCAGTAATCCTCACGGTCAAGGTCTTCGTTGGCGGCGAGCTGTACTGATCCGAGCTCTCGGCCAGCTGCTCGGTCTTCGGCCAGCCGGTGGCCTTCATGGTCATCCTGAAGAAGGAGCGCTCCATCCTGGCCTCGCTGGGCCCCTCGCGGGATGCCATGCCGCCGGAGAAGACGCCCGGGTACTTGAGCAGCAGCTGCCGGCCGAAGGAGAACTTGGCCAGGATTCCAATGACGGAGGCGAAGAGCACAACAACACTGGCCGCGAACCACGAGGGATAGGTCATGTAGGCCTGCATCTGGACAGGGCGCTTCTTCTCCTGCTCGTAGAGGAAGCGCTGCGAGCGCATCACCACCGAGCGATCTGTTTCGGGGAACGGCAGGATAACCTTGTTGTCCACCTCGACGGCCCGCGAGAGCGGCGATCGTGCCTTTAGATCCGGCTGAAATCTGGGCAGGCGCTCGGGGAAAGAGCTTCCTTCGGATGGCCACCGACTCGCTGCGGTTGGCGATGGCATGAATGGCGCTCTCCCAGGTGCCGGTGTTCAGGGCCGCGCTGCCCGTTCCCTTGGTGCCGCCCTTTACGCCCATGTGCACGAAGTTCTCCACCGAGTTGACCACTCCGTCGAAGTTCTTCTCCACGAAAGTGACGCCCATGTCGGCGGGTATGGAATCAAAGCCACAGGCGCTGATCACGTACACGCCACGCTCCTTGGCGAGATCGTGGTAGCGCAACTGCATGGTCTCCATGTACTGGGGCTCCCCGCTGACATCCACATGATGGGTGCCCGCCTCGATGCAGGCCTTCACCACTTTCTCGCCAAAGAATCGATACGGTCCGGCCGTATTGACCACGATCCGGCAGCGTTTGGCCATCTCCAGCAGCGACGCCTCGTTGTTCACGTCCGCAATGACGATGGGTGTTTGCGAGAGATCCGTCTTGGACTTTGCACCCATCTCCTGGAGCACCTGACTGCAGCTTCTCCCGATTGCGACCGGCGATTCCCCATTGCAGGCCCTTAAGCACACTGACCGCCTCAAAAACCGTGTACTTTCCCGTGAAGCCGGAGGCTCCGAAGATGATGGCATCCAGTTTCTTGGCCGCCATTCCAGAGGTCACAAATAGAGGTTCGCTTATAGTTCTTATCAGTTCCACACCCAGAGGTAATTCGGCTGCTCCGAGCGACTGGCAAAATGTTAATAATGCTAATCGCGCCCACTAACAGCTGTATTTATTGCAGATTGTCGCGTAGTGACTCCACAAAACTGAATCGTTCAGGTAAAGATCGATTGCAGATAGCAACAAGTGGTACGTTCATGCGGTTACCGTTATGGTAAAACTCCAATTCGTAAGAAGTATCTATAATGGGCAAAAATTATTTCTTAAAGTGCAATAATCATTTAAATTTTATTAGTTGTTTTAGTTAAAATATTTTTACCATTTTCCATAACGCGTATTATCCAATTCTTGATCCAAATAGCACCGTGTAAACTTTAATATCGATGAATATTGTTTACTGCGATACTTTTCGCGCCAATTATGAAATTTAAATTAGTTTCCTAAGTTGGTTTTATGTTGAAATAAATATACTAACCCTTTTCGTGCCACCTATTCTATAAGGTTATTATTAACTTGATTATGTTACTGCTATATTTTAACTATTTTATTGGTATGTTTTATAAATGCATATGATATAAAATATTAAATTTGTTAAGTCGACAACCGAATGAGATGAAGCTGTCGAAACGAAGCTCTGCATGGAGGCATTGTCTCGCAGATCGGAGTCATTCTCCGGGATGGTTTCAAAAGTGTATAGGGCGCGAAAACCAATGGCCACAAAGCGATCATTTGAATGCAGGGTGACTCGAAAGAAGCGCCCCTCAGAACGCATTTCAAAATCGGGCAGTTTTCCGCAGTATCTGCTGTACTTTCGATCTGTGCTCATGAAATTGGAAAACTCAATGTAGTCGCTGGCAGTCTGGTGGTCACAACTGGTTAATAAATATAATTATTAAACAATTTCAGAAAATTAAACATAAAAAGGTCTTACGCTCCAATTCCTTCAACATCGAAATATGTGAAATGCAGCACAACTCTCTCGTCACTGGCTCCGTAGAAGTAATAATTGCACACAACATTTTCCAGATAATAGCCAGGAAAATTGGGTGAGTGAAATAGGCCACTTATTCGCTCACTGCTGTTGTAGACGAAGGAACAATCGTCCAGTTGAACGCCGGACATGATGCCATAGTCTTGGATGAAAGAGTTTTTTAGGTGGTAAAGAAATGGATTCGAAAGCATGGATTTTTTCTGAGATATAATTTCGATATTTTCTATTGTGTTTCAAAATAAAGTCGAATCAAACGGGTCTTACATAAGTGATAAATTAGAAAAAAGATATTTTTCAAAAAAAGATATTTTTAAAATAATTTCAGCAGCAAATTCAGTGGAATTAGGCTATAAGTCGAATCAGTGGAAACACTTACTGGTTAAAAAGCGGTACTCTGCCCGAAATCCGTAGTACTGCACCTTGTTGGTCATGGTGGGTGGATATTTGCCGACGAACTGGAGGTGCATCTGCGACCCGCTGGACATCAGGGGCTTGGGCAAAAGGCGCCGCACAGGAGCTCCTGCGTCTCGTACCGTCCGCGCACCTCGGTGACCACATGTAGTGCATCCCCCGGCTGGCACCCAGTGGAATTCTCGTTCTCCGTGGGCACGTTGAAGTCATGGAATCGGATCTGCACCCTTTCCGGCGGCTGGGCTTCAAAATCGTAACGGCACTGGAGGACTCTCGAGCCGCCAATTATAACGCCGCCGAGAGCGTGCTTCGCCATCAACAGCTGATTGTCGAACGTCCCGCTTTTGTTTACCCGCGAGTCGAAGGTCTGCTTGCATATTTCTACGAAATAGTTGGAAACAGAAATCACTTTCAATTTGTATCGCCAGTGCGCATGTTGTGCCATTTAACAAGGCAGGCCAGATTCCTAACTCGACTCGTCAGCATAAAGATGGCCAGCAAACGGATGCACAATGAGGACAACAAGCTGGACACCTTCCGCAGGATCTGTGATGAAATAGCCGGCGAGCCGAGTTACCTGAAGAAGGTGGAGAAACTGCAGCGGTTCTTCGACAAGGGCACCAGTGGCCAGGGCTTCGAGGGCGACACCCTGCTCTGGGTGCAGTTCCTCATCCCGGCGGCGGACCAGCGAGTCTACAATCTGCAGAACAAGGCGCTAATCAAGCTCTTCTCGCGCATTTTCAACGCCAACCAGCAGCAAATGCATCTGGATTTGGAACAGGGTGAGATATACAGAGTATATATATGTTTTCACAATATTGTGAAATTCAGAGATTGTATGAAGCATCCTTAACCTCTGGTTTCTCGTAGATGGCGACGTTTCGGAGACGCTGAGCAAGCACTTTGCTGCCTCCAGGAAGCTGAAGCCCCAGGCGCAAAGCAAACTCTATCTGCAGGAAGTAGAGCAGCTGCTCCAAAAGCTGGTGGAGCGCACCAAGGAGGATGAGCAGACCGAACTGCTGCAGGAGCTGTGCAAGAAAGCCACCGACCTGGATCTGCGCACCTTCATCCGGCTGGTGAAGCATGATTTAAGGATCAATGCCCGGGCCAGGCACATCCTGGATGCCTTTGGTCCTGATGCCTATCCCGCCTATCAGTCTTCCCGGGATTTGGCAGCCATTGTGCAGCAGTTCGGTGGCAAGGATAATAAAAAGGTCGCTAATAGTCCGGTTAAGAAGGCTAAGAAGGCGAACGCAAGTGGCATTCAGGTGATGACGCCCATATCACCCATGTTGGCCAGTCCCTGCAAGTCGGTGGAGGAAGCCTTCAAGAAGAGCCCCTCTGGTCTGTACAGCGAAATCAAATACGACGGCGAGCGGGTTCAAATCCACAAGCAGGGCGAGGACTTTAAATTCTTCAGCCGGAATTTAAAGCCCGTTGTGGATCACAAGATACGAGCTCTGAAGGAGCACATACCTCGTGCCTTTCCGGGCGCAGGGGAAATGATTCTGGACTCGGAAATCATTCTGGTGGACACTGACACGGGTGCACTGCTGCCCTTTGGCTCTTTGGGCGCCCACAAGAAACAGACTTTTGCCAATGCTGCCGTTTGCTTATTTGTTTTTGATTGCATACTGTACGACGGCGAGGATTTGACTCAGTTGTAAGTGGTTTAAGGTTGTTTAATTGAGAATGATATTATCTATATCCCTATGAATTACTGCTTATAATCATCCTCAATCTTCTAGGCCATTCCGCAAGCGACGGGAGATCCTCGAACAGAACATTCAACCCATTAAGTCCCACGTACAGCTTTCGGAGTCGGAATTCCTTAAGAATTCGCGGGAATTGGCCATTATGACGGCCAAGGTTTTGCATGCTAATCTCGAGGGTGTGGTGCTGAAGAGTCCAACGAGTCCCTATCAGCCCGGTAAAAGAAACTGGCTAAAGGTTAAGAAGGATTACCTCTTCGATGGCAAGATGGCTGACACGGCGGACTTGGTTGTCCTGGGTGCATGGTATGGATCAGGGAAAAAAGGTGGTGTGCTGAGCATTTTCCTCATGGGTTGCTACGATACATTCGGTCGTCTGTGGAAGACGGTGACCAAAGTGCACTCTGGCCTGGACGATGCCACCAACGCGGAAGTACACGACTCACTTATCAAGCTAACCGAACGGGCCGATGCCAACGCAACGCCCGACTGGCTGCTGTGCAGTAAGTCCTTGGTGCCCGATGTTCTGGCCAAGGATCCGATGAAAATGCCTGTGTGGGAGATCACGGGCGCAGAGTTCACCAAGTCCGAAGCGCATACGGCGTCTGGCATCTCGATTCGTTTCCCCAGGATTACCCGTAGGCGCAGCGACAAGTCGCCGAAGGAGGCAACTGATCTGGCCCATTTGGAAGATCTGTATGATGCCTCCAAGAAGAATGTAAACGTGGATCTGCTCTTGGCCAATTGTGGAAAGAACGAGGAAGCGCTGAATGTCGAAAAGACGCCACAAAAAGATAAAAAATTAGGAGACAGTCAGACAAGTAGCATAAAGAAACTGAAGAGGTCCAAAACAGGCTCGGATGCTGAGGAAGAAGCAAATCGTAAGGAGCCGAAAGTGAAACGGAGCTTGTCGCCATCACAAAAGGGAATGAAGGACTTTTTTAAGTCCAGTAAGGAGACCAAAACGCCTATTAAAACAGAACCAAAGGAAGAGAAGAAATCGCCAGATGCAAAAGGCAAGTTATTTGCAGGCTTGGTGGCTCACTTTGCAATGGTAAAAGATTCCAGTAAGCTGAGGGAAGAATTTTCACTGCATGGCGGATCTTGTACCACAGAACCGCGAAAAGCCAATCTGGTATTCTATAGTGACAAACGAGGCAATGGAGCTGGAGAAGCTTAGGTAAAGTCTGGAGATTCATTTAATCTAAAAATACGATTTGATTAATTTGTTTTCGCTTTTTTCCAGACCTCTCTATCGACGCAGCTGCCGGCACTTGAATGTTAGCTGGCTCCAAGCCTCTCTCGAGTCCCAGAGTCGTCAGCCTTTCCCTCTCTATGCGGTGATGTTAAAACACTGAGTGCCTGCTTAAATCGATTTTACTCGTACTTTTTACTTTACTCGTACATGCTTGATTAAACCGAATATATGTGTATATTATAGAGAACAAGTAAATACTTTGATAAAATTATCAAATGCCGTGTACATACGCGTGCACTTGGCGCCAGAGCTTTAATCAAAAGCTCTGGTCAGGGAAAACAAAACGCTCCCAAATGTTTGTGGCGCAGTTAGTTATCTTCTGGACGCCTGGATCGCTGAACGAAACGATCATTCAGCATGTTGTGGGAATTCCTGGCCCTCTTTATAGTCGCCTTGGCCTTGTTCTATCGCTGGGCTGCCGCCAACAATGATTTCTTCAAGGATCGGGGCATCCCTTTCGAGAAGCCAACACTGTATTTTGGCAACATGGGCGACATGTTCTTGAGGAGGAAGGCCATGTTTGATATAGTCTGTGATCTGTACTCAAAGGGCGGAAGTAGCAAGTGAGTATACAGATGTCATTGATTTAAATTTAATAAGATAATTGTAATAATCACTTTGTATTTAAAACTCGTTCGGTGCATTTGTGTATCTATGTTTGTTTAACATTCAAGGTCAACCAATCAGTGATCTAACTATAAATGTGAGCCTACAAATATCGCATATGTGATATGATGGGTGCGGCTGCGTTTGAGTAATTATTGAATTCTGGAATACTCTCACAAAATTGTGTAAAACCGTTGATCTGCCTTATAGATAGTTATTTTCATCATAAAATCGAAATGTTTAATTGAGGAGATAATTTTATTTGGCTTGCTAAACGCTTTGTTATGTTTATCAGTTGAATTTTGTTTAATCTTATCGATTATACGACAGCTTTAAATGTTGTTTGTTACGGAGCACTGTGTCCTTATTTAGATAAGAAAATTAATTGATAACGTTCTTGCTAAATTGTTTGGTGATAACGCAATTATCTAAATTGTGCATCAATTTCAAAATGTTTAGTAATGTTGCATATAAACTTTCTTTTAAAATAAAAACACTTTCATGAAATGAATCACTAATCTTGACTAAACAAGTAATTTATGGTACCGTCAAGTATAAACAGAGATTAGCTTGGTTAATTTAAAATAGGTAAGGATAGGTAATGAACAATGTATACCCTTCCATAAAACCCCAATTTGTGTTATCGTTTTCTAATCTGTTTTTATTGCACCTAAGAATAAATATTTAATTTATCAGCAAATGAGTCACAAAAGGCTTATCGTTCATTAACATTGATTATTTTATTTTAGATTTTTCGGTATCTTTGAGCAGCGACAACCTCTACTGATGGTACGCGACCCAGATATCATAAAGCAGATAACCATAAAGGACTTCGATCACTTCATTAATCATCGCAACGTGTTCGCCACCAGCAGCGACGATGATCCGCATGACATGAGCAACCTCTTTGGTAGCTCCTTGTTCTCCATGCGAGATGCCCGTTGGAAGGATATGCGAAGCACTTTGAGTCCAGCCTTTACTGGCAGCAAAATGCGTCAGATGTTCCAGCTGATGAACCAGGTGGCCAAGGAGGCCGTGGACTGCCTGAAGCAGGATGAGTCATCTGGCCAAGAAACAGAACTGGACATGAAGGACTACTGTACGCGATTCACGAATGACGTAATCGCCTCGACAGCCTTTGGGCTGCAGGTGAATTCGTTTAAGGATCGAAAGAACACCTTTTATCAGATGGGCAAAAAGTTGACAACATTTTCATTCTTGCAAAACATAAAGTTTATGTTGTTCTTCGCATTGAAGAGTCTTAATAAGGTTGGTAGAATATTTAGGGAATAGCACAGACCCTATAAACATATTCCTTTTCTTTGAAGGTCCTGAAAGTGGAGCTTTTTGACAAGAAGAGTACTCAGTATTTCGTGCGTCTGGTGCTTGATGCCATGAAGTACCGACAGGAGCACAACATTATCCGTCCCGACATGATCAACATGCTGATGGAGGCGCGTGGCGTGATCCAGACGGAGAAGACCAAGTCGGCGGCAGTTCGCGAGTGGAGCGATCGGGACATTGTGGCCCAGTGCTTCGTCTTCTTCTTTGCCGGCTTCGAGACCTCAGCTGTGCTGATGTGCTTCACGGCTCACGAGTTGATGGAGAACGAGGATGTGCAGCAGAAGCTGTTCGAAGAGGTGCAGCAAGTTGACCAAGAGCTGGAGGGCAAGGAGCTGACCTACGAGGCGATCATGGGCATGAAGTATCTCGATCAGGTTGTTTCGGAGGTGCTGCGAAAGTGGCCAGCAGCCATTGCCGTTGATCGGGAGTGCAACAAGGATATCACCTATGAAGTGGATGGCCAGAAAGTGGAGATTAAGAAGGGCGATGTCATCTGGCTGCCCACTTGCGGCTTCCATCGTGATCCCAAGTACTTTGAGAATCCCCAGAAGTTTGATCCTGAACGTTTCAGCGATGAGAACAAGGATGCCATTCAACCATTTACATACTATCCTTTTGGTTTGGGTCCACGCAACTGCATTGGTAAGATGATTGAATTTTACTTTTCCAATCATTTTTCTTACTCCTATATTTTCGTTATAGGTTCCCGATTCGCCCTTCTCGAGGCAAAGGCCGTCATCTACTATCTTTTGAAGGAATACCGTTTCGCCCCTGCCAAGAAATCCTGCATCCCACTTGAGCTGGCCAGTTCCGGGTTTCAGTTGGCGCCCAAAACTGGATTTTGGGTAAAAATGATTCAGAGAAACTAATCTTCATCATAGATACAAATTAATTAACTTTGTTAACTGTGTTGTATTAAATTTATTGACATTATTATTTAAGATGTTATAAATACCTAAGAAGTGTTTTAATGAAACAAGGAGGTAAAATTGTTGAATCGACTTTGATTTTGCTCTTGTTCAATCGAGGAATATATGTACCTAACTTAGTTGTTTTGTTATTTTCAACAATGGCGAACATTTATTATTAAAAAAGAACCACATCAGTTCAGTGGAAATTGGATTTTTAACAAAGGTTTTATAACATTTTTAATGCTAAAAAAGTTTTTTAGGTTGATTAAGTCTTATATCATAATGTTTCATAAAAAAGAAAATCAGATCTATTCTATGAATGCGATTTTGACACTACAAATATTGTTAGCGATAAAACAGTATATATATCTATATGTATATCCGTTCGTAACACTTTCAAATTTATTCAGAAACTATTGAAATATTCCTATTTTCTGGTCGCCGTGCATATCGTTGCAAGTTACATAATATTAGACCACGCTTGGAATGGTATAAATAAATGTAAGTAAAGAAGAAATATTCATTTGATAAAGTGAACCCACCAAGTGAATATAATTGTCGTAGAACAAAATGACGAGTGAAATTTTAAGTTTTTATAAGGACAAAACTGTTTTAATAACCGGAGGCACAGGATTGCTGGGCAAAGGTGCGCAACGTGTAAAAAACGAAAGGACATTATTATCATTGTTCTGCCCTCAAATCTTTTAGTGACCATTGAAAAGCTATTGCGGTCGACGGATGTGAAACGTATATATTTCCTGGTGAGACCCAAGCGGGGTGAGAAAGTGGAAGGACGGTTTAAGGCGTGGAAAAGTGATCAGGCGAGTGAAAGTGAAGGCGAGGCTTTTTCGGTGTCCTGTGAAAAATATACTCTCTGCAGGTCTTTGAAGTTCTCCTCAAGAAGAAGCCGCACGCACTGGAGCATGTGACTCCGATTTCGGGAGACTGCAGTTCGTCGGACCTGTCCATCAGCGAGGCGGATCGAAGGACACTGACCGCAGAGGTGCAGGTGGTTCTGCATGGAGCCGCTTCGGTTAGATTCTTGGAGCCACTGCAGCAGGCGTTGAACATCAACACTAGGGCGGTGCGCCTGATGGTTCAGTTGGCCAAGGAAATGCGGCGCCTCGAGGCTTTCGTCCACATCTCGACGGCATTCTCGAACTGTGTGGTGTATGAAATCCACGAGCGTTTCTACCCCGAGCACCTCACTTGTCCCGTTGACAAGGTTCTCGACCTGAACGATTCTCTCAGCGGCGAGGTGATAGAGAAGATGGCACCAGCCTTGCTCGGAAATTACCCAAACACATATACCTACACGAAGGCTCTGGGTGAACAGGTGATTCAGGAGGAGGCGAAGGACCTGCCAGTCGGCATTTACCGACCGGCCATCGGTGCGTAAATTTTCATAGCTTAATATAGAATTTGCACACAAAAAATTATATTGGTAAAATTTACCTATACCGATAGTTACGTATCTATAAAAAATAGTTAAGTGTATTTTGTTTTTGCTTTGGGTGTGTGCCTTGCTAATTGTGTGTATTTGTTGATGTGAAAGTAACTATTTAATTGGTAGAATTGACAATTTTTGTGACAATTATATTGGTTAATTTTACCATTTTTTTTTGTTTGAAGAGTCCTTAAAATAGGGCTGGCGCCCACATCTTTTTCTGTTTTGTAAAGTGTAAATAAAGTTTTATTTCATTTAGTAAAAAAATTATGTGGAACTAATGGAATGAATTAAAAGCGTGCGAGCAGTGAAAGCAGTCGCTTTGCCTCTCTCATTCCTTTAGCTTTGTAACTAGTCAGGATACTATCTATATCATTCTCATTTGTTTATTATAAAATTTTTACAAATGATTTTCAGTTTTATCCACCTATAACGAGCCCGTGCGGGGTTGGATTGATAGCCTGCAAGGAATGATGGGGCTGATTTATGGCACTGCTTACGGAATGGTTCACTTAATGCTTGTAAATCGTAAAGTCCATTGCAACTTAGTTCCAGCCGACTATTGCGTCAACGTGGCCATCGCCACAGCTGTCCAGATAGCCAAGCTCTCTAAGCTGAATAAAAATAGTCCACCGCCTATTTACGCTTTTTCACCTTGCCAATCCAATAGAGTGACCTATGGGTTTGCACAGGATCAGTGCTACCAAATTGGCCTTACAGAGCCGAATAAGAAGATGATTTGGTACCCATTCAACCGTAACACCACCTGTCCGTGGGTCTACAATATCGGAGCCATGTTCTACCACACGCTGCCGGGATTTCTGATGGATCTCTTCTTGCGGCTAAAGGGTCAAAAGCCGATAATGGCAAAGGCCTACCGCAAGATCGACGATGGCGGCAGAATGTTAGCACCCTTTACCAAGAAAGACTTTATAATGCACACAAAAAATACCGACCAGCTGTGGCAGTCGATGTCGCCGGAGGATAAGAAAATATTCAACTTTGATATGACGACCGTTGACTGGAAAGATTTTTTCACGGGCGTCATGGACGGAATTCGATTGTATTTCTTCAAGGACGCCCCGACACCAGAATCCATTGCCGAGGGCAAGAAGATTTTATTCAAGTGAGTGGTAATCCATTTCATTCAGAGTGATTTTTACGGTGCTCATTGGCTTTCACAGGTTTTACGTATTGGATCGACTGCTTACATCAGTTATTGTTCTTATAGCTGGTGCCTTTATATGGTTCCTATTAAAACTAGCATTTAATTAAGGGCCTTACTATGAGTTACTATGCTGGAATTCAGCTTAGAGTTCGATTTAATAAAAAGGTAAAAGGCGAAAAAAAAATGGTTCATTGTCTTGGGAAAGGTTTTTAAAAAGACACACGTGTTGTGCAGAAAAGGTCTAAGTTTGTCGATTACAATATCATCGTATTACGTAAGGCCCACGTAAAGAAATATGTATATAAAATATTCAAATGCGCCTCAGTAATCGGAGCGTGGGTCTACTATATAATTACGAAATAGCAAATAGAATAATCACGTCTGCATTTCGATTTTCCATATAAATTAGGCAGTCACAAGCCACTCATTAACGGAACACATTCAATGGGCTGGAGCAACACTCACTGTCCAAACACTCAGCACATGGGTGCGGACCCTCGAATTTAATTATCCATTCCGTTCCGTTCTGTCTGTCCAACTACCTGGTTTCCCTCCCTTTCCCTGAGCTGCACTTCATCTCCCGCTTGGAGGCGAAGGGGCCAAAGCAACATCGTTTTCCAATTAGCCAAATGGAGGGTTCACAGGGCGCCACGCTACTTGACACCTGAGCGGAGACGATCCTCTGGACCACAAAGTGGCAAAGCCTCGGGTTCCAATTTCATTGTAAGATCGGCAAACCTAATTGTTTACTTGACAGGTCAGCCGCAATGCTCAGGCTTTAATGGGCCATGTTCGAATGGGCGTATACGTAACGATCTCCGGGGTGGGGATCTTCCACATCTCTGGCGGGTAAGTAGATTTTTACGACCCGATACTTACGATCCCCTCTGCCTGTAAGACAGTTGGGTATAAATAACGGCTAAAAGCACTGAGCACCTCTCATTCAAGCATCAGTCGCGTCTACGGATAAGTGATTACGGATTTCCAGTGTATGCTCGCGATCGGGGTTACTTTTTAAGTCCACCGAAAATGGCAACGGAAATACAAACATTTTACAAAGACAAAGTCGTCTTTTTAACGGGTGGAAGTGGATTTCTGGGAAAAGGTACTACTCGTTTTAATTACAACTAAGTCGGGCTATTAAAGTGATTTTTAAAATTCCTAATAAAAAAAACTTCTTTAAAGTAAAATAGTTTGATTTAACAAGCTATTAAGAATGTGATACCCAAAACGGAACGGTTCCATATCATCTTAGGCTCAAGATCAAGAACAATTTCTTTTTTTTTGGCTTTTCAGTAACTATTGAGAAGCTGCTCCGCACCACCCAGGTGAAAAGGATCTATGTGCTGCTCCGATCCAAGCGTGGCCAGGAAATGCAGGAGCGATGTGCTGCCTGGGATAAGGACCCGGTAAGTGATCAATGATCACTGATCATTATTTGAGCAAACAAAAATAATATTGATACACAAAGAGAAAAATGTAAGTACAATTGTTCTTTAATTGAGAAGATTCGTTCTTAAAAGCACATTTTTCCGTGTAAGCACGAGAACATTCGTTCTTAAAAACCGGGTAATCACTTCTTGATTTCAATTTAAGAACAAAACGCTGAGAAGGGAAAAGTTTAATTTCGTTTTAATACCACTTTTAAGATGACTGATTTAACTATTTACTTATTGTGATCAACAATGTTAAAACCGCCAATTTAATTTGATTTAAGCACATTAAACCAACATTAACTTAAATAATTTCGTTCTCCTTTTAAGAACATTTTCAACTCAAATTCATTCTCTCTGTGTATATTTTAAAAAATTCTCTGATGTTTTTATAGTCACTATATTAAATAAAAAATTAAAATTTCGTTGTAAACATTTTTTCCAGGTCTTTGAGAATCTTATGAAAGTGGATCCCGGGGTGTTGCAGAGAGTGGTGCCCCTGGCCGGCGATTGTCAGGAGCCGGATCTTGGCCTGAGCACCTCCGACCGCCAGGTGTTGGTCGATGAGGTGCAGATCGTGCTCCACGGTGCGGCCACAGTGCGTTTTGTGGAGCCATTGCACATCGCCCTGGCGGTGAACACACGAGCCACCCGGCTAATGATTCAACTGGCCAAGGAGATGCCCCGCCTGGAGGCCTTTGTCCATGTGTCCACAGCGTACTCCAATTGCGTGATAGAGAACGTCAGTGAGCGCTTCTATCCGGAGCACCTGACCTGTCCTGTCTCGAAGATCCTGGAGCTGTACGAGAGCCTCAGTCCCGAGCTGTTGGACAGCATGACACCAGCGCTGCTGGGCAGGTATCCCAATACGTATACCTACACCAAGGCTCTGGCGGAGCAGCTGCTCCAGCAGGAGTCGGGGGATCTGCCGATCTGCATCTTTCGTCCAGGCGTTAGTAGGTGAATGGCGTTTGAATCTTAGGGACTCTAATAATCCGTACACCTCTATTCCCCAGTAATTGCCAGCTACAAGGAGCCCATGGCCGGCTGGATAGACAACACCTACGGACCCATTGCTGTTCTATACGGAGCAGCTTTTGGAGTACTACGCATCACACGGTTGAATGTGAAGGCCCAGGCTGGCATTGTGCCGGTGGACTACTGCGTCAATATGGTGCTGACCTGTGCCTGGAATACGGCAAGGGAAAGTGGCGTAAAGTTACCACCCGAACCGCCCATCTTCAACTTGACGCCCACCGATGATAACCTGATCACCTGGGGCGGATTTCGGGACAAGGCGGCGCTGCTAAGGTACAACTATCCGCTGTCCAAGATGATGTGGATGCCGTTCCTGCACTGCACTACCATCCCCTGGCTATTCCGGTTCCTGGCCTTCTTCTACCACCTGCTACCCGGCTATGCCATCGATTTGGTGCTACGTCTGCGGGGTCGCAAGCCGCGGATGATCAAGCTGTACGACAAGATACACAAGAATATCGACATTCTGGCTCCCTTTGTGGACACCTCCTGGCACTTTGATACCTCCAATACCCTCAAGCTGTGGCAACGAATGTCCGCCGAGGATCGAAAGCTCTACGACTTTGACTTGGGCAGCGTTGACTGGGACGATTACTTCCTACAGGCCCTAGCAGGAGTTCGCATTTATCTCGCTAAGGAGGAACCAGGACCGGAGGCCTTGGAGAGGGGTCAAAAGATCTACAAAAGGTGAGGGGGAAATTTAAATATAGGGAAAATTAAACTTCATTGCTAAGAATAAGAATATACTAATATATCAAAGGCTATATAAATTAAATAGAAATAAGGTAATTTTAACCGATTTAAGGAGATTTGATTTAATTTTCATCTTTAAATTATCTTTCACAGATTCAAATTTCTCCATCGACTCTTGCAGTTCACTTTATGTAGCGGTGCTGCCGCCATTTTGTGGTCCATAATGAAACGCCTATTCAGCCTTTTCATATAAATCAACAAACAACACAATCACTGGCACACACACACAGATTAAGGAAGTATGTTTGTAGCTTTTAGTTTAATAAATGTTTTGGAAGAAAGTGTAAATTGATAGACTCACTGGTGGGCGAAGGTGAACAGGATGCCAGCGATTGGGGAACGAAGAGACACCAGAGAATTAATACCGACGCGAAGACCCCCATTTGAACGGCACAACAGTTGGCAAAAGACTGAGCCAGGCCGAAAGCTCAAGGCCCAAAGCCATTTACATGGCCAACCACTCAGACCCAGGCCCTGTGAATTGGCCACATCCGTTTCCGCCTCGGAATCCGGACCGACCAAGTTCCCAGCAGACGGAAGCTGTCGAACGTTGGTGGGTGTGGGTACACTAGTTTTGCCGCCATTTTCCATCGATTAACTTAATTCGATTGGGTCTTGGGTCTATAGAAGGGGTAGGATTAAGGGCCCTTAAAAAGAAATGGCGTTACACTAAACATCTACAAGTGTGAACTTTGATATAAGCTCTTTAGATTTTTCAATTATTCAAAATATATTTTTATTTCTTGGGGGCAATCAATTCTAAAGTGCTCCGCATGGCTAAGAAATTTATTTTTCTTTTTGAAACCAATTATTTAACAACTTTATATAAGAATCATTAACAGGACTAGTTAAAAAATTGTTCTTAATTTAGATTAGCACATCCATTTTAGCTCTGATGTTTCTAAATAAGTGGGCTCCTTTTCCTAATGATACGATAACAGCCAAAATATTATAATGATATTACCTCCCTGAGTCCTAATTTTGTCTCAGTGTGTGGGGAGCAGCGAAAGAGGCTATTGATTCGCTTAATCTTAGGCTAATTTATAGGGGCGCCAACTCACCAAATGAGCGTCCGGGCTTCGACAGTTCCACATCCGTCGGCAGACTGTTGGCCTTGGCGGCGAAGGGCTGCTCCTGCTGGAGCTTTTCCTGCTTAACCGCCACACTGGCTGCCTCCAAAACCGCCGGTGGTGGGGGCGACGGCTCCGGCACTCCCAGATCATTCGGCACGAACTTGTACTTCCCACGGAATCCCTTGGCCGTGCGATTGGAACTGGCATTGAACTCGAGCAGCAGATCTGGACCACTGCTAACCAAACGGCGAGTGGGTCGACTGGAGCAGAGCACATCGATGACCGAGCTCATGTGAGCTGCCTCGGCGTCGAACAGAGTAAGTGCATCCAACTGGCATCCACCGCTGGCCACCGGCGGCAGTTGCAGCTCCTCAAACAGAATTTCCACATGGGTGTCCGGGCGACCGATGAACTTGTAGGCGCACTTGATGTGCGCCGGATAGTGGGCGGGAAACTGGGGGGAGTGGAAGTAGCCCTGACCCAGATTGCCCTCCTCGCCGGACAAACTGGCGAAGAAGTAGAAGTCGCAGAAGCTATGCGGCACCAGGCGACCATCCGTCCGGAAGTTTTCTAAGGTACATAAGTTTAGAAAATTAATTGGAAATTTATTTAATTTGCCAAATATTATACCAACAAGAAAGGAAGCTACCTTCGGCCAGCCGAAGCTTATATACCCTTGTAGATAAAAGAATGCTCACTCGGTGCAGTTCCAGGGATTCCAGATTCAGCGTTTCTATTTATTTAAATTTTGTTTTTAAGTAGTCAAGAATCAAAGCGCCTACTTCCTACAAAGTTACAATGAATTTTCTTATATTTGTTTGAATATTCCTATGGGAGCCTTAAGGTATAGTGGTCCGATCCTGCTGAAACTGGGCAGTGATTAGGTGCTGAAACTGGGCAGTGATTAGGTGCTGAAAGTAGGCAGTGATTAGCTGCTGAAACTAAGCAGTGATTAGGTGCTGAAACTAAGCAGTGATTAGGTGCTGAAAGTAGGCAGTGATTAGGTGCTGAAACTAAGCAGTGATTAGGTGCTGAAACTAAGCAGTGATTAGGTGCTGAAACTAAGCAGTGATTAGGTGCTGAAACTAAGCAGTGATTAGGTGCTGAAACTAAGCAGTGATTAGGTGCTGAAACTGGGCAGTGATTAGGTGCTGAAAGTAGGCAGTGATTAGGTGCTGAAACTAAGCAGTGATTAGGTGCTGAAAGTAGGCAGTGATTAGGTGCTGAAACTAAGCAGTGATTAGGTGCTGAAACTAAGCAGTGATTAGGTGCTGAAACTAAGCAGTGATTAGGTGCTGAAACTAAGCAGTGATTAGGTGCTGAAAGCAGTGATTAGGTACTGAAAGCAGTGATTAGGTGCTGAAAGTAGGCAGTGATTAGGTGCTGAAAGTAGGCAGTGATGAGGTGCTGAAAGAAGGCAGTGATTAGGTGCTGAAAGTAGGCGGTGATTAGGTGCTGAAACTAAGCAGTGATTATGTGCTGAAACTAAGCAGTGATTAGGTGCTGAAACTAAGCAGTGATTAGGTGCTGAAAGTAGGCAGTGATTTGGTGCTGAAACTAAGCAGTGATTATGTGCTGAAACTAAGCAGTGATTAGGTGCTGAAAGTAGGCAGTGATTAGGTGCTGAAACTAAGCAGTGATTAGGTGCTGAAACTAAGCAGTGATTAGGTGCTGAAACTGGGCAGTGATTAGGTGCTGAAAGTAGGCAGTGATTAGGTGCTGAAACTAAGCAGTGATTAGGTGCTGAAAGTAGGCAGTGATTAGGTGCTGAAACTAAGCAGTGATTATGTGCTGAAACTAAGCAGTGATAAGGTGCTGAAAGCAGTGATTAGGTACTGAAAGCAGTGATTAGGTGCTGAAAGTAGGCAGTGATTAGGTGCTGAAAGTAGGCAGTGATGAGGTGCTGAAAGTAGGCAGTGATTAGGTGCTGAAACTGAGCAGTGATTAGGTGCTGAAAGTAGGCAGTGATTAGGTGCTGAAACTGAGCAGTGATTAGGTGCTGAAAGTAGGCAGTGATTAGGTGCTGAAACTAAGCAGTGATTAGGTGCTGAAACTGGGCAGTGATTAGGTGCTGAAAGTAGGCAGTGATTAGGTGCTGAAACTGAGCAGTGATTAGGTGCTGAAACTGAGCAGTGATTAGGTGCTGAAACTGAGCAGTGATTAGGTGCTGAAACTGAGCAGTGATTGGGTGCTGAAAGTAGGCAGTGATTAGGTGCTGAAAGTAGGCAGTGATTAGGTGCTGAAACTAAGCAGTGATTAGGTGCTGAAACTAAGCAGTGATTAGGTGCTGAAACTAAGCAGTGATTAGGTGCTGAAACTAAGCAGTGATTAGGTGCTGAAAGCAGTGATTAGGTACTGAAAGCAGTGATTAGGTGCTGAAAGTAGGCAGTGATGAGGTGCTGAAAGTAGGCAGTGATTAGGTGCTGAAACTGAGCAGTGATTAGGTGCTGAAAGTAGGCAGTGATTAGGTGCTGAAACTGAGCAGTGATTAGGTGCTGAAAGTAGGCAGTGATTAGGTGCTGAAACTAAGCAGTGATTAGGTGCTGAAACTGGGCAGTGATTGGGTGCTGAAAGTAGGCAGTGATTAGGTGCTGAAAGTAGGCAGTGATTAGGTGCTGAAACTAAGCAGTGATTAGGTGCTGAAAGTAGGCAGTGATTAGGTGCTGAAACTAAGCAGTGATTATGTGCTGAAACTAAGCAGTGATTAGGTGCTGAAACTAAGCAGTGATTAGGTGCTGAAAGCAGTGATTAGGTACTGAAAGCAGTGATTAGGTGCTGAAAGTAGGCAGTGATTAGGTGCTGAAAGTAGGCAGTGATGAGGTGCTGAAAGTAGGCAGTGATTAGGTGCTGAAAGTAGGCGGTGATTAGGTGCTGAAACTAAGCAGTGATTAGGTGCTGAAACTGAGCAGTGATACGGTGCTGAAACTGAGCAGTGATTAGGTGCTGAAACTAAGCAGTGATTAGGTGCTGAAACTGGGCAGTGATTAGGTGCTGAAAGTAGGCAGTGATTAGGTGCTGAAACTGAGCAGTGATTAGGTGCTGAAACTGAGCAGTGATTAGGTGCTGAAACTGAGCAGTGATTAGGTGCTGAAACTGAGCAGTGATTAGGTGCTGAAAGTAGGCAGTGATTAGGTGCTGAAACTGAGCAGTGATTAGGCGCTGAAACTGAGCAGTGATTAGGCGCTGAAACTGGGCAGTGATTAGGTGCTGAAACTGAGCAGTGATTAGGTGCTGAAACTAAGCAGTGATTAGGTGCTGAAACTGGGCAGTGATTGGGTGCTGAAAGTAGGCAGTGATTAGGTGCTGAAAGTATGCAGTGATTAGGTGCTGAAACTGAGCAGTGATTAGGTGCTGAAAGTAGGCTGTGATTAGGTGCTGAAACTGAGCAGTGATTGGGTGCTGAAAGTAGGCAGTGATTAGGTGCTGAAAGTAGGCAGTGATTAGGTGCTGAAAGTAGGCAGTGATTAGGTGCTGAAACTGAGCAGTGATTAGGTGCTGAAACTGAGCAGTGATTAGGTGCTGAAAGTAGGCAGTGATTAGGTGCTGAAACTGAGCAGTGATTAGGTGCTGAAACTGAGCAGTGATTAGGTGCTGAAAGTAGGCAGTGATTTGGTGCTGAAAGTAGGCAGTGATTAGGTGCTGAAACTGAGCAGTGATTAGGTGCTGAAAGTAGGCAGTGATTAGGTGCTGAAAGTAGGCAGTGATTAGGTGCTGAAACTGAGCAGTGATTAGGTGCTGAAAGTAGGCAGTGATTAGGTGCTGAAAGTAGGCAGTGATTAGGTGCTGAAACTGAGCAGTGATTGGGTGCTGAAAGTAGGCAGTGATTAGGTGCTGAAAGTAGGCAGTGATTAGGTGCTGAAACTGAGCAGTGATTAGGCGCTGAAACTGAGCAGTGATTAGGCGCTGAAACTGGGCAGTGATTAGGTGCTGAAACTGAGCAGTGATTAGGTGCTGAAAGTAGGCAGTGATTAGGTGCTGAAACTGAGCAGTGATTAGGTGCTGAAAGTAGGCAGTGATTAGGTGCTGAAACTGAGCAGTGATTAGGTGCTGAAACTGGGCAGTGATTAGGTGCTGAAAGTAGGCAGTGATTATGTGCTGAAAGTAGGCAGTGATTAGGTGCTGAATGTAGGCAGTGATTAGGTGCTGAAAGTATGCAGTGATTAGGTGCTGAAAGTAGGCAGTAAGTAGGTGATGAAACTGTGCTGTGATTAGGTGGTGAAACTGGGTGCTGAAAAATAAATATAAAACAAGAAAGGAAGCTACCTACGGCCAGACGAAGCTTATATTCCCTTGTATGTAAAAGAATGCTCACTCGGTGCAGTTCCGGGGATTCCAGATTCAGCGTTTCTATTTATTTCAATTTTGTTTTTAAGTAGTCAAGAATCAAAACGCCTACTTCCTACAAAGTTACAATGAATTTTTTTATATTTGTTTGAATATTCCTATGGGAGCCTTAAGATATAGTGGTCCGATCCGGCTCTCTCCGACATATGTACTACCTGCAATAGAAAGAAGACTTTCGGGAAAGTTTCATCGCGATAGCTTTAAAACTGAGAGACTAGTTCGCATAGAAACGGACAGACGGACAGACAGACAGACGGACAGACGGACATGGCTAGATAGACTCGGCTATTGGTGCTGATCAAGAATATATATACTTTATGTGGTCGGAAACGTCTCCTTCACTGCGTTGCAAAATCTGTTTGAAATTATAATACCCTCTACAAGGGTATAAAAATAACCAAAAATCAAATAAAAATTTTTAAATTTTTCTATAAAAAAATTAATTTTGTAAAACGATTTCCCACGGAAATAGTGTCCTTATTTTAATCGTTTTTTCTATCCTCGTTTTAATTATAATCGTAAAAAATATATTAAAAGCAGCTATAATTTTTAATATTAAAAATCATAAAAAAAATATTTAAATGAAATTCTAAAATTCTGGTGTAGTGTCATAATCAGGGAACGTAACTGTTATAAGTTTTATTTTAAAAATCACACTTTAACAGTTATTTTCTGATTTGTAAAGTAAAACTCAAAGAATAACTGTTATTTTTTGAGTTTTATGATAAAAGTTGACAAATAACAGTTATTCGTCGTGATCAAATATAAAACTCAAACTTGATTTATGGCGATTTTGTGGGTAAACAAAATTTTAAAAAAATATAGGTATAAAATATGCGCGGTTGCCTTTTTTAACAAATTTTTAGTAAGTTATAAAAAGCACGGGTATCATGTTTTTTTTAATTATTTCATTTTTTCAAAAATGTCAAAGGAATAACTGTTATTCATAAAAATCAAAAAATAACAGTTATTTTTTGAGTTTTATTATAAAAATCAAAAAATAAAAATCATTACGGTTTTGTAAACTCCAATGGCTAATAAAAATTGTGGTGTATTTAAAAAAATTTTAGGACCCTTCTAAGTGCGTGATTTTTTTGTATGAAAAATTTACAATAACAGTTATTTTCGTTCCCTGGTCATAATATAATTGTGTCATTAAAGTGAACTCACCTCGCTTCAGAAATCGATAGCTGGCGGTGAGGGTCAAGTTCCAGCGGGCCAAGTCCGTGGGCGGCTGCTGGAACCGGAGGCGCAGCCCCAGCAATCGACCCGCGCTATAAATAGGCGTGGCACTGCGATTCCGGCTGTGCTGGCAAAAGGTGTCCGCCGCCAGTGTCGCGTTCTCGATGACGGGCTCCCGCAAATAGGGAAAGACGTCCATGCTGTCCAAGCAGCTGTCACGAAATTGCATTTGAAGAGGTAAGGCAGGGAAATGAACGGAAAAGCCCCAGCAGAGAGAGGAATTTCGCTGGCCGCTTGCATTGGCCAGAGCAGATGCGTAATGATGTCTAAAATTTATTGGCCGATACTTTTGGGGCTGGCTCGTTGGTCAGCCAGCCTCCCTATAAATATAATTTGCAACCAGCAAATGGCCATTAAGAAATAATTCCCAACGCTCTGCTGGTTCTTCACGATTTATTTTGATAAAAAGTCGAACAAAAGTTGGCGTTAAGGCTAATACGATTGTCACATCGGCACAGCTGCTTCGGGACTTCAAGTAATTTTGACCAGAACAGGAAATGAGAGCTTATCCAGTTAAAATATTAAATAATTATCAATTAATAAAAGATATGGTGGAAAGTGGACTTTGAACAATATCCTAATGATTCAATTTATTTAATCAGGAGATTGGGGTCTGTAGAAAAGATATATCTTTAAGAAACTAAAAAGCATTTAAATGCTTTGAGAATTTAATTGAATTGATTAGAATAAATAAAAATGAATAAAATCTAAAATTCTATAAAAAATAAATTGTCTGTAAACCAAATAAGCCCTCATTTAAACGTTTATCTGTAAATTTATTATAATCTTTAAGTAGAATTTTTGTATAGATCTCCCATCTAGTTGGCTATTCCCCTTTTCGCTTGCGCATTCCACTGAGCATGCGACAAAAGGCCGGGTAATCAATCATGGGCGGCTCCTCCAAGGACTTGGGCTTGGCCATCGGCGCATGGCTAAGAGCCTCCTTGGCCTCGTTGAGGGTCATTTTGTCGCCATAGTTGGTCAGCTCCTCGTAGATTCTGGGGAGTGTTTAAATGATAGGTTGGTAAGCCACTTGGAATTTCCCAGCACCCACTTGCGTTCATCGATCTTGCCCGTGCCGTGGTCATCCCATTTGCTCCAGGCCTCGAGCAGCACATCCTCGGGATCCAGCTCCTGGGTGCGACGACTCATTAGCCGCACGAAGGCCTCGTAGTCAAGTGGCTCCTTGGCCTCCTGCATCATCTGTTCCAGCAGCTGCTCGTTCGGCTCATTTCCCAGGGCCGTGTAGGTGAAGCGCAGATCCTCCTTCGAGATCAATCCATCGCAGTCCGTATCGAAGAGTGAGAAGACCTTGGGAATAGCGACACGGAGAATGAACCAGTCTGCCATTCAACGCACTCGAAAACTTACTTCCTTCAGCTCCGCCAGCTTGGCAATGTCCAGTTCATGGGGCGCCACATTATCCTCGGCACTCATCTCCTCGGGCAGCGTGTAGTGGCCACTGGACTCGGGTATTTTCAGCGTGGGATTGAATATCTCGTTGATCACGGCCATGGCCTCCGAATCCGCCAGGTGGGCGGGCACCTGAGGAGTTTGTGACTGCTTTCGGGCGGAACTGGCGCGACGTCGACGCTGTATTGGAAATTTTATTACTGTCATTTATGGACAGTTTTTCACTTGGTTCACTCACTCGCTCCAGATCCTCTAAGGAAACCGTTGGATCCATCGACATTTTGAACGCTTTGTTACACTACACACTGTTTGGATTTTTCACAAATTAATTTTGAAGTCGGCTTAAAAACTAAACTCAGAGAAAATAACAAATTCATATCACTTTAGATATTTACTTAAATTTTTCGTATCTGGCATTCTGATTAAATTCGCCAGATAATAAGATCCTTTAGTAATTTAGAATATAACATATTTCAGTGAAAATTTTCACAATATTTAATTACACATTTTTAAAAAATGTTCATTAAATAAAATAATAAGAAATTTAGTGAATTTTTTCAAATAAATTATTTAATATCCTCTAATTAGCTCTTTAAATATAAAGTGTGTACGAAAATGTACACCTTTTAGTGATATTTTCTCTGAGTTTAAAACTCTTTTCGTAAGCTTTTTAAGCCACTTTTAGAACTCGATTTACCGGCGTTAAAACTATGGTTCCTAACGAATTTAGAGCACAAACACTTCCAACCACCGACTAGGACACTCGACGCGCGATTTGCCAGCCTACTGACTTTCCGACTGATGCACCTCAAATATTACTCATACGTTCGACGGAGCACTCGGTCCAAGTTCCACTGAAATGTGCTTGGCTAGTGCTCTCCAATTTTATTGACAAATCGATTCCGAAATATTGTGTGCGTTATTTTTATGGCGCAAATGTGGATGCATACAATTTTGCATAAATTGACACAAATTTGCGAGATTTTTATATAAATAACCAGGCGTGCCGGCGGCCACGGCTCCTCCACCAAACCCGAAACGGACCGCCCACATGGCCTTCGCAAGGTATTTTAATTACATTGCCGTTGCGGTGGGGATTTGGTTTTGGCTTCTGCTTCTGCTTCTGCCCCATTCCATTCTACATTTGGCCACGGGCACTTCCTCGATGGACGCCAGCCTTATCCATCGACGGATTCGATTTTGATGGCTGTCGCTGGCAGCTGTCCGCCGATTTGAGATCCAATCGGCTACTATTCCCCACTGAATCGATCCCGGATTTGGCCGGAAGCATTGCCACTCACCCGGGGCGCAGCTGCAACTGCTCGAGCTGAAAGGCCACCAGCTCGTCGTCCATTCCGCCGATGAAGATCATCAGGCAGTTGTTCTTGGCGCCCAGCGCCTGGCTGGCATTAATCGCTAACCTGCCCCATTGGGTGGCATTCCGCTCGGTCAGGTGGAGGCAGAAGCAATCTGTTGAGGAAGACAATCAAAAGGTCGGTGGAGCATCTACTTGGTGTGTTGAAAAAATCATTTTTGATCGATAAAAAGGTTTAAATATAATAACTATAAAAAATAATATATAATATTACTAGTGAAATGATTTCATTTAATATTGTTTTTTATAAAAAATTCTACAACTAAATTAAGGCAAAGTAAATTAATACAAATTATAAAAAAAAAATCGCACAAGTTTACACATTTTTAATATTATTCTTTAAGTTTATGTAGGTATTTTTATACCCTTGTAGAGGGTATTATAATTTCAGTCAGATGTTTGCAACGCAGTGAAGGAGACGTTTCCGACCACATAAAGTATATATATTCTTGATCAGCATCAATAGCCGAGTCTATCTAGCCATGTCCGTCTGTCCGTCTGTCCGTCTGTCCGTTTCTATGCGAACTAGTCTCTCAGTTTTAAAGCTATCGCGATGAAACTTTCCCGAAAGTCTTCTTTTGCAGGTAGTACATATGTCGGAGCGAGCCGGATCGGACCACTATATCTTAAGGCTCCTATAGGAAAATTCGAACAAATATAAGAAAATTCATTGTAACTTTGTAGGAAGTAGGCGTTTTGATTCTTGGCTACTTAAAAACAAAATTGGAATTCCTGGAACTGCACCAAGTAAGCATTACTTTATCTACAAGGGTATATAAGCTTCGGCTGGCCGAAGGTAGCTTCCTTTCTTGTTATAATTTAATGCTTTTGAAAAATAGCTAAAACTTGTTATTTTCAACCCACCAAGCCAGAGATGCGACTGCTTGCTGTTGGCCACTTGCTGCTGCTGCTGTTGCTGTTGACCATTTCCGGTGGCCATTAGAGCCACGGCTAAGCTCAATCCCAATCGCAGGGCCAAAGTTGCGGCCGCCATTGTCAGCGGCCAAAGTGAGACTGTGAAGCCGGATTCCATTATCCTGCCGTCTAGCTGCGGGCTGCCGATGTCCGGTATAAAAATAGCCCGCTCCTCTCGTCAAACTGTGCTCCTCTGCCCTTCTGTGCTGTCGGGCTATTAAATTTGAGTTGAGGTTCAGGTTTTACAGGTGCCGCCATCAGCATCCGCTAGTTTGATGCCCCACCTCGTGGCCACCTCCCCCTTGGATTTGACCACCAAACACACGTTAATACTGTACCATTTGCCTGAAGCCATTCGGAACAGCATCCTTTGTTTTTGGGTGGCGGTATTTTTAAAATGTGTGTCATGTCGTCTTTTTGTGAGCGACTGGGCGCCAGTTAACAGCTCATTTCTGCCCCCTTTGAACCAGTCAATTCATCTAGATTGTCACACTTCGGAGACTGAAACTCAATTAAGTTAACTGCCAATTCAGATGAAAATTACATTGGAAATATCGTTTCGGCCCGGCCGAAGTATACTTATTAGTTTAAAATTTGAAAGAGGGAGAAAGGCACAAAAAAATATGTTCTGCTGGTCTAAAAAATCTAAAATAATAAGTGTCTCCTAAAAATCAATTGGCCACCTTTAACTGGCTTTTTATAAAGCACACTTTTAAAGAAGAAATAGTTTAAACGGGTTTAATTATAAGTTTATTTAATTATCTTTAATCCTGACTAGTTTCGGGTTTTTGTTGATTTTATTATATTTTATCTTTTGCGCTTTTCATTTTATAGGCTTTACTTTCGATATTTATATTTAATAAACAACGAGAGCTGATTCAAGAAACAACACATTTATTTAATACAACACTTAGACAACTGATACTTTATGTTTATAATATTCTACTGGTATAACACTGCTCTAAAAAATCCTATGACCCTGCAGATTGGTTCATCTTGGCCTTGAACATATCGGCCAGCAAATTGGCCTTGCTGACATTCAACTCCTCGTAGTCGAACGGTGCCATGTGATCCTTGCAGCGATCGAGCCACTGTCGGATATGTTTATAGGGTCGCAGTTCGAATTCGAAGGCCTCCAGCTGGGAAACGGTCACCAGAAGCGTAAGATCGGCGATGGTAAAGTGCTCGGCGGCGGCAAATTGTCTGCCCTCCATGATCGAGTTGAACCAGCCCACAGCTTCCGCCAGTTTGGCGCGCTTTCCCTCGTCCAAGGGAGCTCCAATAAACATTGTGGGGAACTAGAAATGTATTGGCAAATGTAGAATACTTTAAAAATATTTGTTTAAATTATATAAATGTAATTATAATATTTAGTATAACTTCTATAAGTCAAAACTCTACTATATCTGAAAATCTTAATTTAACATAAAATGTATATTTCTTACAACAAAGATAAGATCAAATTTTATTGAAAATATTTCTGAAACAGATAGAATCATTTCAAATTAAAAAAGATTCAATATAAAGGTGATTTTTGTTTAAATAGTGTGATATAATAAATTCCAAAAATGTATTGTCTAATTATAAATAACTTATCATTAAAAAAAAGGAAATTGTTTCTTAAAAAATTTTTAACTATATTCTCATATAAAATCAAAATATCTTAGTTAAAGACCGTTTTTTTTCGCTACACTTACATAGTAGTCCGTAAGTCGCATATAGAGGGTGCCCAGATCGAAGTGGAGTCGCTGGTCCACCAAGGCCCTCACCCTAATGTCCGTGGGATATAGTTCGTCGCTCTTTCCGTAGGCTGCCACAAGGTACGATAGAATGGCTCGACTGCAAGGTAAGAATATTAGATTTGGGTCAAGAAGGGCTGACCTGGCTGACGGACTCACCTCTCCCACAGCACCAGACCCTCGTCGTTCATGGTCGGCACACAGTGCTGGGGGTTCATGGCCACAAAGTCCGGCTTCAGCTGCTCCCCCTCCAGGATGTTGACGATCCTCAGCTCGAAGTCAAGGTCGAGCATCTTGGCCAGCAGCAGAATGCTGCGGCAGGGCGGACTGGGCGGCAGGTAGTACAGCACGGGCGGCGACATCTTGCCACCTCTGAGGAGCAGGCAGTAAACGAATTCGGTTACAATACGCTTCGTGTCGCCCATTGGCCAGAACTTGAATGCCAAGTTGGCCAACACCAGACGGCCACTTTGGCACACGCAGCCCCAAAAAACTTGGTGGTCAACGCAAAATAATCAATGCATCGATTTTATTCGTCTACATTTGGTTAATTAATGCCAATTGTTCTTTGCGTGGTTCCTGAGACTTTGCAAAACGAGGGTCAACGAAGTTTGTAAAGGCTTTCAGAATACGGTTCTTTTACGTTTAGAAAAAAACATTTTTTTAAATCAGATTTGTTAAATACTTTTTAATAAAACCTAAAAAGTTTTTATATTTTTCTAACAATAAAAGAAATAATAACTTTATAAATATTTTAATGTTTGGTATTAAAAGATTTTTTCCATTTCGAAAGTGAAGCTAATTAAAAAACATAAAAGTATATATATTATTCCAGCATAACTGAACTAAAATCTTTAGAAATAATGTAATATTTGGTAACGAAAACTATCTTCTTGACTTTTCCAATTCAAAAATGTTGTTCTTATTGGAAAATTTCATTTCCTAAATGCCGAAAAGTATGTATTGTTTTTTTTTTTTTACAAAATGCATGTAAAATTCCAAAGATTGTGTAAAATTTAAATCTTTTAAAATGCAATAAAAAAATTATAATAACTTTTGAAGATAATACGAGTTATTAATAAATCTTTTGTAAATCACAGAGGTAATGCGAGACTTCGACACTCATACCCTGGAGAATTCCTATCTAGAAATGGTAATCGCTGTGCTGTGGCCCGCACTTAATTGCACTCACTTATTTATTCATTATGGAATATGCACAGAAGGCGTTGGACCTTACTTGACCGCAAACCGTAACCAAAGCCGAACCGAACCGTTGGACTACTCCTTCTACTCACACTATTCTGTGCACCAGCTTGTGCTGCACCACGGCCACCGAGTCGATGTCTATGCAGTTCCCCAGTATGCCGTCGAGTGTCGCCGAGTCCGAGTGTCAGTCGAGGACTAACAAGGACTCCCGTGGCAGGACTAACACAGATGCTGGGCCTGCTGCTCGGAGCTGACGGAAATGCGTGGGATCCTATCCGGCGGTGGAATCTGCCTCGGCTGTCCCAACTTGCCGACGACGTCGCTGTCCACGGATGTATCCGCTGTCTGACTTTTCCAATTTTCAGAGCATGTTGTCTCGCCAGCTCTGTGTTGTCGCTGTCTTTTGGGGGCATTTGTTTTCGTTTAGTTTTCATAACGAACGTTGCCAGGGACGACAGACCGCCCGAGTGTTCACCTGTTCGTCCAAGAGGAGGAGGTGGAGGTGGTCCCGAAAACTCGGCCAAAAAGGCTCCCATTCGTGTCTAAAATTATACGTCTACATAATAACCCTAGCTATGCTTTCCCTTACCTATTTATTGATTGCCAACAGATTTTCCAATTCAGAGCGCCTGATAAAGTAGTTGGTGGGGGGCTTTGTTGATTGGCATCACTTGAAACTCGACGTGTTAGCATCAAACATTTTTCGACAGTCACGACTTCATCGCGTGCTTGACATTTCTTAGAGCCTTCTTACTCAAGGACATGGTCGGTACAGTGGTAATTAGCCAGGACATAAATGTTCCAGTTGACGAGGTCCCACGGCGGCGGCATCTTCTACCTGTATCGGTAATTTCCCCGGCAGGTAAGGTCGGTAAAAATGCTTTGTGTGAAGGATTAGGGAAAAAAGGACCTTCGGGATTCCAAGGAAATGTCACCTTAATTGCAAAAGAAGGTAGCAAAATGGCTGATCTAAGCGAGGCTATAAAAGAAACGATCGTGTCTTGGCCAGGATCAGTTTTTATTTCAAATTCAAGCAAAGATGATGTTCCTGAAAGAGTGCAGATCCTTTTTGCTGCTAGTCCTGGTGCTCACGATTCGGGGATCGCTTTGCGTGCCAGCCCTGGATGCAGCACCTCCGGCGGCCACTCCCAAACACCGTCGACGAGTCAGATAACCTGGTCGAGGGAAGTGGCGAGACGGTTACTGCCCCCCAGAATGCAGTGCCCACAAAAAACAATGAAACAGTGCCCGCATCTACAGAGAATTCGGAGGCACCAGTGGTGAGTAACACACAATATTCATTCATTAATCCAAGAAAATGTAATCTTCAAAAAAAAGTATCTTTAACAATAAAATATAATTCATTTAGTTAAGTGGAAATAGATAATTTGAAATCCCAATTCTTATATATTTTATGATCTAGGATATAGTAAATATTTGTTATAAGAAAACAATTTACAATTTTTAAATAACCAAAATATTAATTTTCATTTCCACAGCCTGACAATGTGGCCAGCGGAAGCAGCATTGATCCCAGCACCATTTACTCAATTACTCCCGAGGCCTTCCAGCAGTATGTGAACCAGTACGGGGCCTATGCTCCCTACTCGTATCCCACTCCCGCTGGAGGAGCAGCACCTGGCATTTATCCATATCCCGGTCCCATTGTCGTGCAGACGGGCTACGAGGGCTTCCTGATGCCGGCAAATGCCGTTGGTCAGTCGGACAGCACCACTGTGGTGGCAGCTACTCCCCAGTCGACCTCCTCGAACCCACTGGTGGCCTTCATCTCCAACCTGCTTCCCACCATCCTGATGTCCACACTCTTTCGCATCGCTGCCGTTGTCCTGTCCGCCGTGGGAATCATCCTCTTTGGCGGCGCCATCACAAGTGCCCTGTGCAGGATCACACCGATCTGCGATATACCCGCCCGAGCTGTGAATATCCTGCGCACCGGCGGAGCCCAGGATGTGGGTCGCATGCTGGCCGAGGAGATGACCCCGGAGCGGGTGCGTCGGGCAACGGAATTCGTGCGCAACGCCATCCGGAAGTACAAACAGCTGCAGAAGATAGTGGATGCCTCGGAGGTGGTGACCGAGTTGACCAACGGATATTAGTTTTAGTGCTGGCTCGTAAATTAGGTGGAATGCTAAATATATTTTTTAATGACGCTATAAAAACGATTTTTCTTTTTACTGTCACAGGGGGTTCTGCGAAAGTTCTAAATAGGGAATTCACATGGAAACAAAGGGTAATTGCTCCTATATTTCAAGAAACATATTTTAAAAAATTATTATTTTTAATAGCCAATGCATCATTAAATAATATGAGCTTTTAATAATATTTTTTAATAGTTTGAGAACTTCTCTGCCAACCCTCTTTCGGTTTCTATAGCCCACACTGTGCAATGTAAAATATGTGGGCAATTGCATATGTAATTTGTACCCGTTCAATGCCACAAGAAGCACGTTTGTGAGCTAACTAAACTCGCGATTGTTCTAACAGTCGACCGGTCAACGGCCCAGTCCACTCGTAATTCTCTGGGGGGAAAAGGGGCCCAAGTGGATTTATATGTGAGTACTATAAGTGAAATCATAGCGTGCATTCAACTGCAGTGGTGGAATTGCAATCGGCAATTGTCGTGAAGCGTTCGCGGAATTTACTGAGCTAACATCAACACAATCTCACTTTTATGAACCATGTCAGAGACTGGAATTTTAAACAAATATGGAGGCTGATTAATGTGATCCATACATCATTGTACAGCTTGGCAATACAAAGTGATCGCTTTTATTTCTCAAATTGACTGTTTGCTCATTTTTTAACAGTTAACAAAGATGCAGTAAAGACCAAAATAAAAATAAGTTGAAAATATTTTCGAAAAGAAAAAACAAATTTAAAAGCTTTTTTTAAATGCCAAAACTTGATAACTATGACGGATTTTTCGCCCTTCTTTAGTACTAAATTTAGAATTATCAAGTTTTGAAGTAAGAAGGCACGAAATAAATATAAACATGGGCTGATAACTGAATGAACACAACCATAAATGGCAATTTTGTACTTATCTTGAAAAGTATATATCTCGGTGCTTATAAAAATGTATTTTATTTGTGTTCATACAATATAACCGTACAAGGCAACAATGTGCTGAGGTATAATATTATCCATTACAAGTTTTTAATTAAATCACTCCTTCTAGCAGTTGTCCTGGACGAACTTCTTGATCATCTGGACACCCTCCCAGTTCTCTTCCCAGCCGGGAGTCACTTCCTTGGCATTCTCGTACCACCTGGCCACATTCGGATATTGGGCAATGTCGTAGTCCACCACCTCGAAGGTCGAAACGGAGGCCAGAAGGGCGATGTCAGCCACGGTGAGGCAATCGCCAGCCACATAGTCCTGGTCCTCCAGGAAAGTATCCAGGTGCCCGAAGGCGCTGTCCACCTTCTGCATGGCCTCCGGATCCGCTGGCTGCTTTTTCATGATCTGAGGATAGATGGCCGTGATGAAACTCTGGAACAGGGTGCCCATATCGAAGTAGAGCCGCTGATTGACCACGGCCTTCTTCTCGGGATCACTTGGGTATAGTGAGTCATCCTGGCCGTACTTCTCCACCAGATAGACCAAAATAGCACGAGACTCCCAGATGGAAAACCCGTTGTCCACCAGGGTGGGGATGGTGTGCTGGGGATTGAGCTCCACGAACTCCGGCTTCAGTTGCTCGCCCTCCATGACCTTCAATAGCTTCATATTCAGCTCAAGTCCAAGAGCCTTGGCAGTCATTATGACGGAGCGGCAAGGAGCCGAGCCAGGATGGTAGTAAAAGTCCATGATGAAAAGTCCTGCGATTGTTACCCACAACTGACCGCAGCGGAATAATTCCAACGGCTTTTATAGTCAGAGCAAACGGCGCCCGAAATCAAATCGATTTCCATATATAGTCAGCCAGTGTCGTGCGACTTTCCCGAGTGGCAGCTTTATCGGTGATAACGATTCAGTGTAATTAGAACTGTTTGGCTAATGGCCAGGTAATGAACACATATATACTTTTAGGCGTACACGCTTGCAAAAGTTACGGCCACCAATTTGAATTTACTTAAAAATGTCATTTCTTTTGAATGTACTAATTACGAATTGATGGTAGGTCGTTAAGGCAAATGGAATGTCATGAGAACGAAAGGTCAATGCTACAGCGGTCAAACAGATTAATGATCTAGGATACAAAAATATTACAAAATAGAGGATTTATTAATTAAGATAAGATTAATCTGTGTGCGTAACTTTTAGGAATAAAACTGTTTGTCGATATGACTTGGCATTCTCATACGGTGGATTCCCTGTCCCTGAACAGAAGGTATTGATTCATTCTTATCAATAATTATATTGCTTTGATTTGGGGTTAAATAAAATTATCAAAAGCCCTCCGCAACTAATTCTTGACGATAAGAAATATCTAGCACCCAGAAAAAATAGAATTTCCAAGTTCCAAGTCACCATGTGGAAGCCAGTCCTTATGTCAGCGTGATATAGCGACAAATAAAACACATAACTTTATTGCATTGATCTCAATTGCACGGCTGCTCGGAGAACCGGGCATGTTGTAGAAATCCATGGTGGACATTGCGTATAGGAATCGTCTAGTGCACTGGAGTGGAAAAAGTTAACTAATTTGGCTCTGGCTGCCGCCTCTTCTTATATAGCTGCCAAATTATCAGCAATTGCGTTGACAATATTCAAATAACGTCTGTCATTCTTAAATCTCAGTTTTTTTGCATTTCGTTGGGGCAAACAAAAAATAGCTGTGTCGAAATGAGCTAGAATGTATGGCAATTGAAAGAATGTATTTTGTCGCTGACAGTTAATAATATTAATCAAATAAAATAAATAATAATTTCTTATTTCCCAGGGAGATCGATAGCGGATACTAAAAACAACAGTAAACGGTATAGTCGAGGTAAATGAATATGATTTACAATCTCAAAAAGCCTGTTTCTAAATAATGGTAGGGCTTACACACAAGGCGTCCACATCCTTAAAGATTTCCGAGAAGTATAAATGCAAATTTGATGTGTTTATTAATACCTAATTGACCTTAATTTATGAATATTAATTGTGTTCTCTTGGATAGTGTCTTCTAACCTATAGCAATTATAGTTAGTCACAGTTAATGGTAAAAAACAGCTTTGATTAAATATCGCGATTAGAATAGTGCTTAGTGATTGAATAATAAAAAGAGCACTCACTGCCCTTATCAAATGCTTAAGATTTATATTTGTTTCTGGGAGCCATGCTGTTTTCAATTTGTCGGGAGTGAAAAAGAGCAATCTTAGCACTTTATTGACAACTATTTATTAATTTCTTTCACACCTCTTACTTAGTATCGATAATGTTTTCACCTCCCATGCCACCGAGTAAACATCAGAAATTTAATAGATAATTACATTTATTTTATTAATATTTTATAATATTATAGTTAGTTTACTTCTTTTCAGCGATCTTGTCCTCCAGGAACTTCTTCGCCTGCTTCAGGGTCTCCAGGTTCTCCTCCCATCCAGGAGTGACCTTTGCGGCACTCTTGTACCACCTATCCACATTCGGGAACTTCTGCAAGTCAAACGTAAACATTGTGACGGTGGAGACGGTGGCCAGGAGGACGATGTCAGCCACGGTCAGTTGGCTGCCGGCCACGAAATCCTGGCCTTCCAGGAAGGTGTTGAGGAACCCGAAGGCGGAGTTAACCTTGTCCAGGGCCTCCTGATCACCCAGTTGCCCGGTGCGGAAGAGGGGGAAGAAGTATTTGGCCAGGGCGTCGTAGAGGGTGCCCATGTCAAAGTAGAGCCTCTGGTTGATCAGAGCCCGCTTCTGGGGATCCTTGGGGTACAGTGGCGAATCGGTCTTGCCGTACTTCTCCACCAGGTAGACAGCGATGGCACGGGACTCCCAGATGGCGAATCCATTGTCCACCAGCGTGGGAATGGTGTGCTGGGGGTTGATCTTCACGAACTCCGGCTTCAGCTGGTCTCCCTCCATTGTGTTAATGAACTTGGAGTTCAGTTCAAGGCCCAAGGCCTTGGCAATCATCTGAATGGCACGGCTGGCCGGCGCCATGGGCATGTTGTAGAGATCCATGTTGGGCATTGCGTTTATAGCGTGCGAGCTGCTCGAGTGGAAATAGTAAACTGATTTCCCCTATCAGGGGTCCCCGTTTATATAGCGAAAAATCAAGTGCGTTATCGGCCAAACACAAGATAATATGAATAGTGTTTGTCATTGTTAGAACTCACTTTTTAGGCATTTCGTATAGTTAACAGCAATTAGCTGTGACTAAGTCAGTTGAAAACCAATTTTAAATAATTAATATTTAATGACTCACGGACTTAATAACTGCTTAAATAAAAATTAAGAAATATGCAATCCAAGAAATGTATATAAATTGATTTAATTAACAATGCAAAGTTAATAAAGACTCAATTACAAAAAAATTAAAATACACAATTTGTCATGACATTAGTCTTCAAATAAAATACAAATCTTTGATAACGATTACGCTCTTATCATATTTCCAATTTTTCTAGAAACATCCATTTCATTATTATAATGCCTTGTTGCTGGCTAAATCAACTTATCTGTCCATTCTTAACTGATTTGAATAAACTTCAAATGTTTATTGTACATTTTATCAAATTAAATTATTTATTTTTATCAATGAGAACTTATAATTTGGAAGTACGAAGTGAAAGGTGATAAAAGAATTTAAAACACACAATATTATAATTATCATGAACATTATAAAAACTAGGCTTCGCAATTTACTTTCTTTCTGCCAACTTTTGCTCCGCAAACTTCTGGAGCTGCTTAATACTCTGCAGGTTCTCTTCCCATCCAGGAGTAACCTTCTGGGCATTCTTGTACCATCTATCCAGGTTGGGGAATTTCTTCAAGTCAATCGGAGCCATTTCGATGGTGGACACACTGGCCAGGATGACGATGTCGGCCACTGTTAGTTGACCCCCGGCTAGGTAGTCCTGTCCTTCCAGGAAGGTGTTGAGGAACTCGAAGGCAGCATTAACCTTATCCAGGGCCGCCTGATCTCCCACCTTGCCAGTGCGGAAGATGGGGAAGTAGTAACTGGAAATGGCGTCATACAGAGGTCCTATGTCGAAGAACAGGCGCTGGTTGACCACGGCTCGGGTCTTGGGGTCCTTGGGCAGGAGGGTATCGAACTTTCCGTACTTCTCCACCAAATAGATGACGATGGCGCGGGACTCCCAGATGGCGAATCCATTGTCCACCAGGGTGGGAATGGTGTGCTGCGGATTGATCTTCACGAATTCCGGTTTAAGTTGGTCACCCGCCTGGGTGTTCATGAACTTCGAGTTCAATTCCACTCCCACAGCCTTGGCAGTCATCTGCACTGCACGAGTGCTCGCGGTTCCGGGCATGTTGTAGAGATCCATTCTTGGTCAGACGATTATACGTTCTAGGGCGCGGGATTGAAAAGTGTTTACTGATTGAACCACAAATGTTGTCCCCTTTTATATAGCAAAATTGCAGCAACATTATCTGTCATCCCTTCGATAAAGTTCTATAGCAATGTAATGTCATTTCTCCGATAAAGCACCACCAAAAACATGTCATTGTTTCACTTAGAGAAACTTGTTTAGCTATTGTTAACTATTAACTTTTTATTTAAAAGAATATTAATTTCAGTATTATTATTATTGTATTACGATAATAAAATAAGTACAATATTAATATAATTTATTTTAACATATTTAGAAAACTTTAATTTTTTTCAAATATGAATGTATACAATTTTTTGGAAGTCACACTAACTTAGATTGGTTCTGCGAATTAAAAATGAAAATTGACCAATGTCTTTCTATTCCTTTTGAGCAATTATATGTATTTCTTATTTTATTCTAGTTGATTCTACCGACTTGTATAAGCTCCGTTACTTGCGTTAGCGAGCAATGACATAAATTATTTGTATTTTATCTTGGTAATGACTTACACTATTGGTACTTTATCGTAGCAATGACAGATAATTTAATGGCAATTTTGCTATATAAAAAGGGATCCCAGCTGCTGCTCTATCAGTTAACTTTTTGCAATACCGCGACCTATAACGTACTATCGTCTTACCAAGAATGGATCTCTATAACATGCCCGGAACCGCGAGCACTCGTGCTGTGCAGATGACTGCCAAGGCTGTGGGAGTGGAATTAAACTCGAAGTTCATGAACACCCAGGCGGGTGATCAACTTAAACCGGAGTTCGTGAAGATCAATTCCCAGCACACCATTCCCACTCTGGTGGACAATGGATTTGCCATCTGGGAGTCCCGCGCCATCGTCATCTATTTGGTGGAGAAGTACGGGAAGATCGATACCCTCCTGCCCAAGGATCCCAAGACTCGAGCCGTGGTCAACCAGCGCCTGTTCTTCGATATAGGACCTCTCTATGACGCCATATCCAGTTACTACTTCCCCATCTTCCGCACTGGCAAGGTGGGAGATCAGGCGGCCCTGGATAAGGTTAATGCTGCCTTCGAGTTCCTCAACACCTTCCTGGAAGGACAGGACTACCTAGCCGGGGGTCAACTAACAGTGGCCGACATCGTCATCCTGGCCAGTGTGTCCACCATCGAAATGGCTCCGATTGACTTGAAGAAATTCCCCAATTTGGACAGGTGGTACAAGAATGCCCAGAAGGTTACTCCTGGATGGGAAGAAAACCTGCAGAGTATTAAGCAGCTCCAGAAGTTCGCGGGGCAAAAGTTGGCAGAAAAAAACAAAAATGCATAGTTATTGAACTTTAATTAACGTGAGCTAAAAATGAAATCATGAACAAAATTTTTATTCATGTTTAAATAAAATATAAATGTATTTAAATAAGTTCAATGATGATATGTTAAAATAAAATGTTTTATTAATTTAAAAGATTTATAACTTTTCTATCAAGTTTTCGGCCAAGAACTTTTTAGCATTTTGAATTCTTTCTAAGTTTTCGTCCCAGCCGGGTGTTACTTTTTGGGCATTCTTGTACCATCTGTTCACGTTTGGGAATTGCGCCAAATCAAAGTCAACCATTTCGGTTGTTGAAACGGTTGCCAAAATAACGATGTCAGCGACGGACAACTGACTTCCGGCTACGTAATCCTGGCCCTCCAGGAAGGTGTTAAGAAGATTAAAGGCAGCAATGAGTTTTTCATAACTCTCCTGAGTTCCCGGCTTCCCAGTGCGGAGCAGTGGAAAGAAGTACTTGGCGATGCCCTCGTACAGGGTGCCCATATCAAAGTACAATAGCTGGTTGATCCGAGCCTGCCTCTGGGGATCCTTGGGGTATAGAGAATCGTTCTTCCCGTACTGCTCCACCAGGTAAACCACAATTGCTCGGGTCTCCCAGATGACGAATCCATTGTCCACCAGAGTGGGAATGGTGTGCTGGGGGTTTATCTTCACAAACTCCGGCTTCAGTTGCTCCCCCACGAAGGTATTGACTTGTATCGAGTTGAGTTCGACTCCCACAGCTTTGGCGGTCATCATAACAGCACGCGTGCTCGGCGAACCAGACATATTGTAAAGATCCATCGTGAGAAGAGTTATAAATCCGCCTGACTCGCTGATATGGAGAAAACAAACTAATTTGGCAGTAGCCAAAATTCCCGCTTATATAGCAAACTTGTTATGAAGCTATCTACCTGTTGATTATAATTATCTGTGTATGTATATATGACATTCGTTTGTATTTCGTTTGTTTGGGAAATAAATAATTTAATGCGGTTCTTGTTCTTTTATTTAAATTGGTTTTTCTTTATGTAAGTGTAATTAAAGTGTAAGTGTATATGAAAGAAACACTGAAGTAGTTTGCAATTATTGAATAAAAATAATATTTATGGAGTTATTATTCAGAAAGAATACTAAAGTATAAACGTGTCTTCTTCTGAGAATGGTCCTGTTCCGTTTCCATTTATTCATTTCCTTTATCTTAACCTACTTAAAAGAGATTTTATGTTGGTCTCTTTTGGTTTTCAACTACCAACCATTTCACTTTGGATTTCTTCGCAGTGCGCATGACTACTCCCACTTATTGTTCCTTATTAACCGATTCAATCTGCAGAGATTGTTACCAGTTTTTAGGACTTCTCAGATTTAAATTACTATGAGGAATTAGTTTGGTAAAAGTTCTAGGATACCTGTCTTTCGATCTAACGGACGCTATTTGACGTTTCTAAAAATAAATGGATATAATCGTTTGCTAGCCTAAACAAATTCTTATTTCAAATTTATTAAATCAACTTTACATACAAATAAATTAAGTCTTTATGAGTACATATCTTTCACTTGGCTGCCGCCTGTCGGGCCTCAAAGACTGCCTTCAATTCCAAGAGGCCACTCCAGTTCTCGTCCCATCCGGCAGTCACCTTCTTGGCATTTGCGTACCACCTGGCCACATTTGGATATTTGCTGAGGTCAAAATCAAAGATTTCGAACGTAGAGACGGTGGCCAGGATGGCGATGTCGGCCACGGTGAGCTGGTCTCCGGCCACATAGTCCTGGCCTTCGAGGAAGATATTCAGGTACTCGAAGGAGGTAGCGATCTTCTTGAAGTCCTCGTCGGATCCTGGCTTGCCAGTGCGGAAGAGCGGGTAGTAGTACCTAGCGAAGCTATCGTACAAAGTTCCCATGTCGAAGTTAAGTCGCTGGTTGACCAGAGCCTGCTTCTTAGGATCCTTGGGGAATAGCGAGTCATCCTTGCCGTATTGTTCAATCAAATACACGGCGATCGCACGCGACTCCCAAACGGAGAATCCATTATCCACCAGAGTGGGAATTGTGTGCTGGGGATTAAGCTTAACGAACTCCGGTTTCAATTGATCCCCATCCATGGTGTTCACTAGCTTCTTGTTTAGCTCTAGGCCCAAGGCCTTGGCCACCATAATCACTGTTCGGCATCCACTTCCACGGGGCGAGTAATAGAAATCCATTTTGGTTAGTTTTGTGTTGTTCCCTGGAGTGCAAGATCAGAACTGATTTCGACAATAATGGGGTTTTGCTTTTTATAGCAACACGGTTGTGAAATTACATATCTTGCTACTACTGATTATAATTGTTTGCTCGACGCTTCTTCAGTGGGTTTAAAAACATTCAGGTGATTGAATGTTGTTGTGAAATTGCGTTTGCTTATGTCAAACAAATTACAATATGGTCATTTGTATAAAGAAAATGTAATGATACTTTTTTAAAAGAATTTGAAGAAAGTCGGCATACGTAAAAAAAAAGATTCAATGAATTTAAATTATTTAAAATTATATATTTTTGTTTAAATATACATAATATCACTTATGTAAAGGAAATGTATTTAAATTATTTCGCTGCATTCTTTTTCTCCTCGATTATGGTTTTTAATTTAAGGGCTCCTTTCCAATTTTCTTCAAAACCAGGAGTTATTTCCTTGTCATTCGCGTACCACTTAAAAACATTTGGAAATTTGCCTATATCAAATTCTAGAGCATCGAAAGTAGAAACACTGCCAAGAATGGCAATATCCGCAATGGTGAGGCAGTTACCAGCTAAATAGTCCTGATCCACTAGAAAAGTATTTAAAAGATCGAAGCTCTGTTCCACCTTCTTGAAATCCTCTGCAGTGCCATAATGTCCCGTGGCAAAAACGTTGTAATAGTAATGGGCCAAGGCAACGTATAGGGTTCCCATATCGAAATAAAGAAGCTGATTGATTACCGCTTGAATCTTGGGATCCTTGGGATAAAGAGAGTCGTCTTTTCCATATTGCTCTACCAAATAGACAGCAATAGCTCGTGATTCCCAAACAGAAAGTCCATTATCAACCAGAGTAGGAATGGTGTGTTGGGGGTTCAGTTTCAGAAACTCCGGCTTGAAGTGCTCGCCCTTTGAGGTATCCAAGTGCTTTTTATTCAACTCAATTCCCACAGCCTCTGCCACCATGAGAACTGTGCGGCAACCACTGCCGAGAGGCGTATAATAAAGATCCATAAGTTTGACGTATTATCCGCTAGAGGTAAGAACCAGAACTAAACGATAATGAGAGAAAAACCCACAAATAGGCCTTATCATTTGCCATTTGTTTGTGTTTATTTTTGTGATTGTGAGCAGATTGTGCCGGTAGAAGTATTATGTACGTAAATGTTTATTGTAGGTTATGGAGTAGGTTCTTTGTTATTTCAGTGCTTTCAGTTAAAGAAAATAATATTAATTTTTCTTTATTTCACACGAATGCGTTTATTTAGATTCAAGTAATAAATAAAATAAGTTATGAAAATATTTTCACTTTGCAGAGGTCTTTTGAGCCTCATACATCGCTTTCATCTGCAGCAGGCCCTCCCAGTTCTCTTCCCATCCGGGAGTGATCTTCTTGGCATTGGCGTACCACCTGGCCACATTCGGATATTTGCTGATGTCGAACTCAACCACTTCGAATGTGGAAACGCTGGAGAGGATGGCAATATCGGCCACGGTGAACTGATCACCAGCCACGTAGTCCTGGCCCTGCAGAAAAATGTCCAGGAACTCAAAGGCAGCTTCGACCTTCTTGAAATTCTCGGCATCTCCAAGTTGGCCAGTGCGGATGAAGGGGTAATAGTATTTAATGAAGGAATCGTGCAGAGTTCCCATGTCGAAGTAAAGACGCTGATTGATCAGGGCACGTTTCTGAGGATCCTTGGGGAAGAGCGAGTCGTCCTTGCCGTACTTTTCCACCAGATACACGGCGATGGCACGGGATTCCCAAATGGCGAATCCATTATCCACCAATGTGGGAATGGTGTGCTGGGGATTGATCTTGAGGAACTCCGGTTTCAGGTGCTCCCCCTCCGTGAGACGCAACTGCTTCTTGTTTAGCTCCAAATTCAGGGCCTTGGCCACCATGATAATGGTGCGACATCCACTGCCACGAGGTGAGTAGTAAAAATCCATGTTGCTGGTGCGAGTGCGATTACTGTGAGCTATTCGCTGAAGAGAAAAAGCTGAACTGATTGGGACCAGCAGGGGCTCTCTCTTATATAGCAAAATGGTTGTGAAATTTCATATCTCTCTCGAAACGATTATTTATAATTGATTTGGCCGATGTTCTCGAACGTGTTTTTTGGCAATTGCTCGTCATTGTATTTAATTAATTATATGCATAGTGCTTCAAATAAAACAACAGAAGAGCAATAACCGCTTATCATTGAATTCAGATAGCGAGTATTGGCATATGGAAAAACAAATCAAACTTATTGTTCATATTCTTATTCATATGTAAGTATTTTCCACTACCCAAGGTTCAGAAATACTTGACTAAACTCACAACTTATAAGCATCTAGCAATTATTATACCCTTGTAGAGGGTATTATAATTTCAGTCAGATGTTTGCAACTCAGTGAAGGAGACGTTTCCGACCACATAAAGTATATATATTCTTGATCAGCACCAATAGCCGAGTCTATCTAGCCATGTCCGTCTGTCCGTCTGTCCGTCCGTCTGTCCGTCTGTCCGTTTCTATGCGAACTAGTCTCTCAGTTTTAAAGCTATCGCGATGAAACTTTCCCGAAAGTCTTCTTTCTATTGCAGGTAGTACATATGTCGGAGGGAGCCGGATCGGACTACTATATCTTAAGGCTTCCATAGGAATATTCAAACAAATATAAGAAAATTCATTGTAACTTTGTAGGAAGTAGGCGTTTTGATTCTTGAACTCATGTATAAACCAAAATTAAAATAGAAACGCTGAATCTGGAATCCCTGGAACTGCACCGAGTGAGCATTACTTTATCTGCAAGGGTATTTAAGCTTCGGCTGGCCGAAGTTAGCTTCCATTCTTGTTTTTATTATAAATATAAAAATTGGCATATCACAAGGAAGATTATTTGGTAGCATTCTTTATCTCTTCGACCGCATTCTTCACATCCTGAGCTCCCTGCCAGTTCTCCTCCCAACCAGGAGTGATCTTCTTGACATTTTCATACCACTTGGCCACATTTAGATATTTGCTAATGTCGAAATCGAGGGCATCGAAGGTGGAGACACTGGCAAGGATGGCAATGTCGGCCACGGTGTACTGGTCGCCAGCCACATACTCCTGGCCCTCAAGGAAGGTGTTCAAGAAGCCGAAGGTGTCCTGGACCTTCTTGAAATCCTCTTCACTGCCGAACTGACCGGTAACAAACACTTTGTAATAGTAGTTGGCCAGCGAGGGATACATGGAGCCCATGTCAAAGTAAAGACGTTGGTTGATCACCGCCTGCTTCTTGGGATCCTTAGGATAGAGGGAATCGTCCTTTCCGTACTGTTCGATCAGATAAATGGCGACGGCACGCGACTCCCAGATGGTAAATCCATTGTCCACCAAAGTGGGGATCGTGTGCTGGGGGTTGATCTTAATGAAATCCGGATTCAACTGCTCTCCTTTCCGGGTGTTGAGTATTTTCTTGTTCAGGTCTAGATCTAGGGCCTTGACCACCATTAAAACGGAGCGGCAGGCGCTGACAAAAGGCAGGTAGTATAGATCCATTTTGGGAACTGCGACGTTTCGTGCTGTTCGTTTAAGCGGAAAATGAGAACTGCCTGGAACCCTCACAGGTTTGTGCTTATAAAGCTTTTTTTATACATATGTGTGTATGTATGGCATAGCGAAAAAAGTGCCCTCTCTAAGTCTGTATATTCCCCATGTTATGCTATGCCCTGTTAGTTGATTGTATGATAGATAGAGTTTAAGATTACTTGTGTGGGTATGCGCGAAATAATATCAATTTCACCGTGTTTGTGCTCTCTGTAAAATGAGCTTCTATAGAAGCTAACAATTATTTTTATTATAAATGTAATAATTTACATATCACAAGAAAGATTACTTAGCAACGTTCTTTTTCTCATCGACCACCTTCTTCACATCCTGAGCTCCCTGCCAATTCTCCTCCCAACCAGGGGTAATCTTCTTGACATTTTCATACCACTTGGCTACATTCGGATATTTGCTAATGTCGAATTCGAGGGCATCGAAGGTGGAGACACTGGCTAGGATGGCAATGTCGGCCACGGTGTACTGGTCACCTGCCACATACTCCTGGCCCTCAAGGAAGGTGTTCAGAAAACCGAAGGTGTCCTGGACCTTCTTGAATTCCTCGTCACTGCCGAACTGGCCGGTGACAAACACTTTGTAGTAGTAGTTGGCCAGCGAGGGATACATGGAGCCCATGTCAAAGTAAAGACGTTGGTTGATCACCGCCTGCTTCTTGGGATCCTTGGGATAGAGGGAATCGTCTTTGCCGTACTGTTCGATTAGGTAGACCGCGACGGCTCGCGACTCCCAGATGGTAAATCCATTGTCCACCAAAGTGGGGATCGTGTGCTGGGGGTTGATCTTGATGAAATCCGGATTCAGCTGCTCTCCCTTCAGGGTGTTCAGGAGCTTCTTGTTCAGGTCAAGATTAAGGGCCTTGGCCACCATGAGAACGGAGCGACAGGCGCTAACCAGAGGCAGGTAGTAAAGATCCATTTTGGGAACTCCGATCGTTTCGTGCTGCCCGTTCGAGAGGAAAAAGTGAACTGTTTGGGACCCCCACGGGTTTGTGCCTATAAAGCTTTTTTCATACATACATAGGTATGGCATAGCGAAAAAAGAGCTCTCTCTAAGTCTATTTGTTTGCCATGTTATGCTTTGCCATGTTAATTGATTGTATTCTTGATAGAGAATCCTACACTTGTGTGGGTATGCGCGAAAATATATCAATTTCATCGTGTTTGAGCTCTCTGTAAAATGAGCTTCTAGAATTTCTGGGTGTTATGTATGTATACCACTAAATAAACGAATTTGCTTCCACAGAAGCTTGCAATTTAAGAAGGAAAAACAAATTCTCTTAAAAATACCCATTTGGTAGTACAGGTGCTTTGGTTTTTGTTGAAGTGATGGGTAATAAAAATAATGTAGCTAAAATTCCCAACAGGATATGTTGATTAATATAATAAATGAATATATATATATTTGACTGTAACAGAAGAGTATTATAAAAGTGGTTATCTTATTGTCCTAATCAAAAGCAAAGACAGAGTAAAGACGATATTTTAAAATATGAACCACAGAAAAGCTAAATCAGATCTGTTTACAGAATCAAAATTTTGTGGTGTTTAAGTAAAATAGTAACTTTTATTCTTTTTCTTATTCTTTCAGTATCCACCCTCATAAAACATTTTCAAATATTTATCACACAATAAATATTCTTTTATTCAATTCAAACGTAACATAAATAATAATAAATTATCTGAATGGAATTTACTTTCCAGCAGCCTGGCGGTCCTCAAGGAATGCCTTCATGGCGAGCAGACCCTCCCAGTTCTCGTCCCATCCGGGAGTCACCTTCTTGGCATTCTCGTACCACCTGGTGACATTAGCGTACTTGCTGAAGTCGAACTTAACAATCTCGAAGGTGGAGACGGTGGCCAGGATGGCGATGTCGGCCACGGTGAGCTGGTCTCCGGCCACATAGTCCTGGCCCTCCAGGAAAGTGTCGAGGAAACCGAAGGAGGTTTCGATTTTCTTCAGATCCTCCTCAGTTCCGGGCTTTCCAGTGCGGAACAGGGGGTAGTAGTACTTGGCGAAGGCATCGTACAGAGTTCCCATGTCGAAGTACAGGCGCTGGTTGACCACGGCCTGCTTCTTGGGATCCTTGGGGAACAGGGAGTCGTCCTTGCCGTACTTCTCCACCAGATACACGGCAATGGCTCGGGACTCCCAAACGGAGAATCCATTGTCCACCAGAGTGGGGATGGTGTGCTGGGGATTGAGCTTCACGAACTCCGGCTTCAACTGCTCGCCTTCCATGGTGTTCAGAAGCTTCTTGTTCAGCTCGAGTCCAAGAGCCTTGGCCACCATAACGACAGTACGGCATCCACCGCTACCTGGCATGTAGTAGAAATCCATTTTGAAGAATGATATGGTAGTGCTTTCCACTGGAATCGAGAACGACAACTGACGACGTCCCGCAAAACCTGTGACTTTTATAGCCGAACGCTTGGGGAATTATCTCTCCCCATTTGTTTATGCTTGCTTGGTTCGGTGTTTGTCTTGCGTTTGAATATGCCAGTCATGGTTAGAACAAACTTTTCGTATTTCAGGCACTTGTTATTTTCGGCTAAGGGACACGTATGTACAACTAATGACTAACACAGGCGGAGTCTAAGAAGCTCTAATGATAATTTCAGGTGCATAATATATAATTCAGCTAGAGCTAGTATTTAAATGTATGATTAGTTGGCTGACGTAAAGGAAGTGGATCGATTTGAAGTGTTGAAATATTATGATTCATAAAATACATGACTGAAATAGGGCAGTAGGATATGCATTGCATTATATAATCCTTGAAATAATATATTATAATTACCATAAGTGCGTATGAATTAATTGATCAAATAATAAATTACCAGTTAGGATCAGTTATCAAAGATGTGAAAAACAAATTAACTTTCCAATTTGTATTAAAATTTCGTCATTTTTGTATACTATTGCAGTTACCTTACAAATTTAACATATTTGATTCCGACAGATATTTTTCTTCTTATGTAAATCAAAATTCTGACTAGAATTATAAAGCCCTCTGCAGAATAGTAGAATATCATTTAACTCGCTTTGTTTATAACATTAATTATATGCAACTATTATATTTGGAGTTCTTGGAGCATAAACAACAGTGTATAGTTTCATAGATGTTGACAAGTGTGTTCTATATTGAAAATCTCTAGTACATGTATCCCAGGGTATACATTGTAAACTCATATAATTAGATTTGCATTTTGATATTAATTGTGTTATTAAGTTTTTTTTAAAAACAATAACCTCATTGGTCTGTACATGGAGACCCTTATGTACTGCAAATATTAACCCACATTATACGATTCTATCAAACTTTCAATTCTGTATTTATATTTTATTGTAAATTGTAAATAAGCATCACATATAAAGTGTTAAGTTATATAATGGTAAATCACTTCTTGGCAGCGGCAACTTTGGACTCAAAGAAAGACTTCATCATCTCCAGACCCTTGACGTTCTCGTCCCATCCGGGAGTCACCTTCTTGGCGTTGGCGTACCACCTGACCACATTGGAGTACTTGCTGAAGTCGAACTCGGTAATCTCAAAGGTGGAGACGTTGGCCAAAATAGCAATATCGGCCACAGTGAGATGGTCGCCAGCGACGTACTCCTGGCCCTCCAGGAAGGTGTCGAGGAATCCGAAGGCGGTTTCGATCCTCTTCAAGTCTTCCTCGGATCCCAGCTTTCCGGTGCGGAAGAAGGGATAGTAGTACTTGGCGAAGGCTTCGGATAGGGTGCCCATGTCGAAGTACAGGCGCTGGTTGACCACGGCCTGCTTCTTGGGATCCTTGGGATAGAGCGAATCGTCCTTGCCGTACTTCTCGACCAGATAGACGGCGATCGCACGGGACTCCCAGATGGCGAATCCATTGTCCACTAGAGTGGGGATGGTGTGCTGGGGATTGATCTTCACGAACTCCGGCTTCAGCTGATCGCCCTCCATGGTGTTCACGAACTTCTTGTTCAGCTCGAGTCCAAGAGCCTTGGCCACCATCATGACCGTGCGGCATCCACCGCTACCTGACATATAGTAGAAATCCATGCTGAATAAAGCTGATGTTGTGTTAACCTCTGGAGTGGAGAACGAAGACTGACTACAACCGGGAATAGCAGGTACTTATATAGCGATATGAGTGAAAACCGGAACAGTTTCGTTTGTTTGGTGTGAAGTAACATACATACATATAATCAATTTCAGGTGCATACTGGTCGAGCTTTTATTATTTCGGGCGATAAGTACATACAAATGTTATCATAAAGGAAATGTTCTGATTTAAGTGCTGAACTATTATGACTCATTAATATGTGCGTTGAGTAGGGCGGAAGACATTGTCAAATTGATCAGATATTTATATTGGGTGCAGCTTAGAAATAAATAAAGATACTTTTTCACCATGAGTACAAAGTATGAACGATCCCATATGTGATATATTATTTGAGGGATAGGAACTTTGTAGTTATGATCATTATGTTACCACTTCCAAATTATGCCTAGGAGAGAAAGCCGTTTGGCCTATTGCTTAACCATATAAACCATACATATATATTTTGATAGAGTATTCAATAATTCGGCCTTAATAATTTTGACATTCATTGGAAGTGGAGTGCTAAGTTGCTTTGGGTTATCTATACCGTTAATTGAAAAGATAATGTGAGTAATGGAAGTGTGGACACAGTGATGTTCAGATTATTAGGTGGGTTGTAGATATTAAAAGTTTAAAAATAAATGTAAAATTAAACAGTTAAGTAAAACAATTCTGGGTTTTGAATTAAAATAGATTTACATTGGGGACTTTCTAAAAGCCTTTTGCTTTTATAAGCCAGCACACAAATATTGTATTCAAACAGTTATTTTTCTTTTCAAAAGCCGAGATCAGAGATTGACTGAAGCGAGGCCCAACGCAGCTGTACACAAAATAAGAATCGCCGGCAAACGGAATCGAGAAAATATATATCGAGTATGAGTGTGTTTATATGGCAGCCCGGCAGAATAACCCGATGAAATGAGAATAAGAGATCGGTGGCGCTCTACGCCCCATCAATTCTCTTTGGGTCTAAAGTCTGAATCTCTTAGCCGCTGCTCTTCATCTTGTTTGGTTTGCTGCCTTTTTGGCTTGTGACGCATACTTGGCCAATGCCGTCTAACTGGTTCTCTTGATCTGCAGCGGCAAACACTGTGACCTTTCTCTACATTTTACGCTACATTTTGGGCCGGCTTTTTTAGTGAATTAACCTAACCAGTTATTGGCGAACTTATTGTGTTTACGATCTCATGTTTCCCATGATTCAGTGGATTTCGGCATTATGTTCAAATGAGTAACTCTCGTAGGTCTGGGGCCCTGGGGCTTTCCGATTTCACAAGCAATTTATGGATTGTTCTGGACGTTAAGAGAGCAAATTGTTTGACGTGTCGCCCACGAAAATGCTCTTTCCGTTTTTGTGCTACTTGTTATTGAAATTTTTTGCCTGGTCATGCTGATAGTTGGTATTGCGAATTGTGAAACTGATAAAAAGGAACTGTTTTTTGGGGCAAATAGACACCCCCAGCGAATTAAAGCAGGAATGTTCGAGTGTGTATTGCAACGATTTCATCGAATACTTCCAAGAAGAAATAAGAATTTGCCTTGTCATGTAATGCCACCATAACCATTATTTCTAACTGACCAAGGCCGTCGAAGCTCATGCAATCCAATTCGATCGATATATTTCTGCGGTCATCAAAATAATTACATGAAAAATGTATACCAGTAATTTGGTATTAGCATGTCCCTTTGGCTTGTGATTAGCTCCGAGTTCGTCCTTCAAATGAGTTTTTCTTTCTTTTTTTTTTAATAAAAAAAAATTCTCCAATAAGGTTATATTTTCGTGGACTTATTAGTTAGCAAAGTACAGTATGCGACTCTTGCGATTTGTTTATATATATGCTTTCATTTCACTTGGGAATACTCACCAACTGTTGCTTTGTGTTTGCCTGATATCAATGTTTGCCGGCCGGTTTGAGTTGAGTTGCTATCTGGTTTCTGTTTGCCTCTTATTTATTTATTTTATTTTTTCACTTTGAAAGAAGAATTTATTTTTAAGCGCACAGATGTTCATTAGAAATGCAAAAATGTGTATCCAAGCAAATTGAGTGCAATAAGTGTGCGCGAAAATAAAGGCAATCTTAGTAAGTCGAAGTGTTTATACACTTGGAGTTTTGGTAAAAGTCAATAAACTTTGTCTGTTGTTCGTTCGTTTAAAAACTAATATAATCTGGTTAAAATATTAGGAATACAATCTCTAGGAACAACATATGATAATAATGATAGTTGTAAAAGTATTATTTGGTGGTAATGTTGATGAATAAGAATTATAAATAAAAGAAAAAAATATCTCCCCACTTTTCCAAGTAACAACTTATAAAAATTAAAATACGCTCTATAGGGTTATAGAAATATGATAATGTAAGATAATAATCAGCCAAAAATCTGTTCTAAAGAGAGGAAAAAACTCGGCGTTCCAATGGAGGATCATTAGAAAGTTGCAGCTTTCTTTTTGGCGAGGGGCGAAGCGGGGGGAGCTAAATGCAACATCCACCGAATCACACACACTTGCTCACGGCTTCACATACTCGTATTAATCACGCTGCTAACGTCACATTTTTGCCTGATATTAGTGGGTATGTGTAGGCAAGGCTGAAAATAAAAGACAAAAAACCCAGACACGAAAACAACTAGCGGCTGTCTCTCTTCATGGTGACTCCCCAGCCCCAACCCCCGCCACGCCCCCTGCCCTCAGCCGCCTCTCGGGGCGTCAAACAACAACTCTTGTTTGCCGGCATTATGGCGACCGCCACCGATTGCTATAAAAGCAGACCCGCTCTCCGGATTCCGTTCAGTACTACTTCTCATTTGGTACAGTGTACATCGCGAGATTTGCAACAAACAAAACTGTAAGTTCCGACTGTTCCTCTATAACTATTGTGATGGTGTTGTGTCCGTGTCCAGGCAGAAAAGAAAAAAATTAGAAACAATGTGTACAAGGAATATTCATGGAAATTTACCAAAAAGCTCAAATGGTTAAGAGTTATGACATCATTCGCTGGGAATCTGTTTGCCAAGTGAATTTCTGTAATGACGGCCCAATTAAAGTCCGCTTTTGTCTGAACTCGTAATTATAGAGCGCGTCTAATTACCGCATATCTTTTCTGATCTATTCTGTGCGCCTTTTTGCACGCCATATAGGAAAAGTGTATAATAGAGAAATACGAATCTTGCCTTATAAAACGAAAACAAATTATAATATTTTTGTGGACCTATACAAGTGTGCATGAAATTATTTCTTTATTTTATTTCTAAAGTAAAAAGAGTTTGTGTACGCTTTCAAGCCTTCCTTATGACTCCCAATCAAAATGGCGGACTTCATTTCTTTTTCAATTCCAATGAGGTTTTAAAATAGTATAGTCGATTAGTCAAGCATATTTAAGGAATTTAAAAAATTTTTTTTATTACAACTGGTAATACTTTACTAAGCTCCAAATTTTCTTGCTTTTTCCAGAAAATGGTTGACTTCTACTACCTGCCCGGCTCCTCCCCCTGCCGCTCCGTGATCATGACCGCCAAGGCCGTGGGCGTCGAGCTGAACAAGAAGCTGCTCAACCTGCAGGCCGGCGAGCACCTGAAGCCCGAGTTCCTGAAGATCAATCCCCAGCACACCATCCCCACCCTGGTGGACAATGGCTTCGCGCTGTGGGAGTCGCGTGCCATCCAGGTGTACCTGGTGGAGAAGTACGGCAAGACCGACTCTCTGTACCCCAAGTGCCCCAAGAAGCGTGCCGTGATCAACCAGCGCCTGTACTTCGATATGGGAACCCTGTACCAGAGCTTCGCCAACTACTACTACCCCCAGGTGTTCGCCAAGGCGCCCGCCGATCCCGAGGCCTTCAAGAAGATCGAGGCCGCCTTCGAGTTCCTGAACACCTTCCTCGAGGGCCAGGAGTACGCCGCCGGTGACTCGCTCACCGTGGCCGACATCGCCCTGGTGGCCTCCGTCTCCACCTTCGAGGTGGCCGGATTCGAGATCAGCAAGTACGCCAACGTGAACAAGTGGTACGAGAACGCCAAGAAGGTCACCCCCGGATGGGAGGACAACTGGGCCGGTTGCCTGGAGTTCAAGAAGTACTTCGAATAAGCCTGATATTCACCCTTTTTATACCCCCGTACATTTGATGTAGTATTTATATTCACGTTCACAAAACAACAATTCCAACTTTTTCATATTTCGGGCACTTGTTATTTTCGGCTAAGGGACACGTATGTACAACTAATGACTAACACAGGCGGAGTCTAAGAAGCTCTAATGATAATTTCAGGTGCATAATATATAATTCAGCTAGAGCTAGTATTTAAATGTATGATTAGTTGGCTGACGTAAAGGAAGTGGATCGATTTGAAGTGTTGAAATATTATGATTTATAAAATACATGACTGAAATAGGGCAGTAGGACATGCATTGCATTATATAATCCTTGAAATAATATATTATAACTACCATAAGTGCGTATAAATTAATTGATCAAATAATAAATTACCAGTTAAGTTTTATCATAAATGTGAAAATCAAATAAACGCTCCAATTTGTATTAAAATTTCGTCATTTTTGTATAATATTGCAGTTACCTTAAAAATTTAACATATTTAATTCCGACAGATATTTTTCTTCTTACGTAAATAAAAATTCTGACTAGAATTATAATACCCTCTGCGAGGGTATACATATAACATAGAATGGTAGAATATCATTTAGCTCGCTTTGTTTTTAACATTAATTATATGCAACTATTATATTTGGAGTTGTTGGAGCATAAACCACAGTATATAGTTTCATAGATGTTGACAAGTGTGTTCATATGGCTATAGCTACCTACATTTAAAATCTCAAGTACATGTATCCCAGGGTATACATTGTAAACCCATATAATTAGATTTGCATTTTGATATTAATGTTGTTATTAAGTTTTTTTTAAAACAATAACCCCATTTGTCTGTACATGGAGACCCTTATGTACTGCAAATATTAACCCACATTATACGATTCTATCAAACTTTGAATTCTGTATTTATATTTTATTGTAAATTGTAAATAAGCATCACATATAAAGTGTTAAGTTATATAATGGTAAATCACTTCTTGGCAGCGGCAACTTTGGACTCGAAGAAAGACTTCATTATCTCCAGACCCTTAACGTTCTCGTCCCATCCGGGAGTCACCTTCTTGGCGTTGGCGTACCACCTGACCACATTGGAGTACTTGCTGAAGTCGAACTCGGTAATCTCAAAGGTGGAGACGTTGGCCAAAATAGCAATATCGGCCACAGTGAGATGGTCGCCAGCGACGTACTCCTGGCCCTCCAGGAAGGTGTCGAGGAATCCGAAGGCGGTTTCGATCCTCTTCAAGTCTTCCTCGGATCCCAGCTTTCCGGTGCGGAAGAAGGGATAGTAGTACTTGGCGAAGGCTTCGGATAGGGTGCCCATGTCGAAGTACAGGCGCTGGTTGACCACGGCCTGCTTCTTGGGATCCTTGGGATAGAGCGAATCGTCCTTGCCGTACTTCTCGACCAGATAGACGGCGATCGCACGGGACTCCCAGATGGCGAATCCATTGTCCACCAGCGTGGGAATAGTGTGCTGGGGATTGATCTTCACGAACTCCGGCTTCAGCTGATCGCCCTCCATGGTGTTCACGAACTTCTTGTTCAGCTCGAGTCCAAGAGCCTTGGCCACCATCATGACCGTGCGGCATCCACCGCTACCTGACATATAGTAGAAATCCATGCTGAATAAAGCTGATGTAGTGTTAACCTCTGGAGTGGAGAACGAAGACTGACTACAACCGGGAATGGCAGGTACTTATATAGCGATATGAGTGAAAACCGGAACAGTTTCGTTTGTTTGGTGTGAAGTAACATACATACATATAATCAATTTCAGGTGCATACTGGTCGAGCTTTTATTATTTCGGGCGATAAGTACATACAAATGTTATCATAAAGGAAATGTTCTGATTTAAGTGCTGAACTATTATGACTCATTAATATGTGCGTTGAGTAGGGCGGAAGACATTGTCAAATTGATCAGATATTTATATTGGGTGCAGCTTAGAAATAAATAAAGATACTTTTTCACCATGAGTACAAAGTATGAACGATCCCATATGTGATATATTATTTGAGGGATAGGAACTTTGTAGTTATGATCATTATGTTACCACTTCCAAATTATGCCTAGGAGAGAAAGCCGTTTGGCCTATTGCTTAACCATATAAACCATACATATATATTTTGATAGAGTATTCAATAATTCGGCCTTAATAATTTTGACATTCATTGGAAGTGGAGTGCTAAGTTGCTTTGGGTTATCTATACCGTTAATTGAAAAGATAATGTGAGTAATGGAAGTGTGGACACACTGATGTTCAGATTATTAGGTAGGTTGTAGATATTTAAAGTTTAAAAATAAATGTTAATGTATAATTAAACAGTTAGGTAAAAAATTCTGGGTTTTAAATTAAAAGAGATTCACATTGGGGACTTTCTTTTGCTTTTATATTCCAGCTCTCAAATATTGTATTCAAACAGTTATTTTTCTTTTCAAAAGCCGAGATCAGAGATTGACTGAAGCGAAGCCCAACGCAGCTGTACACAAAATAAGAATCGCCGGCAAACGAAATCGAGCAAATATATATCGAGTATGAGTGTGTTTATATGGCAGCCCGGCAGAATAACCCGATGAAATGAGAATAAGAGATCGGTGGCGCTCTACGCCCCATCAATTCTCTTTGGGTCTAAAGTCTGAATCTCTTAGCCGCTGCTCTTCATCTTGTTTGGTTTGCTGCCTTTTTGGCTTGTGACGCATACTTGGCCAATGCCGTCTAACTGGTTCTCTTGATCTGCAGCGGCAAACACTGTGACCTTTCTCTACATTTTACGCTACATTTTGGGCCGGCTTTTTTAGTGAATTAACCTAACCAGTTATTGGCGAACTTATTGTGTTTACGATCTCATGTTTCCCATGATTCAGTGGATTTCGGCATTATGTTCAAATGAGTAACTCTCGTAGGTCTGGGGCCCTGGGGCTTTCCGATTTCACAAGCAATTTATGGATTGTTCTGGACGTTAAGAGAGCAAATTGTTTGACGTGTCGCCCACGAAAATGCTCTTTCCGTTTTTGTGCTACTTGTTATTGAAATTTTTTGCCTGGTCATGCTGATAGTTGGTATTGCGAATTGTGAAACTGATAAAAAGGAACTGTTTTTTGGGGCAAATAGACACCCCCCAGCGAATTAAAGCAGGAATGTTCGAGTGTGTATTGCAACGATTTCATCGAATACTTCCAAGAAGAAATAAGAATTTGCCTTGTCATGTAATGCCACCATAACCATTATTTCTAACTGACCAAGGCCGTCGAAGCTCATGCAATCCAATTCGATCGATATATTTCTGCGGTCATCAAAATAATTACATGAAAAATGTATACCAGTAATTTGGTATTAGCATGTCCCTTTGGCTTGTGATTAGCTCCGAGTTCGTCCTTCAAATGAGTTTTTCTTTCTTTTTTTTTTAATAAAAAAAATTCTCCAATAAGGTTATATTTTCGTGGACTTATTAGTTAGCAAAGTACAGTATGCGACTCTTGCGATTTGTTTATATATATGCTTTCATTTCACTTGGGAATACTCACCAACTGTTGCTTTGTGTTTGCCTGATATCAATGTTTGCCGGCCGGTTTGAGTTGAGTTGTTATCTGGTTTCTGTTTGCCTCTTATTTATTTATTTTATTTTTTCACTTTGAAAGAAGAATTTATTTTTAAGCGCACAGATGTTCATTAGAAATGCAAAAATGTGTATCCAAGCAAATTGAGTGCAATAAGTGTGCGCGAAAATAAAGGCAATCTTAGTAAGTCGAAGTGTTTATACACTTGGAGTTTTGGTAAAAGTCAATAAACTTTGTCTGTTGTTCGTTCGTTTAAAAACTAATATAATCTGGTTAAAATATTAGGAATACAATCTCTAGGAACAACATATGATAATAATGATAGTTGTAAAAGTATTATTTGGTGGTAATGTTGATGAATAAGAATTATAAATAAAAGAAAAAAATATCTCCCCACTTTTCCAAGTAACAACTTATAAAAATTAAAATACCCTCTATAGGGTTATAGAAATATGAAAATGTAAGATAATAATCAGCCAAAAATCTGTTCTAAAGAGAGGAAAAAACTCGGCGTTCCAATGGAGGATCATTAGAAAGTTGCAGCTTTCTTTTTGGCGAGGGGCGAAGCGGGGGGAGCTAAATGCAACATCCACCGAATCACACACACTTGCTCACGGCTTCACATACTCGTATTAATCACGCTGCTAACGTCACATTTTTGCCTGATATTAGTGGGTATGTGTAGGCAAGGCTGAAAATAAAAGACAAAAAACCCAGACACGAAAACAACTAGCGGCTGTCTCTCTTCATGGTGACTCCCCAGCCCCAACCCCCGCCACGCCCCCTGCCCTCAGCCGCCTCTCGGGGCGTCAAACAACAACTCTTGTTTGCCGGCATTATGGCGACCGCCACCGATTGCTATAAAAGCAGACCCGCTCTCCGGATTCCGTTCAGTACTACTTCTCATTTGGTACAGTGTACATCGCGAGATTTGCAACAAACAAAACTGTAAGTTCCGACTGTTCCTCTATAACTATTGTGATGGTGTTGTGTCCGTGTCCAGGCAGAAAAGAAAAAAATTAGAAACAATGTGTACAAGGAATATTCATGGAAATTTACCAAAAAGCTCAAATGGTTAAGAGTTATGACATCATTCGCTGGGAATCTGTTTGCCAAGTGAATTTCTGTAATGACGGTCCAATTTAAGTCCGCTTTTGTCTGAACTCGTAATTATAGAGCGCGTCTAATTACCGCATATCTTTTCTGATCTATTCTGTGCGCCTTTTTGCACGCCATATAGGAAAAGTGTATAATAGAGAAATAAGAAAACAAATTATAATATTTATGAGTACCTATAAAAGAGTGCATGAAAATATTTAATTATTTTATTTCTAATGTAAAAAACCATTTTTGTGCGCTTTCAAAACTTTTTTTTGACTCCCAACCAAAATGGCGGACTCCATTTCTTTTTCAATTTAAATTCCAATGAGGTTTTAAAATAGTATAGTCGATTGGTCAAGCATATTTAATGCATTTTTAAAATATTTTTTTTTACAACTGGTTATACTTTACTAACCTCCAACTTTTCTTGCTTTTTCCAGAAAATGGTTGACTTCTACTACCTGCCCGGCTCCTCCCCCTGCCGCTCCGTGATCATGACCGCCAAGGCCGTGGGCGTCGAGCTGAACAAGAAGCTGCTCAACCTGCAGGCCGGCGAGCACCTGAAGCCCGAGTTCCTGAAGATCAATCCCCAGCACACCATCCCCACCCTGGTGGACAATGGCTTCGCGCTGTGGGAGTCGCGTGCCATCCAGGTGTACCTGGTGGAGAAGTACGGCAAGACCGACTCTCTGTACCCCAAGTGCCCCAAGAAGCGTGCCGTGATCAACCAGCGCCTGTACTTCGATATGGGAACCCTGTACCAGAGCTTCGCCAACTACTACTACCCCCAGGTGTTCGCCAAGGCGCCCGCCGATCCCGAGGCCTTCAAGAAGATCGAGGCCGCCTTCGAGTTCCTGAACACCTTCCTCGAGGGCCAGGAGTACGCCGCCGGTGACTCGCTCACCGTGGCCGACATCGCCCTGGTGGCCTCCGTCTCCACCTTCGAGGTGGCCGGATTCGAGATCAGCAAGTACGCCAACGTGAACAAGTGGTACGAGAACGCCAAGAAGGTCACCCCCGGATGGGAAGACAACTGGGCCGGTTGCCTGGAGTTCAAGAAGTACTTCGAATAAGCCTGATATTCACCGTTTTTTATACCCCCGTACATTTGATGTAGTATTTATATTCACGTTCACAAAAAAACAATTCCAAATTCGCCTGTCTCCAAAGACAATAAATAAGTGTTCGCTTTTTTGAATGCACAAAATACAAAAGTGTTTTTTAGATGTCTATACTATATGGGGGATGGGATGTGGGTTGGAGCAACAATTGGATAAGTGTGCTCTTCTGGCGCGTTTCTCTCTCTTTTGATGCAAAAGGGTGATTCGGAAAGAGTATGCTAAATTGAAATTCTCTGAATCTGTCTCTTGTAAAAAAAGCAATAAAAGCTTCGCTATTTGCCAGCTGTTCGTCAGTGAGATTTGATGAAGGGAAACATCCGGGGAAGTCGCAAATAAAAGGCATAGAAATTACTATAAAAAAGGTGGAAAATTACCCAAGTAAATACATAGAATATGATTTGGATTTTTTGTCGCACCTTGTGATTTTATTCAAAAAGCTCTACTTAAATGCTCGAATGATTTATTGCTCACAGGGATTTAATTACGTCAATGCTTAAACAGTACAATGTAATAATAATCTTATCACGTTTATATGGAGAAGGAAACTTGTAAATATTGCCTATTCATTTTTGATATACACAATACTGATAACAAGCTTAGCATTTCTAAACAAAAATTGGTCGGCAACAAACGCATAAGTACAGTAAAAATACAAATCAAGAAATGTACTTTTCCTTGAAAAATGCTTGCAATAATACCTTTTGTAAATTATAATTTCTTAGAATTAAATGTAACAGATCTAGTAATCGCTGAAGGGACCTTCAAGTATATAAGACTCATTTAAGAAAATATTAATTCAGTTCGATTTTATACCTGGTTGCAGAATCATGTTGGACTTTTACTACATGCTCTACTCGGCTCCCTGCCGTTCCATCCTGATGACTGCCCATGCCCTGGGATTGGAGCTGAACAAGAAGAAGATCGATCTGGATGCCGGGGATCATCTGAAGCCCGAGTTTGTCAAGCTCAATCCGCAGCACACAATTCCCACCCTGGTGGATGGCGAATTTGCAGTTTGGGAGTCGAGGGCCATTCTGATTTATCTGGCGGAGAAATACGACAAGGATGGCTCTATTTATCCTAAGGATCCCCAGCAGAGGGCCGTAATCAATCAGCGTTTGTTCTTCGATTTGGGCACTCTATACCAGAGCTATGTCTACTACTACTATCCCCAGTTGTTCGAGGACAAGAAGAAGCCGGCTGATCCGGAGAACTTCAAGAAGATCGATGCCGCTTTCGAAATGTTCAACACTCTTCTGGAAGGTCAACAGTATGCCGCCCTCAACAAGTTGACCCTGGCCGATTTTGCCCTGCTGGCCACCGTTTCCACCTTTGAAATATCAGAGTATAACTTTGGAAAATATCCGAATGTGGTCAGGTGGTACGATAATGCCAAGAAGGTGATTCCCGGCTGGGAGGAGAACTGGGAGGGTTGCGAGTACTATAAGAAATTGTATCTGGGTGGCATTTTGAACAAACAATGACTAGCCTCTAATTTGGAATTTACTACGTACACATAATTGGTGCGAATTTAACGCACTGTTTGAATAAAGAGTGTCTATACTTGGTATTATTTTAAGAGTATCATTGTGGAAGAGTCGTTGACTTTTGGAATGTGATAAGACTTGGGGGTCTGTGCTCTTGTGAAATTCGTTGAGGCATGACACCTCAAACATTTTCAGTGCGATAAGATAATGCTACGTGCTGTTTTGCTATAATACAGGCTGCTGAGATTTTGCTGATAGCAAAAGCAATTAAAGTCAAAACACCTGAACTTATTTTAAATTTACGTAAAGTTTGGTCTACCTGTAATAAAATAAAATAACCATTTGAGTAAAGTACCCGATTTCGATTAGTGTTCGCTCTTATACTGCTAGAATTCTCTTTTTCTGGAACCCTCTCTTTTGACCAGTGGTTCGTATCAGCCAAAAAAAATATTTGTCAATTATCACTTGTACTTAATTGATCCATCAGCCCACATTGTGTGTGTATATATATGTGGTTATCTTCAGGTTGTTTGTTTGGGTGTATAAAAAACGGCTAAACCACAGAGAATTTTTCAGTTGTTTGTTGTGCTTCGACTATAGCAGAGCGCCCAAGAGTTCTTTCGTATCTCGTAAGTTCAGCTACCGAATAAAAAACCACCCATTTCTCATGGAGATTGCGTCACCGAATTCACTGGTGCCATCAAAGAAAGTGATTAGCCATTCGGTTTTATTTATATTCATCTACTGTGACACCTTCTGATCTTGATGAATTGCTGTTTTTGCAGAGATACCTCAACCGTAAAATGGACCTCTACTACAGACCCGGATCTGCTCCCTGCCGTTCTGTTCTGATGACAGCCAAGGCTCTGGGTGTGGAGTTCGATAAGAAGACGATCATTAACACCCGTGCTGGGGAGCAATTCAAGCCGGAATATCTGAAGATTAATCCCCAGCACACGATCCCCACGCTGCATGATAATGGATTTGCTTTGTGGGAGTCGCGTGCCATCATGGTTTATCTGGTGGAGAAGTACGGCAAGGACGACAAGCTCTTTCCCAAGGACGTGCAGAAGCAGGCATTGATCAACCAGCGCTTGTACTTCGATATGGGCACCCTGTACAAGAGCTTCTCCGAGTACTATTACCCCCAGATTTTCCTGAAGAAGCCAGCCAATGAGGAGAGCTACAAGAAGATCGAGGTTGCCTTCGAGTTCCTAAACACCTTCCTCGAAGGACAGACCTACACCGCGGGAGAGGATTACAGTCTGGCTGATATCGCCTTCCTGGCCACCGTGTCCACCTTCGATGTCGCCGGTTTCGATTTCAAGCGGTACGCCAATGTGGCTCGCTGGTACGAGCAGGCCAAGAAACTTACGCCCGGTTGGGAAGACAACTGGGCTGGTTGCCAGGAGTTCCGAAAATACTTCGACAACTGACCTATAAAATCTCACAAATAATTCCCTTAGTTCATATAATTAAATTAAAGTTTATGAGCTTTGCTGATTAAACTAATGATTGCACTAAATAAATACATTTTATATTATTATTTTTTTTTAACAAATTCAAAAGTCATGGATACATGTATTAAAAGAGATAAATTCCGAAAGTGTTTACTTTCTAATAGACTGTTTAAAATCAATTTCCCCTTTTTTTTCTGTTTCTGGCGTTAGGATCAGTCAAATCTCATATTATTTTCATCTAACTTCACAAGCAAACACCTCCGCATTTTACATATATATTCAAATTACAAGCCAATAGAAGCAGGATTACAAATACCAAGTTTTACATATAGATTGCGATCACGGAGAAAGCGTTACTATGGAGTACAACCGCCAGCCGTGTCCCATCAGGATTGTGGAGGACTGCGGATGCGCCTTTATGATGGGCACAATAGGAGGTTCGCTGTTCGAGTTCCTCAAGGGTTTCCGTAACGCTCCTTCTGGACTGCGACGTGGCCTTTATGGCGGCTTTGATTCGGTGAAGATGAGAACACCAAGCATTGCCGGGAGCTTCGCCATTTGGGGAGCTACCTTCAGCACGGTGGACTGTGTCCTGGTCTCCTACCGCCAGCGGGAGGATGCCTGGAATTCGATAATCAGTGGAGCCACCACCGGCGGTATTTTGGCAGCACGCAATGGAATCCGGGCCATGGCCAACAGTGCTCTTGTGGGCTGCCTGGTTTTGGCCATGATTGAGGGAGCCGGTGCTGCAGTGGCCACTATCAATGCAGCCGATGGAGAGACGAATCTACCCATCAATCCTCAGCGGCCTCACTGGGAGGCCTTGATAGAGGACACCGTAAATGCTGATTTACAGCAGAATTTTGCCGAGGCGGAGTTTGAGCAGGTGCTGGAAAAATGTAGAGCGTACAAGTCCAGTATTGGTAAAGCTGCTTCTGTAGGATCCACGCCAGCAAATAGTCACGAAAGGGTGACTACAGATGAGAAGCCTTTTCACTCGCTGTTGGATCTCGTCAAACTGGCCGAGATTCTCTGATATTGCTTAAACAAAAAACTTTTTGTGTTTCTTCAATCTTTCGGTTTCGTGGTCGCTCATCCAAATTATTTGCATGTGCTAATTTTCTCTGTTGATTTGTTACAGTGGCGAACAGAGATGCAACCCATTCTTTAATATTGTTTATAAATGGAGTTTGGTATGACACATTCGGTTCGTATACGCTGAAATTATCTCCAACATACTCTTCGTCAAGCCATTCCAGGTCTTCGCATTCTTCGTGTGATTGAACCACTAAACATTCTCTTTCTCGCCGCCCAGCCACTAAAAAAAATTTTTTCTCTGCTTTCTTATCTAATTTTGCACATATATTTAAAGAAAAAAGTTTTTAAAAAAATTCTTTAAATAAAAAATACATATAAAATGATTACGTAATCATTGTGGAAGACCCCCCTCCCCATGTAATCAAACATAATCATTTCAATGACCCCCTCCCCCCTAGGTGATTACGTAATATATGGACAGTCCCTTAATTGTGCTGATTAACAGCTCTCAGCAATTCAACCACTCTGTAATTAAATAGGGGAATACCCCACACTTGCGCTGTACACATTAACATTGTGCTGTTATGCGCACGACAAGCTTTGACTAATCGAAATCGATTAATGCAGCGTTAGCTTTTTGATGTTGTCCAGGCTAAATAATTTTAAGCCAGTTTGGTCAGTCTATTTTAGAGGACTCAATTTCTAGGTTAGGTGCTGAGGTCTTAAATGAAAGACCAACAATTAAGTTACCTTCGAAAACAAAAAAAATATTTAATGGGTTAGGGAAAATGTATGTATTAATTTAAAACGGTCGTAAAATGTTCATGTAAAATACATCTGGACCAGTGGCCGCTTGTGCGACATCAAAGTTGTGTTGCATTTCTGAATCAGTTTTACAATGACGGCGTCAATTGGCACGACGTAGCCTGCCATCATAAAAAATCGTTCGCTTGTGAGGAAAATGACGCCCTTTTGAAATACGTGCGCTACACGAACTTAAAATTACAGATCTAATTGGATTAGGATATTTTATGATTTCTTAATTTTTAGGAAAATGTTTAATAACTTAAAACTTAACTTAATAAATTTATTGAAATTTTCACAGTTTTATGTTCCCTTTCTGTATTGTATTTTAGTTTTGATGTAGAAAAACTGATAAAAATCCTGACGATCACGTTGATGGCGCTTTATACAGTTTTCCCAGAAAAACGGGAACCAATAGGAGGAACTCAACTAAATTTTCCACAATGCAGACGAAAATCTGGGTAGAAATTTCCCCGGGCCGTAAGCCACGTGAAGGAGTAAACTTGACTTCCAAGAATTTTCCTATAAAACGCATTACTTTATATGAAGAGGGATTTTTCCACGAAATAATAGTAAAACTTACAGGAACCCCATAGGTAAAAGAAAACCTTATAAAAGGCTAAGGATGTCTGATATTTTTCACGTTTTGGTTTCGGTAGATCTCTGGATTTGGTTGAAACACTGAATAAAATATGTTCAGGAAAGAACGATCTTCACACGTGCAAGGTCCAAAACAGAAAGCCTAGTTTATCGAAAAAGTGTGGGACCAGAGTTACTCAAAAATCTTTATCGAACACGTCTTTTTAGTGTTGTAAAGACAGAAATTATTTGAATTTTGCTCATTCATTTTAATTCCTAGCGGCAACTTCAAATCCTGACGGGAATTTTAACTTGAAGTAAGAAATTTAAAAGACAAGCGCCCTACATACTCAGGGGACAGATAGCACAGGTGTACGAGTCTTCGACAACACAGGTGTACGAGGGTTCGACAGCACAGGTGTTGGAGTCTCCCACACCATACATGGAGTCTTCGACACTCCATGTAGTAGAAGTCGACCCAATCGACATGACCGAAACGGACAAAGGGGAATTTCCGAATAAAATGGAGCTCCATTCTCTTACAAAGAAGGAGCTAGAAGCTGCCACTGTAAAAAAGCAGTATATGGCAATATATGCCACAATTGTAGAAGATCCTTTCTTGCTGCTATAAGGCGAACAAAACATGAGCTGATGTGCAGACTTTATTTCCCGGATGGCAAGTTTCCATACTCCTGCAAAGAGTGCCAAATCGGTTTTACAACTTTTCCATCTCCAAAAAATAACGCAGCCTCAAACCGCTTTTAACATGACTGTTAAGTTAACATTTTTGTTGAGGACCTTTAAATTTGGCGCAAATCTGGTCACTCTGAATGCAAAATTAAGTTTAACAAGAAAGGAAGTTAACTTCGGCCAGCCGAAGTTTATATACCCTTGCAGGTATGCCTTCTAGAGACCTGCACGATACGATGCCGATGCCGATTCCACGAGTAAAAGTAATCAAGTTGGCGATGCCACGATTACCCGAGTGTACTCGGCATCGTAGAATCGTACGAGTAGCATAATTCGCGGGTACATTTTTTTTAGAATTCGTGAATAGAAAAACCTAGTTAAAGACAACAAATCCATACGTGTTTCGGACATGGTCCTTTATTGATTCTTCTTCTTCCAAAGAATTCGCGGTCTCATTTTGTTTAAGATTTCGTGTATGTCAGGTTCAAAGACGGTAAAACATAAAAAAAAATTCTCTTGTTCCAAAGAATTCGCGGTCTCATATTGTCAAAGAGTTAATCTATGGTCTTAAGTAGATAGGACTAACAATTGTGAAATCTTGGGTATGTTGGTTCCTCTTGTTCTGACAAAAATTTTGGTTGATTTTGTTCAATAAAAAAACACGAGTCAGATATGAGTAAAACGATGCCGATGCCTACGATTCTACGATGCCACGATTCCAGATTTGACAGTTGGAATCGGCATCGCCGAGTAGTAATCGAGTATATTTTTACTTACTCGTGCAGGTCTCTAATGCCTACCTAAAATGTTGCTTTTACATTGTCAAAAATCAAAAAGCCTACTTTCTATAAAGTTTTTTCTATTATTTTGTTAATTATTCCTATGGCAGCCATAAGATATAGTTGTCCGATCCGGCTCGTTCCGACATATGTACTACCTGCAATAGAAAGAAGACTTTTGAGAAAGTTTCATCGCGATAGCTTTGAAACTGAGGGACTAGTTCGCATAGAAACGGACAGACGGACAGACAGACAGACGGACATGGCTAGATGGACTCGGCTATTGATGCTGATCAAGAATATACAGTGGTGGTCACGAGTTTAGCACACTTTGCTCGCCCATCGTATTTTCGCCATATCTCCTTTCTCGTTAGAGATTTCGACTTTCTGTTTTCACCCACCTTCGTGCTGGAAATAGAGCAACTTCCACTGTTAATATTGTTCCATTCGCATTTACCGTTCTTCTTTGGCGATATTTTAAGTTGTGCAACCTCCAAAATGAGCTGGACACGAGTTTAGCACACTTTAGCACATTTATACCTTTTCACCCTTCTGATCATTTTTTTTCGACTTTTTACTCCTTATTGTTATTAGTGAACCTTAGTAAGGTACAAAAATAAAGAAACGAAAAATCTAGATAAATCGCAGGGACTCTGGTACATAAATAACTAAAATTATCTAAATATCCCATTTTTAGGCAGGATAAGTGTCCTAGTTGATCCTTGTTGGTCCTAATCAATTATATTTACTTGTTTTACTTAAAATTAAACAATTATAAGATAATGCGGTTGAAAACATAGAGCTGGGACCTGATACAGTGACTCCACATTGCATGGCATTTCAGCAGATCCTGATTTTCGAGTCCTTTCAAATTTTCTAAAAATCTCCGGACCACATATTTTTGTAGCCAATTTAAAGACAAAAAAAATGAGGCATATTTCATTAGGATCGGTTAACAACTTCGTAGGCAAAGGCATAGCAACACTTTGATATTAAGATTCAAGTTTCGATTCTATGAAATTTTGTATGCAAATCGTGCTTTAAGTTAAAGCTGTAATGTTTTTATTTAGAACTTTATGCGTGTCGCAGGAAGTTGTTAACCGATCCTAATGAAATACGACATGTGAACAAAAATGAGTGGTGATGGCAGCCGGGTCAAAAAATAGCTAAATCAGATATTTAAAAGCTAGAAAATTATAAAAATGAATTTAATTTTTAAAAATTCCTTAAAAAATATAAAATTGCTTGCGTTATGACTGTGAGTATTTTTAATAAGTAATATCCATTTGAATAAATCATTCTTATGAAGTAACCATACTCATTTTTGTTTACATGTCGCCGCCTAGGATAAAACTAAAATTTGAACTTTGTCAACCGAAAAAAGTTGAAAAATCCGAACTTTAAAAATCCACCATAAATCCAATTTTTTATGAATTTGGGCCATACTCGGCTTGTTTTGTCCGGTGGGATGTAAACTTTAAGTTTGTACCCATTATAATTTTTCAACGGATTTATTTCGAGTTTTTACGATACATACAGCCGACCTACAGAGGACCAAAAAACACATTTTTCATCTTTGTCGAGCTGCTGCGCTGCCATTACTTATCCAATCATATTGATCTGTATGGCAAAGTTAAGCTCTGATCTATTGATTATAATGAAACAAAAACTGGCCCAATTGGGTGGATATTTGCCGAGATATAGGAAGAAATTCAAAAAAAAACCGATATTTAACATTTTGAACTTTAAAAAATCTTTAAAAAAAAACTGTGCCATCGAAAAAAAATTAGTGGTATTTTCGTGATTTGGGGGTTGAACACTAACGGAATTTGCCATCAATTGCCTTGGAGCAGTTTGGCTGTAAACTAGTGTAATTAATTACATTAATTTATGCGACAAGAGATAATATAGCGCAGCCTCAAACCTATCTGCTGGCCAACCACCGATTCAAATGCAACCCTTCACTTTAGCAAGGATCCGACCCTGGCAAAGAAATACAATAATACAATCGTTTTGAATTTTGAGTATTTTTGTAAACTATGTCCTCTCTGAACGCCATTTTGTTCGACTCTTGTCTGGAAGCTTTTGCTTTGCGAATCTAAGCATTTTGTGCCCCGTGTGTGATTTCTTTGCTATTTTAAGCCAGAATTTAGTATTATAATTATACCTTAGTTGTTTTCTGCGGAAGATAGGCGCGGCCCTTTGGATACCTTGAAGGAAGTTTCGAAGATACTCAGGGGACCGACAGCACAGGTGTACGAGTCTTCCACACCATACATGGAGTCTCCGACAGTCCATGTAGTAGAAGTCGGCCCAATCGACATGACCGAAACGGACGAAGTGGAAGATCCGGATGAAATGGTTCTCCATACTCTTACAAAGAAGGAGCTAGAAGCTGCCACTGTGAAAAAGCAGTATATGGCAATATATGCCACAATTGTAAAAGATCCTTTCTTGCTGCTATAAGGCGAACAAAACATGAGCTGATTTGCAGACTATTTCCCGGATGGCAAATTTCCTTACTCATGCAAAGTGTGCCAAATCGGTTTAACAACTTTTCCATCGCTTTAAATTTGTATCGCTTCCCATATGATTGCTAAAGATAACTGTAGAAAAACATTATTACGCACAAGGAACAAGACTCAGTCAACTTTAAAAATCGTTTCGAATGTTTTATTATAATTAAAGAAAATCATAAATTAATACAAAATTAAAAATTAAACTAGCTGATGAGACAGAATAGAGAATTAAAAGGTTGTTACCAGGAAAAGGATCAGATATCATGCAGCAATTTGGCCGAAAAACTATTTGCCTTTTAAGATGAGTCAACAGAAGGTATTGGCCATTCGTAATCGTTCCCCGCTGCCATTGAAGAGAATATCATTTTTGGTTTTACTTGGAGAGACGCTCCTCTTTATCCTTAGCCTCATCCACTTAGATGCGCAGATTGGGATTCGTGTAGCGCACGTACTTCAGCAAGGCGTCATTTTCCTCACAGACGAACGATTTCTTATGGTGACAGGCCACATCGTGCCAATTAACGCCATCGTTGTAAAATTGATTAAGTAAAGCAAGGCAATTTTCATTCGCGCCGTTCTGCTTATATTCGCGGTTGTCAGGCTGCGGCAGACCGATTCCGCCGGTGGGAGACCAATCTCCCTGGGAACGCTCAGTTGTGGGTGCCAGTTTCTGCAGTGTGGCGGTCCAGAACCAGCCGTTTATGTTCGTGGGCTGCAGATCAGGGCGGTCGCAGCCCTTGAAGTCGCACAAGCGGCCACTAGTCCAGATGTATTTTACCTGAAAATATTACGACCGTTTTTAATTAATTCATCAATTTTTCTTGACCTATAAAACAAACATGTCATTACCTCAGCACCTAAACTACAAATGAACTCTGTCTAACCTAGGAATTGAGTCCTCTAAAATAGACTGACCAGACCTGCTGCAAAATATTTGACCTGGACAACATCAAAAAGCTATCGCTGCTTTAATCGATTTCGATTAATCAAAGGTAACCGTGCGCCTAACAGCACAATGTTAATGTGTACAGCGCAAGTGTGGGGTATTCCCCTATTTAATTACAGAGTTGTTGAATTGCTGAGAGCTGTTAATCAGCTGTACCATACTTCAAAAAAGTTTTCAGAAATTTGAGCAAATTAAACAATCTTATGGAAAATTTTCTTTTCAAAATTCTAAAAGTGGCGTGGCATTGTAAATCGTTGAAATTCTCATCTCTAAATTACTAAGGTTTTCCTATAGTTCATTGCCCCCGTTGAGATACGTAAAAAGAAATAGATTTCCCCAATCAGTCGCGCCTACGCAAGAAAATGCACGTTGGCATCGAAAAAAGTGGTAGAAATTCCAGCTAGTAACTCTTACGGGCCTGTCACGCCCAAACAACTATTATTATCGCTGAAAGCGAACCGATTCCCATTCCCGTTCCAAGTCCGCGCCCTTTTGGAGCTGGCGCACCCGATACTGTCAACGTTTTAAGTGAGCAGAAGCAAAAGCCGCGCAGCCGCAGCTTAGCGCTCATCAGTCACTTTCACCTGATGGGCCATAAAAATTGTTTTGTAAAGGGGGCACACAAAGACCCAGACGACTCGGATGGGCTGTCTGCCCTTTTGGAAAAACTCCAATGAGCGTAAAGTTGAAACAAATTTATGGACATTGATTTCGGTTTTGTCGGTGGCGGTTTTTATAGTTTCATTCGGGGCGGAGGTGGAGAGGGCTTTGTAATTGTTAAAAACTCGAACAATAAATGCATTTGCCCCATGGCGGAAGCCCAAATGAATTGCACCTGTCGGCTTAGGCCGAATGCATGGCCAAGTAAAAGTGAACTTAGCCTGTCAATAGGGCAGTAGGAGGTAAAACTTATCAGAAAAGCGGCTTTAGGGGGAAAAATTTAATGGAAAACAGTGCGTTATCAGAATAAATAGGTCATAAGTAGGTGGACAGAACTGAATATGAGAAATTTCTTTATAATATTTAAAGATTATAGAGAAGCAACTCCAATTATCATCACTGATAATTGAAAAATAAAACAATTAATTCAAAATATAATCAAGAGTTTCTTTCCATCCTCAAATTTTTTCCGGCAGCCTTGGTTTTGCTTTCAATTTCCTTTTGGATTAGGCGCAAAATGTACTACAAGTAAATCTGTTTGCGTGTTCGAAGTTTGCTAATTTGTTAAGTAATTTTGTTGAGTAGCTTTTCCGGCCAGGCTTTCCCATCGCACACATGAACTTTCGATTTCAATTTGGCCACCACTGCTTTCTCATGCCTCAGAAAAAAAAACAAAAAAGACGAGAGGTGAGCAATGAGTCGGAAGATGGCAGGTGAGATGAGCCTGCCTGACCACAACTCTAAACTTGACACTTGTCCATCTCAAGAGTGTTGCGTAATAATAACAGACAACTCCGTTCGTGTGCGAAATTACAGATGCAACCACTGGAAAGTTTTGTTTGTATATTTACGATTCGTATTTTTCAGTTTTTATGCGTAATTTCACATTGAACTTTGTAGAGATCAGAGATTTCGCCATTAAATTTGTGTGCCTCAGCATCCTCAAAATTAAGGTCAGTTTTTTGTTGAGCGCTGTCCGAGCTGCCAAATAAAACCCGCTAAACAGTTCACACGCGGCTAAACGGACGTTATTTAACTTACCAAACAAATTAAAAAGGGTGACATAATGTCATGCAAAACAGGTGAAAAAACAGGGAAGAGATAAAACTGATAAATGCAGAGACAATAAATTATTGGCAAGCTTTTGTGGCTGTCTCCCACTTCGGCTTTAAAGTGATATGGTCTATTTGTGTTTATAAATACAGGTGTTTGGTTATACGATTATGATACCTTTCGCCGAAATAAACACCTATAAATAGTAAATGAGTTGCATATTTGTGTGTTATATCGATCATTTGTTTGATCTATCAAAGCTTAAATGTTTATCAAACAGGTGCAGTGAAGGTGTTTGGGGCTTACATAAGATCTATTTTGGGGTGGGGTCAATTGATATGAAAGCTGAGCTATGTAGATAACATTTTCTAAAGATTGGAGATTTTTGTGATATTTTTGTAAAAATCTAGATTAAAGTTTGTTGTCTAAGTCTTTCGATTTGTGTACTAGGTTTTTGCCCTTTAAATTTAAATAATTTTTTTAACTTTTCACTTACATTTTCCCGCACAACGTACTGCTTGATCCACTCGTTCTCGAGACTGGTCTCCAGAGAAACGGAGTCCATGCAGCGCCTGCGGCAATAGTTCCTGGCCGTCAGCCAATCCTCCTCCACGCCCTTCAGCTGAGGGTCGCGCCACGAGAATAAGTAACTGCGGGGCAACAAAAACAAAAAAACGAAACTTTTAGTGATACCGATTCTTTTGGAGGCCACATCCTGCCGACTCACCCCTTGCCGTCGGGAGTCCTCTCGTGAATGATTCGCTGGGCACAGAGCTGCGGATTCGGCGGCTCCAGGCGTCCGTTCTGGAACTGAGCGGATCCCAGGCTCAGCACGCTCAACACACACACTCCGGCGATAATGAAAGCTTTCATTTTTGTTGTTTATTCAACAGTCTATGCACTGACACTGGCTCTTTCTGCGAATTCGATTTTCTTTTTGGGCTCGCGACGCGCTTCTTTCTACCGACCGATCGGCTGGCACTGATCAACTGGAATGTCAAAAACATTGGGGAACCCCGCCTTATATACCACACAAGAGCCGCTTCGATCCACTCAATACGAGGAGAGAGACAGACCTGAAAGAGCGACTGAATGATGAGTTTTTTTTGTGGTTTGTTTGCAGTTCTACACTCGAAAAATGTTTATTCACTTAATTGACTTGTTTTTAGGTAATTTAACCATTTATTTAGAGGGAAAATTAGTATTAAAATTTTTATAAAATGTTTCTTTGCCTTGAATTTTGTTTTTCGTTCGACTTTTCTATTTATTAATATTGAAAAGCCGAAATTTGTATACTCTTTATTTAAAAATTAATTTATTATTTAATTTGTTTTGCAAACATACGCTTTTCGGGGCAATTGAATATATAGAAATGTTCTTTAAGAACTCTAAGCATTTCCTTGTTTGACAGTATGAAAAATTGTTTACAATCTCTTCAAAAATACTATAAAAGGGAATTAAAAAAAAATATAAAAGGACTTGATTAGTTTCTAAAAATTGTCGCTACCTATTTCGAAGCCCTAAGAAACTTTCAAGACTATATAACACCCACGTGCGAGTTTAGAGCAAGTCCTACTTTAATGTCCCTAAAAAATTATGAGAAGGCACTTTGATATTTTTAAGTATTTGCTCGAGAAAAGGAATTTCGAGCTTTTTTTTTAAGGGCACCTGGAAAATAGACCCTTTGACTGCCCCTGCTTAACATGCAATCATGAATGCTAAGTGGTTTAAGTGGTGCATGAAGGGGGAGCTCGGTGGGTGATGGGTGGTGTCTCTTTAGCTTGCGCATCATTTTGCACCACTTTTGCTTTGAATGGTCGTTGAATGGATTGGCCTAACTCCCATCTAATTAGCTACACAAACACGCCACGACTTGAGCCAAAATCTTTTTTGGCACGGAAATTTCGTTTTTTCTTTTTTTTTGTGGTGCGTCTCCTGTCTCTTTGCATAAATAAATGCATTTTGTGCTATTGTTTGCTTTGTTTCAGAAATATGTATTTACCAGTGCTTTTGTCGTTTCGTCCATTGCATAATCTAAGCTGATTTGTTGACCAACATTTCATGTCGATTGAATTCCGCAAGTGACATATATATTTGTTAAAGTCAATTTTTTAAAGAAATAAGTTCTACAAACAAACTGAAATGTTCAGTATTTAGTGTAAACTTTTTAATAGTTTAGGAAATTTTCCATTTATTATGCCGCCCCAAAACATTACGTAATGCAGTCATAAATAGCCAGAAGAAATATCCAAACACACTTGTTATTGCATAACCGTAAGAAATGATGCGAGCCCATCTGCATTATTTTCTCCACAGCTTGGGACCCAGATCAAGGTCAGCCGCGATGAGTACGAAAATTTCACCAGTTGAAAGTGAAGAGTAAGCCCGAAAACCCCGACAACCCAAAACCCAAAACCCAAACCCAATTCACGCATTTCAACATGATCGCCTCGATAAGTTTTGTCCCCTCTTCTCTTTACTTTTTTTCTGTTTTTACATCTCCACCTCACGTGCAGCCAAGCATGTCGACCCTACAAAACCCAGAAATCGGTTGGAAAAAATAAAGGTTTTCGCCGCCGTTAAATCGTACGTTATGGCAATCGGTAAAACGGCAAAGTTACACGAAGGCAGGTGCCGCTCATTACCTGACACATGTATCTCGTGGAACACTTTGTGCGGATTATGCTGAGAGCAAAGTCAAGCCGCGCCCATTTTTGAGGAATTTCAATTTTTTTGCAAAGGTTTTAGAGAAATGAAATGTGGGTGAAATTATCATTACAATTATTGAATTGATTGGGTAAAAAAAATGTTTAAAACCTTAATTTATCTTAACAGTTTTCCATATTTTAACGAAGACGACAGGCTGTAAAGCAATTCACACTTTTTGCAATTACAAACTATTTGGGAAACTCCGAATGCTTTACATTGGGAAATTCCAGATATTACATTTGAAATGCATAGTTTTCAACGTGCAATGTTTAACAACAAAGACCAATAAACATTATAAAAAATTAGGCAATCCATTTGCATGGTCAACACGTCTTTATTTAAGTCATCTTTTGGGCAAGCATAATTTATTTAATTTGTATGAGCTCTCCGAGTTACATGATTTCCCGTGGGCACTCTCTTCAAAAAATTATCATCATAATTTAACGACAATTTTTTGGGTAATATTTATGTGATAAGGAACCGGGAACTGGGCCCAACTGTCAAGAGTGGCGAGGCCTATTCGAAAATTACCGCATCGCATACCCACATATTTACGCAATGAGTTCCCAGACGGGATCGGGATCGGGGAAGGGGTTAACTTATGGTACTGGGGCCGAGATGAGACTGGGGAATGGGCCTGGCCAATTTGTCGATGAGTTGGGTAAATATTAAAGGAGAAAGTGCCGCTTATTTTTTTTTTTGAGCTGTCGTTGTTTTTCTTTTTCGGAAATGTTTTTGCACAAGTTACATATTGTTTAATTATTTGCTCAAAAAGAGAGTGAGTTCAGGTGCAGTCGTCCCAATTTCATCAAGTGTCGATAATTTATGCAAATATGTTCACTAATAGTTATGCAAACGGACATTTATCCGTATTTACCCATTTGGTTTTCCCTTCGAGTGGCCCCTCTCAATGTCAGTTTTGGGCTGCCCAAAAATAAAAATCGAAATTGTTCGGCCTAGCAACGACAATTATCCAGGTTATTTAATATTTATGTCAGCTGCATATGACAATAAAAACATTTTATAATTAAAGTTTGCTTTATGCTGTACCCGTGATTTGATTTTAAATATTGGCATTCCGCTGGATCAAAGTCAACACTATTTGATATTGGCTCCGTGTTAGTTTCGCAAACACTCTCAAGATCTAGGTGAACATTTTGACCCACAGACCTTGTTCATAGGGGATTTACTTTAAAAATCAAGGAAGTATCTGATAGTCAAGATACTTGATATTTTCTTATTGAAATTACTTTAAATATGACACCTTTAACAAAACTTGGATAACTTTTACTGAAAAAAAGTTTTGCTTTGGTTTTTTTAAATCGAATCATTGAAATCTATAATGACCAGAATATTAAGAATTTAGCCATATTTTCTTTACATATTTTAACTTGAAGGCCAAGGCTCCATACTTGGTATAATTTTTATTTTGGCGGATGACCAAGCAGCTGGCGCCACACAGTCAATATTTTATGTTGTTGCTTGCATGCTAATGACCAGGGTAAATATTTTAATTACAAGCTGCAGCAAACGTTTATTTCAGCAACACGCATAAAATGCTCCCCCTCAAACTTTGGAAATAAGTGTTGAAACGCATAATTCCAGAAGCATTTTCGTATTTCGTTTTTGGTTAACTTTTTGCAAGGTGTCTGTCTTTTGGCGAACGTGATGGTGACATGTAAGCCCATAGGTGTACATTAATTGCATTTCAAATAGGTTTCCGATGGCCTTGGGAACCGGCACGTGATCCTTTTTCGCCGAACTGGGGAAATTTATGGGACGCTCACTTCGCTGAGATGAATAAACGGATCCATTTTAAAAATGCTCAATTCATTTTTTTACTTCCTGAAAGCTTTTGACAGTTTTTTTTGAGAAATAATACATTCAATAACACTGAATACTAATTTTATACATATTTCAAATAAAATTTAAAACTTAGCGGCAAATAATTTAAATGTTTTAAGGGGTGTGGCAACCCCGTATGTTGCCAATTCAAGCGATAGTCCAATTGGAAATATCGATGCCATTTTTTATGCGTTGTTTTCGTACCCCAGTTTGGTCATACTAATTCATCGTGTTTTTTCTTGCTGGGCAAATTTCGCGTCGTTTTTTGGATTGTTTCGTCACAGACAAAGTGTGCGTTTTCCAAACCACTGAAAAAACAATAGAATTAAATAGATTCTAGCGGCGCAAAGAAAACAATATAGCCATGGGCCGCCGCTGCTGCGTGGCCAACTGCCCGTCGACGTCGCGTCTGCTGGAGCACCACGGCGTGACCTACCACTCCTTCCCCCTCGATCCCATCATCCGGGCCATTTGGATCAAGAACTCTCGCATTAGTTTGGAGCGCCAGATCACCAAGAGTGTTTTGGTTTGCTCCCGCCACTTCCGCCGCCTTGATTTCAACACCATTCGCAATGGCAAGTATCTGCTCAAGCCGCGCGTCTTTCCCACCGTTTTTCCCTGGGGCAAAATGGATTCCTCCGAGATTGAGGCGGATCACCGGGCACTGCAGCATGCCAGCGTGGAGGGAACAACTGGAGCACCGGGAACAGCTCAATCCTCGGCCAACGAGGATGTGATCAAGGCCACGGTGGACCAAATAGTGGCGCAAATCCTGGCGGAAACAGCCGAACGCAAGGCCACCGAGGAGGCCAAGGCTGAAAAGGCTGAGGAGGAGGCCAAGGCGACTGCTGAAACCAGCGAAGATGCCACCAAGGCGGCTACAGAGGAGTCCCCAGCTGCTCCGGGACCCTCTGCCGTGGAAACTACTCTGCCCGCTGCTGGAACCGCCTCCAATTCCAACTCGCCACTTCCCGGCACTCCACCCAAGTACAGCAACCCACACAACCTGACCATCGGCGCCCGCTTGGAGGCCCTCAGCGTGGAGGGCAACTGGTTGCCCGCCCGCATCGTCGAGGTCAACGAGACGGAGCAGACGCTCCTCGTGCGCTTCGAGCGCAACCACAAGCTGAAGGTGTCGCCCTCGACGAGCGGCAGCTTCCAGGAGTGGATGGCCATCAAGTCGGAGCGGCTGAGGCAGCGCCTCAGCACCCGCGTGCTGCCCGTCTTCGAGCTGGAGGAGAAGTGCATGGCCCGCTGGTCGGGGCCGCGCAAGTTCCCGGGCACCATTCGCAAGCTGCTGGGCAACGACACCTACGAGGTGCTCTTCGACGATGGCTACATCAAGAACGTGCGCGCCGTGCACATGAACAAGATGCCCAAGCAACTGCCAGCGGCTGTCCAGCCAACGGATGATGCGGCGTCCAAGGTGCCCACTCCTGTTGGAACCCCTGTTGTTGCTACTCCCCAGGCTCCCAAGCGAACCAGCACGGGCAGCGTGGGTGCAGCCAGTGGATCGTCGAGCAGCAAGAAGAGCAAGAGCACCCCACAGCGCAGGGATTGGCCGCTGTTGGACATGGCCAGTTTGGACATAGGTAAGTTTGTCTTGGTCTTAGATGAACTATAAAGTAATAAAAGAACCATAGTTGCATTGAATTCATTCGCTTTTATGTTAAAGACATTACAAGTATTTTTATTAATGAATTTATTAATTAATTAATTGCTTTTCATGCTCAACAGCTTCCCTAGGTCTTCCCGAGATTCCGCACGATGGAGAGTGGACTTGTCACTGGGTAAACGACCAACCGATCGGGACAGAGGGCTTTCTGATTGTGGGCGAGCACCAGAAACCCACGGTTATCGTGCAGGACTGGCGCCTGCCGCCTGGCTGGATTAAGCACATGTACCAGCGCTCCAATGTGCTAGGCAAGTGGGATGTCATTCTGGTCTCGCCCAGCGGCAAGCGGTTCCGCTCCAAGTCCGATTTGAAGCTGTTTCTAGAGTCACAGGACCTAGTCTACAACCCAGATGTGTATGACTTTAGCATCCACCGACGACGGGCCAAGGACATCAACGCTTATGTCTACACGCACGACTACAATCCGCAGCCAACGCCGAAGCCCAGGCCCATGGATGTGTCAATGGACTCGACTCTGGACCAGAGTAACACAACGCAGCCCTCGTTGCCTTCGACACCGATGCCGGTGAAGGAAAGCCAGTACATGGAAGCGCCAGTGGCCTCGCTAATGCCACCGGCGGAGCTGATGTCTCCACAGGCCCAGCTCACCGATGAGGCAAAGCCTAAGACAACCCCAGAGCTACTGGAAGCCATCGAGGGAGCTCCTGCTCAACAATTGCCAGGAGATCCTCCGCTGGTGGAGAACGGCTTTGGTGAGTAAAGAATACATTTTACACCTGCCATCTGACATTAGTTAATAATTATTTGCATATTTTACCTCTAGCTTTTATTGGCGGCTTAAAGGTCCAAATCCAGGATAATCTGTACGTTTGTCCGCGCGAAGATTGCGGCAAGACCTATCGCAAAGAAGATTTTCTGCTCATCCATATTCGGCATTACCACAAGGAGTTTGCCGAGTAAGTACCTTAAATACAAGGGCAGTTAAGAAACCAGACTTACTCTGACTTTCCAGATACGTGAGCCACTGCCCAAAGATGCAGGAACTGGCGGTGAAGCGCACGCATCCCTCATCCATTGAGCAGGGCGATGCGGCGCCCAAGAACCAGATACCAAACCAGCAATTCTTTGCCAAGATGCACCAGCAGGATATGCAGCAGTCGCGGTCATTTAAACGTCAGACGCTCCCAACTTCGCCGGGAACCCCATCTGGAATATCGCCTACAAAAGCTTTGTTATCTCCGAAAATGGAGCCACCAGGCACGCCAACTGTTGAGGGTGGCATTAACCCAGAAGATGTTTCTTTAGAGGCTGGAGCTTCCCTCTCGCTAAACCCGGCTTTAAATCGATCTAGCAAGCGCGCTCGTTACTCGCCGAGCAAACGCCCTTCTGGTTCAAGGAAGAGCAATCGTCAGCGCTCCCAGCGTCGCGGCAATTTGACGGACAGCTCGGCTGGTCATTCCCTGAACGAAGCAGATCCCGAGGAGACACGGCAATCCTTCAACACCCCGACTCCCGATTCACGCAACGACTCGAAGAAACGACGCGTTGGTGCGGCTGCAACTCCCATTAGCTCCGTTGACTCGCCAGCCACGGCGGATTCGGTATCGACGCCGTCATCCAATGACCAGGCGGACATTAATGCTGCACTTGCGCCGCCGCCGGCTGAAAATAAAGCACCGCAGTACATCAAGGAGAACGGCGAACTAATACGAATTGTGCGAATGCGACAGGAGGAGATCATCAATTGCATCTGCGAGTACGGAGAAGAGGACGGTCTGATGATCCAATGCGAGCTGTGTTTGTGCTGGCAGCACGGCGCCTGCAATGGGATTGTAAAAGAGTCGGATGTGCCGGACAAGTACGTGTGCTACATCTGTCGTAATCCGCAAAGGGGAAGGGACTCCATGCGGTTTAAGCATGACCAGGACTGGCTGTTCGAGGGCAAGTTGCCGGTGGCCGCATACCACACCGCTAATCCACAGGCCGCCAAGCAATTTGAGCTCTTAAAGCGCTCTCACACGCTGACCGGCAATTTGCTGGACGCCAAGCGATCGATGCATTCGCTGCTGGTTAAGATCAATATCGCACGCAACCGCTGTCACCCGAAGCTGTATCTGTGGGCCAAGAAGTGGGACGAGGACAACGTGGAAAACACTGCTGCGACGCCGGTGAAGCGTCCGAAGACGGAGCACCCTGACCTTCCAAACGTTCCGCAGCCAGAGGCCGCCATCGATCCAGAGGAGTGCCAGTACCGCCTGATCGAGCATGTAAAGGTGCAGCAATCACTGGTCGTTAATCGACTCAATGACATCGAGGCAGAAATGGATGGTCAGTACTTCAATGCTTATTTATTTTTAATCAATTATAATAATTTTATTTTTATTCGGAATGTTAGAACTTGAAAAAGAGGACAGCTTTGATGACTTAAAGGAGGGGGATATCTCTGTAACCAAAGAGGCGCTTGCCACGTTCATCAAGGAGCTGGAGACTATGAAGCGCCTGGCCAAGCTTAACCAGGTGGCAAATATGAAGCAGAGCCTGAAAGACTCTGCCACTAACCAATAACTTAAAAGTTGATCGATTTCCATTAACTGGGAGCTGAGAAATTAAAAAGAAATGTAGTTTTATCCGAAGAAATGCTAACCCTTTGTTATCCTAGTTGCAGAATATTTCTGGCTCTTCTCAAAAATGTTACTTTACTCTATAAAGATGCAAAATATTATACCATTCAAGTGAAAACTGTTAATATTTTTAATTTAATCAATTTAAGATCACAGAAAATTTTAATTTCATGCCCTATTAGAAAGCAAAGTTGTTGTGAGAAGCTGTATTTCAAGATATAGCCATGGCATTCATACTGGTTCGTGGTTATTAACAGACATGTGTCTCCGGAGATCTTTTTGCGTAACTTCCTTGTTCATAATGCTGTCCGCCGGTCAGAAAACGGATAACATCTCCCAACAGATAAGCACACTTTCGGCGACCACAAAGGCCATGATTAACAGCAAACCCAAAATCAATGATTTACCACGATATCCCTATGTCGTCTCCATCGGTACAAACGTCAAAGGATCCTACAAACATCTCTGTGTGGGCGTGATCCTGTCGAATCAGTTCGTTCTCACTGCGGCCCACTGCGTAAAACCAAGCCAAGCCCTGAACAGCAAAACGAAAATGTTTGTAGCCGCTGGCGATGATTTCGTGGGAAGTCGGAAGCAGACGCGGTTCTTCGTTGTCCGCTTGGAGTGGCATCCCCAGTTTAAGCCGCTCGGCGGCTACGACATTGCCTTAATGAAGGTCCACCCTAAATTGCCTTTGGATGGCACCCGATTCCGAAGTATTAACTTCAATGACAGACCGCAAAAGGCTAGTGGCGTGAAGGTTTCTATGGTTGGCTGGGGACGGGTCAGCATCGGCAGGATGAAAAAGCTGAAGGAGTTGCCTTTTGAGACAATAGATAATGGTGTGTGTAAGCAGAAGCATCGATTCGTATTCCTCACCAAAGTTGAGATGTGTGCGGTGCACTTGAAAGGATCTATAGGCGCCTGCGACGTAAGTAGTTGGAAAAAATTTAGAAAAAATAATCTGACGGTATTAAACTGCAATCATGAAAAGGCCAATTAAAAGTATACATTATTTTTAAATTATTCCAAATTTTTGAAATAAGAATCCCCAATTTTAATAACTTTAGTAACTTCTCAGCTGTTGTTGCTCAGATATCTTTTTTTCGGATAATTATTATTTAAACATTCAGTTTCCCTTGACCTAGAAAATTTGTGTTTCAGGGAGATTCGGGAGCCCCTTTAATTGATGTGGCCAAAGGGAAGCTCTACGGCTTACTTTCGTATGGCAAAAAGGCTTGCAAACCTTTAAAGCCCTATGCCTTTACTCGTGTCAGCGAGTATTCTAAATGGATTCGGAGAACTATGGACAAAATGGCTTTAAATTAGGCTAAGTACACTTTTCGCCATCATTGTATTTATATTAAAGTAAACCCAACGATATGATATTATGGACGTCAGTTTATTTTTTTTAACTTAGTGTTTGTGCTCTCTTTTTAAAATTAATTATGGAGCTTATTTTGATAAGCTCCGATAGTCTTATAAGTAGTCTTGTAATAATTTACATTGTTAAGTGAGAAAGTGTTGCTTTTTGATGCTGACGCATCTAGTGTGAATACAGTGTTAATCGGTCTCAAATTTATCCGATAGTTATCGTCGTGTTATCGATGGGAACTTTCGGCCCATAGATGTCGCGTGCGTGCGTTTTTTCCATCACTAAGGGCTTTTATCAATAAAAATCAAAACAATACGCGAGCAACAATTGTGTATAAATAAAACCCTTTTACAGCGCAAATCTCATTCCGTAAGTGTCCGCTGTACCAGCCCGATTCAAATGTGGTCAAAGCTAATCAAAATATTTCGCCCTTCCAGAGCCATTGAAATGCCAGATTCCCCGGCACCGGCAACCAATTGTGAACAGGCTCTCGTTCAGCTGAAAAACTTTGGGTACGCCTTTGATGGAGGTGAGTAGAATGATAGTACTTAATTAGGTACTATGCAACATCCTAATGATCACCACAATCTTCCTTTTGCAGCTGGAGTCCTGCGCAAAATCGATCCCGCCACAGGAGAGCCTGGCAAGGAGCCCTTTTCCTATAACGTCAGCGACGATGCCGCCGAAAACGAGAAGCACTACCAAAATCTAGCAAACGTAAGTACCGGAAATCTAGCTAAGTTAGCTTCTTATAAGAATCAATATTTAGTCCTTGATAAAAAAAATTCCACCAACTCATAAAAAAATATTTATCAATTTCCTAAAGCTTTTAAAAATATTTAAAATAATATTCTTAAGAATGTTTTTTTTTATATTTTGATTAGATCTGATGATTATAACAATACCGGCATCAAAATAAAATAAATTAATACAAATATAAATTTGTCGTATCATCTATAGCAAATCCCGGAAATTGTCTATGCTCTGTTGGAGAAAAACGGGCTCAGCCGCACCTATATTCCCTTTGACACGGCTCCAGATCGCTCGTCGTTCGTCTTCTCCCAACCGGCGAAGCTGTCGCAGTCTAAGAAGCTTCTAGTCCTTATCCATGGCAGTGGATACGTTAAGGCGGGACAATGGGCCAGAAGGTAAGTGGGATCCCTAATTATATATAATATTATTTGTCACGTTTTTGAGGGATTCCTTTAACCCTTTTAAAGTCTCTTATATCAATATTATTATTTTTACAAATAATTTGTTTAAATAGTTTTTTTTTTCACTTGCACAATCAGAATTCCGCTAAATTTGAGTTAAGGCTGTTATCAGTATTTCGTTTTTAAGGCCTTTAGGGAAAAATTAAATACTAAATTAAGCCCTGGGGGATTGCGAGGCACTTTAAATTTTCTGTGGACTTAAGGTCTACATTTCTAAATATTTTTTCTATTTAATCAGTTTTATACAGGGACCGTAAATAACAGTTATTTCTGATTTTTATTTTAAAAAGACTAGGATATTTGGTTTAAACGTCAAAAATAACGTTCTTTACCTTGTACACAAAGTATATGCATTTCAACAAATCTGAAAGCAAATAACGTTATTTGTTCATGTCTATAAAGTGCATAAAAACCAGTTAAATTGTTAATAAAAACTGTACAAATCCAGTAGGCCTTTAAAATAAAAATCACAAATAACGTTATTTACGGTCCCTGGTTTTATATTGTTCGTTTATAGTTTAATTATTAACAACTCGCTGGACCACGGGTCTCAACTACCCTATGTGCGAAAAGCGCAGAAGCTCGGGTACGATGTGCTAATTACCAATGCCAATGATTGTAGACGATTCTACAACGGAAGAGATAATCCAATTAAGGGCGTGGAAAGCTCCGTAGAACACATGAAATATGTTTGGAAAAATATTGTATTGCCATCGAATCCGGAAAGTGTGGCTATTGTGGCTCACAGTTATGGTGGCTGTCTTACTCTAGATCTGGTAAGGATAAAATCGAAAAATTAAACTAAATATGTTATATCATTACAATTTTAATAAATCACTAGGTGGAGCGCTTTACGGATTTCTTTAAAGAATTTGTTTTTGCGATTGCTTTTACCGATGCGGCCATGGGAAGTCCCAAGGCGAAGACCAGGGATTACCTGTGCGAAGTCACCTGCGATTGGGTAGCCAGCGACACACCCTTGGACACTCCTGTCTCTCAGTCAAAGAACAGCATCCGAAAGGTTTCCGCTGGTCATACCAAACATGAGTGGACCTCTTACTCGGCCATCGATTCTGTGTTTAAGTTCATTGAGGAAAAGTATGAGCAGCGGGCGAATAGGAAGTGACAGCCGCACACATGAACTTGTTAAAGAATTTTTGTACTCCCCATTTTTAGAACATATCTTGGAGATGTGAATATAAATTATATTTTTACCGCCTGCACACATCTGACACTGATCCCTTTTCTCAAAGGACAAACACAAACTATCGATTTGCAATGCATAAATCAAGCGAGTGGACGCTGTCCGAATATGTCACTAACACTTATATCAGGGCAATTTAATTTGATTTTCGGCACTTTGGCACATTCCGTGTGAGTTAATCATATTGATGGCTGATGTATGGCCAGCGATAAAACAAAAGTCTCCCGCTTGGCCCATCAGGTCGGTAAAAAACCAGCGTCCGGGACCAAAACAAATTCCCTCAGCGACGTCCGGATAAGGAAGGGCTGTCAACTTGGCAGCTGGCTGCATCAAATTCCTTGGGGTTGCCTCGACAGACCACTTTCCATGGACTGTTTACCCCTGGCTGTTGTTTCTGTGGTCTCTATAGTTTAACTAAATGCGTCATAAAAAGTGACTGGACTAGCTTTCTGCTCGACTCAATGTGGATAAATATTGGGGAAGAAATGGTATAGTTTTAGAAAATTATTTAAGACCTATTTTTGAATAGTTCTCCATTTATTTGAGTACCAAGTTCTTTGAAACTTTTTTCAGAGCTAAAAGTTAATGCAGTAATGGAAGGCGGCCATCTGATTAATTATGTGGGAACAAACTTAATCCCCTTTGTGCAACTTTAAAGACTTTGCCTCACCTTCACCCGTACAGTTTTCGTTTGGCAGGCGCACAAAAAGTGCAACCAGGATATAAGTGAAAGAGATGGAGAAAGGCACGGAGAAAGAGATGGAGACGTTTGTCTTTAGCCTTAAAACGAACTTAATACCCACAAAGTGAACCAGGAGCCAAACTCAAATACCGAGAAAGCCCGAGAACGATGAGAGTGGGTGGGCAGAAGGTGGGATTGGGAAGCGACAGAGTCCTGGCAACCCTACAACTTCGCCAGGACCCACCTCCACCTCTCCCCCAGGACGTGGATGTGGATGTGGACGTGGAAGTGGTTCCCTCCCCACTCCCGTATACATTATCGCTGTCATGGCCGCAGTCATGGCTTCTGCTCCACCTTAGACATTTTTATATGTATTCAACATCCTTGTTGCCTCGTCCTATGGCAGCTTGCTATCTACACTTTGACTCCACGGGCGCCCTACACACACAGCCGACAAGGATGGCATCATGTGGCATAGAGCGAGAAGGCAGAGGTTCGTGGCGCCGTCGCCAGCAAAAAGCTTTGCACGAGTTCAGGAATGGGTCATGCGCCTGGAGCCCGTATCTAACATATATAACTCGGAGATATACCCACAGATAATACATATATATGCATTCGACAGGGCAGTAAATAAGCCGAAGTTGCCTATGTAATCGCATTGGTTAAGTAAATAAAAACAAATGTCTCAGCTCTGGTGATATTTCACTTTAAAGTCGAACCCAATTTGCACATAAAATAACCCATACCTCGTGTCCTTAATATCCCACTAAACAATGTCTAGCAATTACTTAAAATAATCCTTTTGCTCGTCGTTATTTGATCAAATCTTAAACGGCCACGCATCCCTTGTATGTTTCAAATGGCCAAGGACATGAACCCCGTAATCCCAAACCCTTTTACTGTTGGGTTTCTTGCGCATCAATTGCCTGAAATAAAGTTGCTTAAGATTTTCATTTTAGATTGCATCGGAATTTATTTTGCCAGTCTTATTTAAGGGATTTTCTTTATTTTAAGATTGTGAGATTCTCAACTTGCGTTTTTCTTTCTCTTTAAACTGAAATAAGTTGAGTTTCCAAAAGCAGTAAGGCCTTCTTGAGCTGACAATCCATCCATTCTTCATTGTTTCCCAAGATAAAGACAAGTACACCGTCATTTATATTAATCCCCTCGGCTGTAAATCAAGTTACTTATTTTACGCAACTTCGATCAACCAAACTAATGAATATCTTCATAAATCAAAACTCAAAATTTCGTTGCCTTTTTTTTCAATTTTTTACAGAAAAATTGTGCGTTTGCCATTTCCGTTATAAGGAAATATTATTGTACGTTACTTTATTGCTTGAAAAGTTCAAGCGATGTCATTCAAAAAGCCATAAATAATAATGTTTTCCAATAAATGTTCACATGTGAGTGGGCACACCAGGCGAATGAGGCGATTGAGTTGGTGGGTGTGGGCTAAAGCATTCACAGGACGAGGACGCACACATGCCAGGATCCCAATCCCAGTCGATGCTTCACAGGAATGACCGGCCATCGTTAAACCTTGGGCTCACTTGCCGCAGGATTTTTCCAGACCCACTGTTAAGTCCGACCCCCCCATAGGTCTCATAACTTACAAGGTCATTTCATCGCACGCAACCATTAAGAATTTTTTCCGTTTTTTCAGCAAAAATATTCTGCGCTTTTTCGTTGTATAATTTAATACTCGTGTGTGACGAATTTTTATGGCTGACAAATGATTGATGCGATTCTGCCACTTCCTGTAAATATCATTAAAACTGCCCTTCAAGGCAAAGGGTCCTGTGCAGCTTACTCGGCGGAAGTTTAAAGTTTCGTCTCCTTGTTAAGGACAACAATTGCCTGGCCATTGTCAAATGGCAAAGTGCTGAGATGCAGGTTTAACGCAGAAATAATTTCAAATAAGATTAGATAGCATTGTGTCTTCAAGCAATGTCCTTTTGGCGCTGAGGTATTGGTGGGGTTGGCCCAAAAAGAAAAACAAATAATGTTACAAATTGCAGCATTTGCACCCCTTTGGCTGGGCAAGCTCAAAAGAGCCGTGGTACTATTTCTATTTTTCTCGCTTACAAATGTTCACTTATTAAAATTTTTTACAAACAATTTAAAATATAACTTTAAAAATATTGTTTTATTGTTCAAATAGATAAACTTATTTATTAAATAAATTATTACAAATCAATAACAAGATCTGGGTTTATTTACTGTTTTTTAATTTATTAATAATTGTTTTATCGAATTATTAAATTTTTTGGATATCATAAATTGTAGGTAAACTAAACACAAGAAAAAGTTTCAAATGAACAGATTTTATTTATTCTCTAATCATTGGTAAAAAAAAACAATAGAGGCATATATAAAATTTGGTAAATATATTTTCACATTTTCATTATGTTTTGCTTCAGTGTACTTTGGAGGCGGCGGAAAAAATGTAAAATTCAAACTCTTCCGCCGCCCCGAGAAAACACAAATCACGGGGAAATGCAATAACAAAGGGAACCCTCTGGCCGCAGAGTGTTCAAGTTATTTGCGGTTTATGTCCTTGTTGCTGCTCCTTTATTCATGTCGCTGAGGCGACAAAAAGGACCTTAAAGCCAATAAAACGATTTTTTCGTCTCTATCTATGAATTGTAAATGCCTTGCCGAAAAAGGACAATTGAAGTGGCCGCGTCCGCTGACAGCTTTGCATGGGTCTCAGCTCCTTTCCCTTCGCGATTTAAGATAATAGTATCATCAACACCACTTCAGTACACCCCAAGCCCCGCACCCGATTTTCAAATGCGGACACAGAGGGCAGGATTTGTCTGGGTCCGGGGTCTAAGGACTTACTTGGGCGTAGGCGTTGCTTGGGTCCTGTCCAATGGCTTCGGGATTTGGGTTCGGGCTTCGATGATAACAACTTTGGCGGCTAATTTGCATCAGCCCTTGAGAGGGAGTCGCTAAGGAAACTTTAAGCGTTTTCAAGTTCTTCTCCATCGAGTGACAGATTTTTCACGCACATTTAAAAAACATTTAAAAAACCATTAAATGTTTTTTTTACACTTTTTCCTACCTTTTTTTTATTTGTCTGCATCACACCCCTCGTTTTTTGGGGAATTCCTCCTTTTTATTTTTTATTTGTTTTCTGGGCTTTTCACAATGTTTCATTGTTGTTGTTGTGGTTCCAGTTGCTGCCTTGGCGGTGCTCTCTAATCTTTGCGCCATTTATTTACACTTGATTAACACGCGACTGACATTTGTTTGACTTTCGCTTCTCTCTGTGAAAATTAAAATGCGAAACCCGCCTCGCACAAAAAAATATGGAATCAGACGTGGAAGTACCGAACTTCAAAACACTCTTTTTAATCGATTTTATAAAGTTATTAAGAATATTGTACAATTGTTATCCCGCTACAGCTTAAAATAACTGAAATTGCCTACAAATTGCCAGTTATTACCTAAAAATTGTGTTAAGGAAAATTACTTACATTTAAACTTATGCCCCTAATATTATAATGGGACAAGTTTTCTAGTGATTTAAGGGCAAAGCATTATAACATTTATTTTTTGAAATAACATTTATATTGTCCCAAAAATATATTACCGACAAAGCTCTTTTAAAAATAATAATACCTAGTTCAAAAACGGTATATAAAACGTTAGTACCTCTTGTGTGACACATTTTGTGTGGGTTTGCCTTTTTGGCTTCTGCTTCATATTTTCTGTGGTACAAAAATTATTCATTTGTGGAAAATTGTGACGTTGGTTGGTCCATGGCCGTAGGCCAAACTGATTAATAAACCAAACGTCAAATGCGCACAATGGCCACGCATCACCGGAGTCAAAGTTTGAGCCGGGGCAAGAGCCACCACTCCGTGGCATCCGGACCAGAATCAGGATGAGGATGGGGATGAGGACGACGAGTGTTTACCAGGACCACGGCGACCGCAGCTGTCAACTGTGTGTCACACACAAATGTGGCCGAAAAGGGGACTCAGATATTCATAAAATGAGGCGGAACTTCCTTACAAGTGTAAGTAGGCCTCGAGTCGCATTGTTCTCGACTTGACTTTTTACGGATCCCGGCGACTCGCATTCCTTCTGGGTTCCGTTCGAGGGCGTTAGCAGTGTCATTGTCATCTGCCGGGTCACAGTTGCTTGCTATTTGGCCAGCAAATTATTTGCATATTAAAAAAATCTCGAACAATGAAAATATGATTTTCTTTGTGAGGCATTTTTTGAGGGGAAATGGAAAAATATGGCTAGCAGTTCAAGGTCAATGTTTGTTAAAGCCCACTTTCTCGATCATGGAAAACATATGGAGTTTTACTTTTTAAAGCCTATTTAAGCTATCAAAAAGTTGTATTAATTTCTATAACTATATGATTTCTGTTTGTTATCGTAGCCCCACGATTTCCGTGATGGTCCCCAAGGGGCACCGTATCAAGTTCTGATTTATAAACATGAAGATTTATACCATTACGCCCACATACTCAAGGCGACCATAAAAAAGATAAAAAACTTTGTTTCTCCAATTTTTGTATAGGCTTTTGTTTTGATTTTGACTTGGAATATACCCTCCACTAATGGGGGCACATTTAATGGGTTTGTTTATGGAGTGTTTAGTGATTTTTTATGCCGAAACAATATCGAAAAAAACGAGCTTAGTTGGCTTTGCTTTAAGGGGCGTACTAGCCCCATGTCCTGCAGGCTAGTTTACTGGTCAAACAATTCGAGGCCATGACGAATTACCAGCTTCCGTGCGATATGATGAGGCAGAACGATTGAAGGATCATTTATCATTTTTATGGCTACATTTTTTGCAAGGGCTAGAATAGTTCTTAAAGAGTGCCAAGGCAAATAGTATTCAATATTTTCTGGCCTTCCTTACACCGAATCGCAAACAATATTATTCAAAAATGTTGCTCAATTTTCAAATTCAATTTGTCAATCATAAATTTCACGCTCTCTTAAAATAAATTTGCAGGCAATTGAAAAATTTCAAGTGCCTGTGTCAAACAAGGTTTTCCTTTCAATGTGTTGAAACATTTTGGTTTTTTGCCAGAATTTATGGGCAAACTTTTCGGGGTTTGGTCTGTCAGAGTTAAGCATCGGCCTCTGCTCTGACACATGACTTGAATGTCAATGGGCAAAGGACACACACCCCCAATGAACTGAAAAAAATAAGGGGAGGGTCCAAGCCGAGAGTCCTGCCTCCCAGACAATGTCGCGTTAAATTTGCACAACTCGTCGGAAATTTTGCTACTTTCTCCGCTGCAAATTCTAAACTTCTGTTTCGTTTATTTTAAGTTTGCCAGGAGGGGGGTTTCCTCAACATCATTTCCCACCCTCACACCCTATTCACCACATAAATAACAAAATTTAAGGACAAAATATCAATATCCACTTTGCGGGACGCCAACTGCATGCGAATGAGTTTATTTTTGGCTGTGAAAAAGCGTCTAGATCTGAATTGGACACCGCCTGAGCCAACATTTCGCAATGCAAATGAAATTCTGTTTCCATTTCTTACTTTTGTTCTTCATTTTTTTCTCTTTGTTATTTTTGCATAATTTCGATTCACTCCTGGCGACAGCATATTGCAAAGAAGTTGGCGTGTTGCAAAATTCGACGCGTTTAAGTTAGCTGAATGCAGAAATGTAGCAGCTGAATTTAAATTAATTCTCAGGGAATGTTTGGAAGCTCAAGAAGGTTCTGCTAAAATAATTTGGTTATTTTGTATCTTTTGTGGCTTTAAAGGATATTTCCTTTAAGTATTCCAATAGTGTTTTTAAAATATTAAGTTAACTTAACTAATTTAAACATACTTAGTTTGTAGTAAATAATTTTAAATTACATTTTCAAATTTATTTGAAATTTGATTCTTTTTTTAACTTCTTCAATAACCTCGCTGACGTATACATAAAAGCTTAGAACCATAAAATGTATAGGTATTTTATTTTTGAAGCTGCTTGCTAGCTGGCTGGCCGGTCCATAAGCCAAATTTAATTTGTTCTCATATGACATTTACGGTCATATTCAAATAACTTCGTTTGTCATACTTCACCGGCTTTGATGTCCTTTTGAACGGGGGTTGAAGCTCGGTAGCAAAATGGAAGAGGTTTCGCTAGATTAATTTGGGGTCATGCATATAATATAATTTTTTATGGTGGGAGTGTGGATGTGGTATGCGGGGTTCTTTGAAACCGCAATCAAGTAGTATAAAGAAGGTTTTTCATATGAGGAAATTATTTATGGCTGAAAATCTCTTCAATGTGTCTTGAAGTTTAAAGCCCCCAGCGATACAGTGGAAAATTATTTAATTTATTGCCCTCTTTCTGGGAACATGTGTTCTTACAAAGTTTTCCTAATTAGGGGTAATAGATCTTAATAACTATGTGAGCTTCACTGATGAGGGTGTCGGAAACGTATATATGCTGAAAAATTGAAATGATAAATGTGTGATAACTAATTTAAAAAAGCTTTGTGGTATTCCTCTTATTCACATAAAATTATATTGCAAAGGTTCTGGTTTTATTATGCGGTGGTCTTCTGTATGCGGATTTTTCTTTAAAATGAAAAGGATTTTTGGGTTATTTGTATGTTTATGTAATGGCTCCTCCATTTTATTGCTCCTCAGGATATTAAAAAGACGTTTTAAAAATCCATCTATATGTTTATTTTCGTCTGTTCCTGGGACTTCATGACTTGGGTTTTGGCTCACGGATTTTATATGGAAAATTCGCAACAGCCAGTTCTCCGATTTCATTTCATTTTGATTAGAGTTAATTTGCTGTCTTGCGGGTATATCGTGGACGTTGTAAAAGTTCCTCTGTTGATTATTCAAATGTGGTTGGTTGAATAAAAGATCCCTATTTCGCGCTGGACATGTTTTAAGCTCTTCGTGGTTTTCTATGAGCCTGTAGTTATAACTCAAGCTTAAACAACATAGGAGCAATACAATCCCGAAATGACGGCGCGTTGACATTTTCACTGTGGAAACTGAAATGTTTTTAATGCGATCGAAATATTTATATAAAATAATGAAACCTTGAACTTGGAACCGGCTAAGTAAACTTGAAGATAACAGCTGGCCACGCTTAAATGAGTTTCTAGAAATATTTGTTTTATTCGCAATATTTACAACTGTTGATATATGACGAAATATTCTTGTCTGTGGTTGTTTCCCCAGTCTTTTTTGGAACCAGCTTGGGCTCAGAACACGTAGATGCCATTTGCGGTGGATAGACTGTCTTCCCTCTCTCAACCTCTCCCCCGGGGGCATCCCATTCCCCTTTCCCTTCCTATTTCCATTCCCAGTGAATCACTGTAAGTGACACGCGTGCCCCTCCACACAATCACCCACCGCGAATTTGTGAATTTCGTTACCTCATGAAACCGAAACTGACATGAATTCGAAAAGCGTTTCGGGGCGAACATTAACACATTTATTTTTCCATTCCGAAGGTTGTCCCCTGTCGCCTTCCCGTCAAGTGTGGGCTGAATAATTTTTTAAGTGACTTCTTTTATTTGCATTTAGAAGCGTTTAAAAAAAGTCACCTGGGATTTGTGGGTGCGTTTATGTGAATACATTAACCAATTTTTTAAGGTTTTTGGGGAAGTTCTTATGATGGTGGGATGATTGGGATTGAAGACCCCACATTTCACTTGTTAAGGATACTAAGAGTTTTCGAGGCCTGTTTTTCAAAAGACTCCCGTTTCGCACTTCATTTAATCAGAAGGTCCATAAAAACTATTCAATTCTGCAATTTCAGCAACAAGAAAACCGAAAAACAGTGAGTCTTTTCCATTACCCACTTAGGTGGAATTGTTTCGTGTGCATTGAACATGATTTATTATGACACATAAACAAGAGCTTAACTTCCGGGTAACTTACACATATGTCGGTGGTGCTAAAAAAATGAAGAAAAATTGCAGAATGCCTGAGATATTGACTAAAAGCCCCGGGCAATGGAAGCAACAGCAGCCACATCAATGGCACTTACCTTTTCCGCTTAAACACCCTCGACCTGGGCATAATGGTGACCTCCCTTCCCGGTCACATTTTTGGGATCCCCTCCAATGCATTTGAAACAGGTTTGTCCCTTGGTTTCCCCTTCCTGCTCTTTTTATTAGCCAGCAACTTGTTCCTTGGCCGTAACGCTGTTTTTTATGCAATAGAACGATGGCAATGGCAAGGGACCTGGGTGAATGAGAATGTGAATGCTCACCCGTGCGTCCAGTGGTCATCATTTTTCTTGCCCCACTCCCCGTGGTCACCGCCCCTCGTTGTCCTTACAATGAGCAGTAGTTCCATGTACGAGTCCTCCTTTCTGCTGGCCCTTTGCCCGCAAAAAAGGGAAATTTATTGTTTTCGCCAGCAGTTTGAGTCAAATGTCCCGAGTGCCTCAGCCTTCAGGTGCACCGGACAAAGGCCAAAAAGCGGGGGTGTCACTTTTGACATTTAAGATGCCGCACAATGGCCTCTCGATGGCGGCTCTAATTTATACGCATCGCCTGCATGTGACACCGCCAACAAGTTTGAGGGCGCATTTGTCGTTCCCAAAAGTTTTTTGCCATTTTTTCGCCCTTCCATAGCCATCCATTTGCAATTCCAATGATTTTTACGGCCATCTGAATGGTCCGCCTCCCGAAAAAATAAAAAAAGAAAAAACTGTTGCATTGACAAATCTAATAAACAAATGGCAGCCAGACAACCGGACAACCTATGTGCAATTGATCGGCAGAGGCTAAATTGCAAGCACATGTTGTGGTGACGAGGGAGAATTAGTTTTTGATTTCATTAAATAGATGGAAATGGAGAGTGTCTGGAATTGGTTAGTAAAAGTGAGGAAACACGCTGAATAAAATCGAAATTAAATCCTAGAAAAAGTTCCTCAAATTAACAAATGTTTGATTGGTTCAGATAAAGATTAAATATCAAACTACCTAATTTAGTTAATACCATGCGCGGATCCACGGGGGGTGATAAGAGTGATATATACCACCCCACTCGGGTGAAAAATTAAAGGAATTTTAGTATTCAAAAAATATGCAACAAAAATTTGATCTGATATCACCCCCACAACAAAATTCTAGATCCGCCACTGGTTAATACCGTAATTGATCAACTACTTTAAGGGCTTTTCCTAATCCCTAAAGTTTTTATCAAACTAATTACTTTAAATAATTTTACAATTGATTTATAACTCTACAAATTAAAAATATATCAATCTACATTTTCAACAAATTTAAATCCCCCCAATATATACAAAATACGACCTGTATCAATTTCCCATGTTTCCCCTGATTCTCAGGTTTATGATATCAAATTTAGCAGTCAAGCGCCCACGTTTAACGCTTTTTTCCTTCGTATAAGGAAGTCTACTTCCCTCGTCTTGGTATCATCTTTATATGGTCTTTTATGATGCCTGGTTTGTGCCGCAGGTTTCTTGGTTAATTGCTGGCTGCACATTGTTCAATTGTTCTGTGGTTCATATGCATCTCACTCACCGACACTCACTTTGCCTAATTGGGTCGCTCATTATATAAAGGGTTTTGGGAAAGGGACTGGGGCTGTCAGCCGAGTTCAGTCCTTTGGCAGCATCGTGCAACGCTCCAGTTTCCACTTTTCCCTTTTATTCTGGATTGGATACGTGAATTTTCTTGTGAGGTTTATAACTCAATAAGGAAAAGTACTTACTCTTCTAAGAAAATTAAATGAAGATAAATTCAATACAAACCAAGTATGAGGAGTATCATGATGTCATGATACAACAATTATAATTTAAGGCATCATAAAAACCTGTCTGTAAGGGTGTTTCCAACTTCGTTCTCCAATTAAATAATTTTCCACTTGTTCGTTTCGTTGGGGCTGTCAAGAAAAGACAACCATTTGACAGCTCCTTCTGTGACGCTTAACTGCTTGAGGTTTTTTGGTTAAATGCACCACCCTTTCCACTTTCGCTATAAGCCATTAGGGCTAAGTGATTTGTTGTTGTTCCCAAGCTGCGCCTAGCACCTTGCAAATTGCCATCGGAAAAGCTGGGGGGAAAGGGTTGTGTTGGCTTGCCAGGGAACAAACTAATTGTGCGGAAGCGCAGGACATTTTCCTTCGCCTGAATGTAGAAGAAGAGGTATGCTCCAGTTTTGGTCCTTCGAGTGTTTTATGATTATATATATGTATGTTTTTACTCTACCCCCGTTGTTGGATGTGTTTTTGTCCAAGTTTGAGGCTCAAGAAGCCAAAGTGTCAAAGTTTATGAAAATACTGTGCATTCTGCATTGTACTCGTGGTCGAAAGTTTGCACAAAGTAAGCAAACTTTGCCCACTCAGATACCAAGTTTGCAATGAAAAGTTTCATGTCTGCCAAAAGTGAGTGTGTCACATGGATATTAAACATTGCGTATGAGTAAGGACATATCTGGTCAATTGTTCGCCGTCTGACACGCGTGACATTCGTCTGATGAGAGGGAAATCAGAGCCCCCGGTGTCAGGAAAGTGTGACTCTGATCCGAACACGAACTTCGGTGTTGATGGTTGATAACCTAAGGGTTGGCCTTGGTTATGGTGAAACCTTTAAAGCATATATATTTTTAGATAGAATTATAGTTGTAATAAGCGGGTATTTTATTCATTCCCTTTCGAACTGTGAATTAAATATGATTAGAACATAATTTCCATTTCCCTTTCTGTGCCGTTTTTAACCTATCCTTAGCCTCAAATTGCTATGAGGTCGCTTCACCCACCATAAAACTAATTGCCAGTTGTGACCTCAACTAGCGGTTCATGTTCAGTCCTTCCACCACCAACAAAAGTCAAAATGCAAATTCAAAATCTTTTCCGGTTATCCCCTCGACAACTTTTCCTAATCATATGCAAACGTAGGAATTAATCAATGATTTACAAGAACAATACGTGTGCACATGTCGCCGAGTGGGCAGAAGGCCGCGGGGCAGGGCGTTCCGGAGTCACTCCCAATGGAAAAGCAAACCGAACCCAATCTGGATCTGAATCTGAATCGGAATCACAACACCCGCTTGTTAGAGCTGGCCCAAGCTGGGCCACCCACTGCCCAAGGGCCTGGGTTTCGGTTTTTTGGCAGAGAGACAGGTCAATGGGAGGGCAGGGAAGGGCAGGGATTCGGGACTCAGGGGTCCGGTGCAATGAGCAAGAACACAAATAAGGCGTCGGCACTGATCCTTGTCAACCGCAACCACCGAACAACAATAATTTCAGAGAACGAGCCAGGCATCCAGACACACAGACATCCCAGCATCCCAGCATCCCAATCCCAGCCTGCTAACCCCGCTAATAATTCAATTAGTTGCAAACTCTGGTGGTTGCAGCAGCCACAATCCGCACAGAAGTTTCTCTGCAGCTTGCAGTGGAATCGGACCTGCGATTCGGGTTCGGTTCAATAATCAAAATGCCGCCGGCCAAAAATCGCAGCAGTGCATAAATTTGCCAGGCTGCAGAAAGTGTAAACTGGTCGACGAAGTGGGTATTTCTGGATCTGAACCTGGAATGGAAATGGAAATCAACCTGGTGGTGCCGAGGTGGTTGCGCCTGGCATGGGGTCCTCCGATTTGGGACAATGTGTTGTGTGTGCTTTATATAATTGCTCTCGGCTTATTATACCCGTTACTCGTAGAGTAAAAGGGTATACTAGATTCGTGCAAAAGTATGTAACAGCTAGAAGGAAGCGTTTCCGACCCCATAAAGTATATATATTCTTGATCAGGGTCACTAGCCGAGTCGATCTAGCCATGTCCGTCTGTCCGTCTGTCCGTCTGTCCGTCTGTATGAACGCTGAGATCTCAGAAACTACAAAAGCTAGAAGGTTGAGATTTCCCACACATATTCTTTGGCTTCCTACGCAGCGCAAGTTTATTTTAGCCGAGCGCCACGCCCCCTCTAACGCCCACAATCGCCCACAATCGCCCACTAACGATTTTAAAATGGGTCCTGCGCCCACATCTTTAAAG